ATGAATATATTTGTAGGTATATAGTATACATATATATATATATATATACATATATATATAATATATAATGATACACACATATGTATGTGTATCATATATGTATTTTACTGTATTTTATATAGTCGGCTGGTTTAGTCACATCATGTTGTGTCAAACCAATACATTTAGCTTTAGTCAAATCGATGCCCCCTCGGGGTCACAGCGTTTGGTCAAATCATTGGGTGCTGCAGCTGTTCAAAGCAAACCTTGTGGACAATGTACAGCTGTGCATTGGCCACTGGCTCATTCGAGGCACTCCTGAGGCACTGCTGCGAGCTGTCCCAGGGAAAATGTGACTTACTGGGATCTAACGGTAGATTTCTGGTGATTTATGATGGTATTATCTTGTTTTATGGTTTTTCTGGTGATTTTCCAGGGCAAATCGTGGTGTTTGTTCCAACATGCGGAAATGTATCTCCTCTCCATGGCCATGAAATAATGGGGACACTGCGTGGTGTGTAGCCCGATTTTTTGGGAGGAAGAAAAACTGACCTATGCTTCTGAGCTTGCTGCACAATGTTCACCCATGTGGGAACTGGCTGAGCAATACCTGCTTTGTCAAAGTGTGCGGTGTGCGGTGAACTCTGCAAAACTCAGAGTCAGATCCAAGTTGGACCAAGCAACCAACAAACATGGGGACCAGAGCAACCATTCAAAACAATGATCTTCCCCAACTGTTTTCTCGGCGAATCAAAGGGTAAACATATGGTAAACATCTAACTGAGGCAGGGGCCTTTCTCCCAAGACATCACGGTGTACTCTCCAGTACCTCAAATGCTAAGCACAGATGAGCACAGCTCGTGAAAATTCCTGGTTGAACCCACCGAAAATAGTGGTCCAGATGCATCGAATGCAGAACTTGAAAACTGATTGCAGAAACAACATGTCGCTGGTCAATAGGATTCACATAATGGACTATGATAATCCCCAATAGATATATTAGATGGTAGTATAATCCCGCATAATCATCAACAAACCACCGTTGGTTTCCACTGCTCAAACGTGGCTGTTGGTTTCCTACAGCAGAAACTCGAGGTGTGGGGAATCCCCATCCAAAACGATGCTCAAAATTTGTTCCAGCTGGCCCTGAACATAAGTGTGCATCTACTATAATATATATAATATATATATATATCCGATTCTTTTAAACGTTATATAATTATAATATTATATAATATATTATAACATATGTAACCCATAGATACCCATGGTTTTTTTGGAAGACATCCCAAAGTGTTTCGGCAAACACACAGCGCTTGGTCCCCCGGGCCAAGCTGTGTGGCTACGCCTCCAACTTCCTTGAGAAAAAACAGAGGTCCCAACCAGCTAACCCTCACCAATCTTCACTTTCCTGTATAGTGGGAAATACGTAATGTATACCCTCTGGTAATTTAACGTAGCTATTGGAAATGTCCATTTATAGTGGATTTTCCCATTAAAAATTGTGATTTTCCATAGTTATGTTAGTTTACCAGAGGGTAATGTATAATCCAAATGCGTGAAATTGTATTTTTTTTGTTTCCGGCTCTCAAGAAGTTGGAAACTCAGACGTCACCAGCAGTTTGGGGTACAGTAGTTTTCCTTTTTTTTTCACATCAGATATACATAGATGAAATTTCCATAGAAGAATCCCCAGCACTTTTGGGGATGTGCCTTGTAGAGGGTCAAGACGATCTTCAGATCTGCAGCTTCTGCATCTGTGCAGTTGCCAAAGTTGAAATTTGACACGTCCTCATGGAACCTCAGCAACGTCTGTGAAGGTGGGGGAAAACGTTGGAATCGTTGGACCTTGGACTTTTCGCAAAGCTGCAACAAACGAAACATCTTGAAACCACAAACATGGCTTGGAAGATGATTTCCGGCTATCCTTTCAAGGTTCCCAAATTCTTTCATCCATGACTGTCAAAAAACATGATGTGACATCCTTTCAAGGTTCCAAATTCTTTCAACATCCCCCCAGCTGCTAGCCGCTAGCCCTCAGCCGAAGGACTCGACGTCGCCCCAGCTGATGGTAGGTGCGGAGGTCTTCTCAACTCCCTTTGCCTTGATCTGCAACTTGTACCTCCAGGACGGTCCCATGGATGTGCTCTGGGGATTCCGGAGTCGAAACCAGCCGCCAGCCTTTGGAAATCCCATGGCTGAAGTCACCGTTTTTTTAAACACCAAGGACCTAAGGAAATCCTGAGAATTTCCGCAGCAAGTACTATACATACACTATTATGTTTATAGTATGCTTTATATAGATAGATAGAGATATATATATATACATATACATATATTGTATATACATGTATATATATATATGTGAGATTGGTGCAGAGGTCCAAACCAAGTCTCTAGCTGCAGCACACGAAGTCCACAGCCAAGTTGCGGAAGCAGCGCCCTTTTCAAAGCGCAGACAGCGCAGCCATGTATTGGCGGTCAGAAAGTTTCCCACCCTGAGTGGGCAAGTGGCAATTGGGCCGGTATGGCCACATGTATAAACACCTTAGCAAAAGTGCAAGACAGACCTGGCAGGTGCAAAACATGCTATGGCAAAGGTTGCATGGAGTGCAAACTAACACGGGGAGAGAGCTATCTGTACAGCACTCAACCATGCATTGCTACAGGCCATGCAGTTGCACCTTGCTCAGTGATCCATGTCTCTAATTCTCTTAAAAGAGACACACCACGGCCATCCAGCGCATACGGAGTGATCTCACCAGTCGAACAGGTCGGGCACGGTTGAAATCTTCTCACTCCATTGGCTTCGTTCAGGCGACCACTGGGCAGGTTCCGGCATTGCGGTTGCGCATGCCAGATATTGTCGTTGGTGACCCAAATCAAGTCACTCAACGGACAAACATCAGCATGATCGAAAGATTCGATCAAAGCCCTTCGCATGATGTCCACTCCAGCATCACGCTGGCGATCAGCGTTTTCCAGAAAGTCCCGGTTTCGGGCAAAGTTTCTGTACTCTTGGGCTATATGCTGTTGCTCATAGTCCATCCTTGCAAAAAGTATTGGCAGGGCTCGGCTCTGTGCAATCGCACCCCGCGCATCGGTCATGGCGGCCAGATATCCATCATCAAAGGCCTTCTTGAGCTTGAGTTTGACGTAGGCGGCCAAAATCACCACCAAAAACATCACAAGCAAAACCATGAAAAACAAAATGCCAGGCTCAACTTTGGGCAGGGCTGACAAAATGCCAGCGGTACTTGTGAAACCAAGGTAGTAGCGCATCTTTTCGAAGATCGCTCCCTCATACACATTGATTCCCTCGGACTGTGGCAGGACTGTGTTGATATATTCAATCACCTCGTCGATGTGCACCATGTAGACACCAGAGGCGACAGCAGCATTCGCAGGGATTTCAGCATCTTGCGTTTCAGTTTCATCTCCAAGTTCTTCATCCATCACATCCTCATTAATGACTCGAAGTCGTTGAGGTGGCAGCGCAGCATGTTGGTCCATGTTGGCTTGTCGCTCTTGTGCAGGCTTTCTTTTGGCAGCAACGTATTGAGGATCCCAGTAAAATCCAATCTTCCCATGTCGAAGTCTGTTGGCAAGCAGCTGGCGGCTGCTCGTTTTGGTGAGGCCATCCGCCCATTGGCGTTCCGAAGAAACCCATCTCAGTTCTCCTCCAAGGTCTTGAAGAAGCTCCTTGATCACACGGATCTCCAAGGCAGTGCGGCGATCCGTCACATTCGCCGTAACAGTCTCTCGGTGAAAACTGTCATACAAAGCTTTTGCATCTGTGATCATGACTGGTTTCAAAGTAGTTGGCCTTCTCAGCAGTTCAGCCAGTTGTAGGTTGGGACATAGGAGGTGGTCCCAAAACTTGCAAACAGCATCAGTGGCATCTGTTGCTTGGGCAGCGGCCTGTGTTTCGGCGGCCAGTGAGCTCCGAGCAACACGGGGCAACTTCATCGATCGCCACTCCAGCATGTGGAAGTTGTCTTCCTGGTTGACCAAGGTGTGCTCTGGCACCAGGAGGATCATGTAGCCACCTTGAGAGGACCCGTCGGGCCTCGTCGAAAACGAAGCGTCAAACAAGGTGACAAGTCGAAGCTGTTCCACAGGACCCAGGCTTTTGTAAACCAAACCGACATCACCATTTTGTTTTGCAAACTTCAAGGTTCGATTGAGGTCTTGGACAGTGCTAACTTTGGCATTGTTCACCTGTCCAGCAGCTAGGGAAACTGAGGCCTGGAGGTGCGGTGAACTCTGCACGCTAGGCCACTGTAGTGCTCCACAAAGTCCACGGAGCGCAGTGATCTCCTTTGAAGTCAGCTCCACATCAGGTCCATGAGACCGAGGAATGGTCATTGGATGAATCTTCTCCACATAGGTCTGCTGAAAAAACTTCAAACCATCTCCATCAGGCAGTTTCTCGATGGAGCAGCCACAGTATTGCAGGACGTCACCATCTTTCCATTCACGAAAGTTAAACACGGACTGCAGCTCTTTGATGATTCTTTGCCAGGTGGGCGAAGTTGGGCAACCCGACCCCAAAAGGTCGTCAACATGCAAACACACCATGCCGCATAGTCGGCTGTCACCAAGGGTTCCAGTTGTTGAGGCACCATCGTTGAAGTCGGCCTCATAGGCCAAGAAGCAGCAGGGATCCAGGTAGTGTGGTCGTAGACCAAGATCCTTCAGCCTTCTGGTGGCTTCTTGATACCATCTTCTCGGTGCATCCAACTGGCCATACACCGGTTTCAACAGCAGCATTCGGCATGTGTCTGGAGCTCCCAAAAGTCTCAGGCACTCAGGTGGCAATTTCACCCACAACTTTCGTTCTTGTGGAAGTCCTTGAAGAAAAGCAGTTGCCACATCGGCTGTCCAGGCAGACCAGCCTAGCAGTGCCGTCAGGCTCATCAGGAAGTTTCGAGAGGTTCTGGAAGTTGTTGGACTGCTGGTTTGCAATCCTTTGTCCAAGGCATCCACATCCAAGTAACCACGGACTATCAACCTGGCTTTTGCTCTTGGACTCCCGTCAGGGTTCTTTGACCATTTGGTCAAGACACGTGCTGTCAGAGTTCGCTCTGGCTGAGCGTTTTCCACTGTGTCAAACTCCCAAACCTGGTTCTCGAAAAACGACTGAAGCTCTTTGCTTTTCGCCTCCTGAAACTTTGCACGATCATCAGGAGAAAGCAGTCTTTCGTTGATGGAACTGTTGGCAACCTTCTTGTGCTGTTTGGCCATCTTGGTCTTTGTGTCCTTGCCCAAACGTTTGGAAGGCAAGCTGGCAAACATACCCATTTCACGGCGAGCTTTGCCAGAGATCTGAAAGATGGTGCAGCCGGTCCATTCAAAGTCCAAGAACCGCTGCTCAGCACCAAGGTCGTTGATGACCCGCAGTTTTCCATCAGCAGCTTTTGCAACCGTAGTGCGGTTGGCGTCCAAAAGGTCAGAAGGGATCGGCACATCAGAGATCTCCTTGATCTTGAAGAGGCAGCGGCGTGGCCGTACATGGTGTCGAATGACACAGCCAGCTTTGACTTCCCAGTAGTCCATGGGGTCGTTCGTCAAGCTGAAGTAGCCATCATCATCAATCTTCCAGCCATCAGGGATCTGTGAGGGATCCACGTCAAGGACGTCAAAGGACTGCATGTAGTGTTCACGGACATCTCGATCTCGATCTTTCGGATCGTCCTTGTCCTTGTCATAGGGCTGGGATTGTCGTTGACGATGTTGCCGCATAGGACCAAAGATTGAGGTCTCGGCTCGATCCATTAGGATACGTCGATGTCGAAACTCCTCTTCAGGGCCAGCAGGCTCATAGAGGTTCAAGTTGGTAGATGTTGGTGCAGGTGGCATTGAAGAAGGTTCAGGTGGTTGCACTGGAAGAGGCTCAGGTGCAGCAGGTTCAGCTGCCATTGATGGTGCTCTGGTGTGCACCGCTGGTGTTTCAGGATGAGGTGGTTCAAGTCCAGGTTCATCAGAGTCCACATGGATTGGAGAATCACCTGCATCTTGAAGTTCAGGACCAATCGGAGGTCCACCAGCTTCGTCTGGTGCAATTGATGGCGAGTAGCTCACACTGCGTTCCCCAGCTGACTGCAAGTCCAAGTCCAAGTCAGGTGGGTCAGCAATGGGCTCAGGAACCGGCAAGAAGTCCAAATCCGGTTGATCACCCGGTGGCAAGTCCAAGTCCACACCAGGATGATCGCCAGTGCGGCGTCGTGTTGATGGAGGTTCTTGAGGGTCTCCACCATCGCCATCTTCACCATTGTCAGGAGCATCATCTTGCATGCCCTCTTCATCATCATCCACATCATCAATGTTCCGGCGGTTCAGTCTTCCAAGGTCCAGGAATCGGGTGACTCCTCTGGATTTGAGGCCAGCGATGTCATGTCGTGCAGCTTGAAGTCCATCGATCGCGACCTGCAAATCAGTGAAGTCAGGCCGAACATGATGTGGTGCTGCTCGGATGAGCTGGGTGCGGTGTGCAACCCAATAGAGTCTGGGACGACCCTGCTCATCATGCTCCACCATAACCACTCGAGCAGGACCATGCCATCGAATCTTCTTGAGGTCAGAGGCGCGGCTGTCTCTCCAGTAGAAGCAGCTTTGGCCCAAAGTCAAAGGCCCTTGCTGGCGTTGGTACTTCCGAAGAAGAGCACGCCTGAGCTTTCGATCCACCTCGGCAGCAGTGATAGCATTTCGAGCGGCAGCTCGACGCTTCAAGGTCTCCTCAAAGGGTTGGTTTCCTTCAAGGTGTGCTGGGCCAAGTGAATCTGAAAGAAGTTCGCCAGCAAGTTGAGGTTGATATCCAAGAAGCCATTGGTTTGGCGAATAGCCAGCAACTGTAGTTGAGCTGTTCAGCTGTGGGATGGTGTAGGCTAGTGCCTGTCGAAGTCCATCGCGATCTGAAAGTCCAAGATCGGCCATGTAGATCTCCACGGCTTTTCGAAGAACAGCATGGCGGCGTTCCACCAAAGCCAAACGAGTGTGGGCTTCTCCAGGTGCTACCAAGTGCTCGACCATGTGAGCGCTAACCCATTCTTGAAACTCATCAGAGGCCCAACCACGGCCTTCATCGGTCAGCAAGGTCTTGGGGCATCCAAAGTGTCGCACCCAATGGCGCTCCAGCACTGAAAGAAAATGCTCAGAGCGTTCTCCACGAAGAACTCCAGCAGCTTGATAGCGAGTGGCCTGATCAAGCAGGCTCAAAATGGGGAACTTGCGGTCTTTGACCTTTACCCACATCACATCCGCTTGCAAAACATGGTTGAACTCCTTGACATCGTTCAACACAGCTGGTGGCACACTGTCGGGCTTTTTGTACCGTTCACATGAGGCACATGAAAAGTTGCGAGCCACTTCCAAGACCACATCGCTCGCTCCACGGCTTTCCAGGGTTTCCACCAAAGCCTCCATGGACGGGTGTCCCAAGTTCCGATGCAAACGTTGAACGCATCGAACAGCTTCTTGGCGGCTGTTGGTGAGCAACTGGATGATGCGGCCAACATGTTTCTTTTCATCGTCAGCGGCTCCAACAAAGTCAGAGATGGTTGGCAGCTCATCCATCATCAGGCAGGCAGCCAGTGTGGAAGCCAAAGTGGGCTGGTAGTGCTCGAGGTATCGCGTCCGACGTCCAACATCAGGACCACTTCCTTCAAGCCGGCAGTGTTGATGATCACCAGCACATCGCCGTTGGAACTCCTTGTACACGGCCATCTTTGTGGTCTGCAGACCAGTTGGCTTTTGAACCAACCTCCATACCAAGTCGGTGTCTTGGCAGGTGCAACCATATTGGCATTGATCAAATCTGCAGTAGAGTCCAGGAAGATTTGAAAGAGCACTGGTACGCCACGATCGAGCGTAGGCAGGTTGTTCCAGATGGGCGTGACCACCCTGCTTGATCTGCTTGAGGTACACCTTTTTGCGAAAACAAAGATGAACTTGATGATGCCACTCTCGAAGTTCACGTAGTTGTTGCTGTTGTTCAGGTGTTCGTGCTGCAAGTCCTTGCATCAGTGACCAGGGTCCACAAGTTGGTGAAAGGTAGATCTCGTCAGGGACCTCTTTCTCCTGCAAGGCCAAGAACGCACGTTGGTGAGCAGGTTGATCAAAATCCCAACAAGTGTCGAGAGAAAACACCCTCACAGTGGCTCCAAGGCTCTCGGCGATCTGTGCCATGCGGCTGCGACCACCATAAACTTCCCAAATCACTCGACCACGATCACCAGCATGAAGCTCGGAGGTGATGTAGCCATGCATGTCATTGAGCTCCTCAGTCAGGCGGGCATCCATGGTTTGAAAAAGATGCCGTTGGCACCTGACTGTGCCAGGTAAAATCCATTCATCGCCATGGTCATGAGCTTGAAAAATCATCTCTTCACCGTTGAACTCCAGGAAGGTGCGAGGATTCAAGTCCACCTCGCCAGGTGAGGCCAACTGCAAGTCAAAGTGGGGCTCAAGGGCTGCATGGAAAATCTCAAAGTCCATGGAGAGAGGTAGCAGATACTCTCCATGCAGACCCATCAGCGCAGGCATCCATTGACCATCACCATACCTGATCTTCTCAGAAGAAAAGTCCAAAGCTATGCCAAGTTGTTGTATGATTGGCCGGCCACACAACATAGGCGTTTCACCAGGGACCATGAAAACCTGGGCAAAACCGTAGAGGCCATTCACAAACATCGGCATTCTGGCGACCCACTTGGCTACGCTTTCAGCGTCTCCTCCAAAATGAAATTTCCGATCACAACGGTAAAACAAAATGGTTTCCACAGGGTAGCCAAGTTGTTGCAGGTGTTTGAGGTACCTGCCCATGGGTCCATATCCACAAAGGAAAGCTGAGGCACCAGGGTCAAGCATCGCAACATCGGTGCGCTCATGCCCATGTTTGTCCATGAAGGTCACCAGGGCTCCCTCGGCATGCTTTGCCATCGACTCAGTGGCAGGAGCAGGTCTCTTGTTGGGGCTGCTCTTCTGGTTGTTGACAGGGCAGTTTGCGGCAAAATGCCCTTTCTGGCCACATCGAAGGCATTGCAGGGCAGCTTGGGCTCGTTGTTGTGGTTGTGCAGGTTTCATAGGCGCCTTGTCGTACTTGTACATGTTGGGCTTACCACCTTTCGATTTTCCCTTGCCCTTCTTGCCCTTGGGCGATCCACCGCCAGAACTCCTTGAAGGCGAGGAAGTGCCAGGCTGCAAGTTGGAGTCCTGAAGGGCAACAATGGGCAAGTAGCCACGGCTCAACTTCAGGTCATTGAACCGTTTCCTTGCATCCAGGTAAGCTGCATAGGCATCATCCCATGAGGCCACATCGAAGGTCGACGTAGTGCCATCATCAGGAAGGGTCGATTCAGCTTCCCAGTCACCAGTCTGGTAGTATCGAAGCCTTGTTCATCGAAGCTGGCATTGTCATCCCATTCCCAGTAGGCATCATAGTAGGACTGTGAGTCCCAATCCCAATCATCAGCGTCGCCATCATCGTCCAGCTCATCACCAAAGTAGGCTCGACCACCTTTCCCACGGTGCCATCGGCGGTCATGTCCAGCAGGGGCAGCTCCAAGCTTGTAGTCCTGACCCAAAATCAGGTACATAGCTTCTACAACTTTTGTCAGCTCGAGTTGCGGTGCCCTCAAATTGACAAGTTGCCGTTGTTCTTTGGTGAGGCCACTTTTTCGAAGTAGGTGCCATCCTTGCACTGCCGTCGGAAGGCTGACACCATGCTTCTCCAGTTTCTTGTGCAGCTCCGCATGGTCGCTGACATAGGCCAACAGCGTCTGACCAGGCTTTCTCTGAAGTCCAAAGTAGCCATCAAAGTCGCTGGGCAACTGCACTCTGGTATCATACTCAAAGTGACCATCTAAGAGCTTGATGATGCTCTCGAAGGCAGATTCCTTTTCACATTCATCCAAATTGAAATCTTCCACAAGTCTCCATGCCGAACCTTGAAGACTGCCGATGATGTTCAGCACGGCTTCTCCATGCCTTTTCGTCAATCCCATCTTCCTGTAGTAGATGTGGATCCTTTTCCGCCACTCCTTGTAGTCGGCAGGTTGGCCCGAAAACAAGGGGATGAAACTGTCACGGGTGGTAGCATCGGCTGAGGTTTCCTGCTTAGCAGATCCCGAAGCCATACTCCACAACGTCCAAGGTGAACTCCAAAAAGGTGAGCTGGTCTATGCCCTTAGGGTTGATCAAACAGTAGAGCTCGACCAGGAGTTCTTTCCGAAGCGCTCCACAGCCAGGACCCAGTAGAGCTAGAAGTCCAAGAACCAAAGCTCCAAGGATCAGGCAGCGCTCCGCTACCAATGTGAGATTGGTGCAGAGGTCCAAACCAAGTCTCTAGCTGAGGCACACGAAGTCCGCAGCCAAGTTGCGAAAGCAGCGCCCTTTTCAAAGCGCAGACAGCGCAGCCATGTATTGGCGGTCAGAAAGTTTCCCACCCTGAGTGGGCAAGTGGCAATTGGGCCGGTATGGCCACATGTATAAACACCTTAGCAAAAGTGCAAGACAGACCTGGCAGGTGCAAAACATGCTATGGCAAAGGTTGCATGGAGTGCAAACTAACAATATATATATATATATATCATTGTTATCACTATATCCAATGATATTCCCGGAATTCCCAGCAAGATATCTCCCACATGGTTTCACCATTCGTTGTGCATCCGCATTGTGTCACTTGGTGTTGAAGTCCAACTTGCTGAGACCCACCACGCGGAACGGAAAGAGCACCAGTTCCTGGTCGCGTAACGCGGCGGACCCTGGGGGACCCACCGGATGACCTGGGGGAGAAAAATGGCGACATTTCTGGCGTGTTTTTTTTTTTAAGGCCGGTTCCTCAATATGGATTCAGATAGTTCAAATAATATAAGACTATAGTATGTCACATTATTCAGATAGTATGTTAAGTATTAGTTACAATAATAATAGTTCAATCATGTTGCATAATGTTGCATAGTTCAAATATGTTCAAATGGTCATTGTCATCATCCCCTGACGATCATTGCACAAATCACATGCGCAGCATTGTCGGATGTTTCAGCCATGATGCCACGGCTCTGACATGGCTCCAACGCTCCAAGTGAGGTTTTGATCATTGGGGTCTGTTGGGCATACCTTCGAGATGGGAGCGAATTTCCAGCGCTTGTATTCCAACTAATAACTTGCACTGTTGGGCACTCCAAAGTCTCGGAGTGGTGGATTTGTCGGGGATGGAATATCTTCATGGTGGTTTCAATGGGGTTCAAAAAGATTTCAAAACATTTCAAAACTATGAAGGTCAATTGTGACCGCAATTGTCCACTTTCGATGGAATCCAAAGGAAAACAGCTAAAACCCACAGCAACGTGACGACATTGGCGTCCTTGCGTTGGTCCACGCCGAAATGAACCTGACCCTGTCTGTAGACGCTCACGTTCCTAGGTGGAAACGCTGGAAACGAACAGCCCGCCGATACCCGCAGTGGTTGCAGCATCCTCCATCTTGGGTGTTGAAAAACCATGGGAACTTCCACAGTGATCACCGGTCCAGGTCCACCACTGCGCCGCAACGGCTATGGAGTCCATGGAGACCAACTTAACTGGGGCCCCCACTGATAGACCCGGAAGTGCAGGGCCGCTTCCACGTTTTGGAATCCCATAAAGTCGCCCCTCACTGGGGAAACCCATGGTTCACTGGGATAGAAGATACAGCTAGTTTAATGTGTATGTGTATATCATGTGCTAAGTTGTTTTATAGTATATCTATAATTATGTATATATGATTATATATGTATATATATATATATATATGCACTTATTTGTTTTATACTATATCTATAATTATGTATAAATGATTATATGTGTATATATATGTACTTATTGAGTGAAACTCACATCCAAGCATTGCGTTCTCCGGGGTGAATTATTCTCCAATCGGACATTCCAACTTGCAAGAGATGTCAATGAATTCCCCCTAGAAGCGGTGCTGTGACTGCAAAAAGAAGACTGTTCGTGCCGAAAGGTAGATTGTGAAAAAACCTGTGCGCTTAAAAATTACTTTACTTCGTGTGATCCCCACCATGACATTTATACATGTTCTTACTGGCACATCTTCTGGCATTCTATCTGACATATCTTCTGACATTTTATTTGGCATTCTATCTGGCATATCTTCTGGCATATCTTCTGGCATTCTATCTGGCAAATCTTCTGGCATTCTATCTGGCATATCTTCTGGCATTCTATATGGCAGATCTTCTGGCATTATATCTGGCATATCTTCTGGCATTCTATCTGGCAAATCTTCTGGCATTCTATCTGGCATTCTATCTGGCATATCTTCTGGCATATATTCTGACATATCTTCTGGCATTCTATCTGGCATATCTTCTGGCATATATTCTGACATATCTTCTGGCATTCTATCTGGCATTCTATCTGGCATATCTTCTGGAATATCTTCTGGCATATCTATCTGGCATATCTTCTGGCATATTTTCTGCCATTCTACCTGGCAAATCTTCTGGCACTCTATCTGACATTTTATCTTCCTACATGAGGTCCGGCAGGGAACACTTGGCGTGGATACTCGCGGTTGAGGTCCGGCAGGGAACACTGGGCGCGGATGGTCGTGGTTCAGGTCCGGCAGGGAACACTTGGCATGGATACTCGCGGTTGAGGTCCGGCAGGGAACACTGGGCGTGGATGGTCGTGGTTGAGGTCCGGCAGGGAACACTGGGCGTGGGTGGTCGTGGTTGAGGTCCGGCAGAGAACACTGTGGATCGCGGGTCGCAGTTGAGCAAGGACAACGAGGACAACGAGGACGACGAGGACGACGAGGACGACAAGGACGACAAGGATGACAAGGAGGACGAGGAGGAGGAGGAGAGGAGGACGAGGCAGGAGGAGGCGGAGGAGGAGCAGGAGGAGGAGGAGGAGGCAACTGACATAAAATCTAACAACCCTCACCTGGCAGGTGGGGAATAAGCTTCGTTGACCTGCTGATGGTTTCTGGACGCCCGCGAGCTTGGCACTGAGCTTCCAGCTTCAAGTGCATGATGGGATCGGCTCGAATACCAAATTCGAATGCCCTCAGCGGCGTCGTCCCAGGCAGAGAAATCGCCTATTTCAATGGCCCGTCCAAATTCCCAACATGGAGAAACTGTGCCTCAGGAGGCCATTCAGAATCAATGAGGCCACCCCCCCGTTTCCAACAATGTCCTATTAGTGGTAAAATAGCAGGGGCCGGTCTGGTATGGGGGCGATCACCTCATTCATCAGCTTGGTAAAATGATATCTCTGCCCCCATTATCCCATGGCTTATCCCATGTCTAATTGGGCTATAGCATGCTATAGCCACACCGGTCCCCCTTGCGCCCAGGCGCTTGGTAAAGATCAAATACAAGGGTGGATAGACCGTGGTGTTGAGCAGTTCTCCCTGCAAGGTCTGCATGAAGCCCTGGGAGACGCCAAGAATGGGAGATGACGACGACGATGATGATGGTACTCTTGGAATAATATGTACATATATATAATATACATGTTAACATACATATGCATATTATATATATATATGATGTGTAATGTGTATGTGTGTATACAGTTACGTATATATAGATAGAGAGATGGAGAGATACATACTGCACCAACGGCTCCCTTTACGACTTGGATCGAAGCCGGTGAAGCCAGTGACCCCGGTCCTTCTCACTGTCGAAGTGCAGCACAGGTCGCAAGGTGCCACGGGTACTGGGAACATGTGCTGGAAATGGTGAGCATTGCCGATTTTTGCCCGGTAGTACTTTCGATCCATGGGTTGGAGAGGTGCCACCGGTCCATAGTTCCGATTAATGTTCCGATAAAATGGGAAGGAACACAACCGTAACCCGCTGGCGGGCAATGGCGCACACCCAATTCAAGGGATTATCATAAAGTATAATCATTTCCCTCATGTGAATTTCAATGTCGGGAATTCGGAATGCCCCATGTTTGATTTAATGGAAAAAGACATATGCAAAAACCATAGAAACATAGAGAAGAACAAACTAATACCCTCTGGAAATTAAAGATGATGATAGGCAAGTCCCCAATTAGTTCGATGAATTTTCCAGCTATAAACCATCACAAACCATTTATAGTGGATTTCCCCATGATTTTCCCATTTTTTCATGGGGATTTCCATGGATTTCCCATGTTTCCGCCTGCCACCGGTGGCCAGAAAGCCGCTGAAAGGTCCCTTGTGGTAGATTTCCATCTGGCCAGGAGTCGCCATCGCAGAAAACACATCATCATGATGATTGTTTTGTTATATATTCTTTACACATACCACTTACCATCATACCAATATATGATATAATATAATATAATATAGTATAAATATAAATATAAATATAAATATAAAATAATATAATATAATGTTATATTATATAATATAATATAACATTATATAATATAATATAATATAATATAAATATAAATATAAAATAATATAATATAATATTGTATTATATAATATTATATAATATATAATATTATATTATATATATATATTACATATATTATTATATTATATTATATTATATATAATATATACATATATATATGCATAATGATACAAGTATATAAAATCCACTTTACACCATCCTGTGGGGCTCACCAGCATTTTCTCCGCTTCCCTGTGATCCCCGTGACCGCCTGGAACTGGAATCCTGGAGTGAAGCTCACAGGCATAGGTCCAGCAGCGTGGTTAATGGGGCTGAACCTCGCCACGCTGAAGCGCGGAACTGAATCGCTGGGAGCAGCTGGGATACCATGGGATACCAATGGGATACCGGGATAGGACCCACTCTACCGTAATTCCCTGAGCCATTTTGAAGCATTTTGAAGTATCCAATACTTTGGATTGGTCAATCTCCAGCCAGATGCTGGCAGATTCTGCTGTGGGGCACCATCTCGTCTTCTCGAACTTGGTCAAAATTCGGAGGAATGGGAAATTCTCCTGACGAAAAAACGGAGATCCAGACACCACATGAAGGCGACATCCAAATCATGGGGCCCAACAGGAGTCTGAACTGCAGAGATCCTAAGAAAGCATTATCATTATGTACTATATATGTATATATATATATTATGTGTATATACATTATATATATATATTATAGATAAAGGTTTGGCTCTGTGCCGGATCAGGGGAAGTACTTCCACCCCCTGTTTCTGGTTAGGGGTTCATTTCCTTAGTGGCGCGTTCCACGGTGTGCCACGGGCTGCTGTTCTTGCGCAGCCTTCTCGACGTGGGCAGCTGGCTACTTTGGTGTTTGAGGGGCTTTCGACCTCTACATCCCCGAGCTTGCTGCTCTGGTGTCCCAGCACCAGATTAAACTAAATCCTGGGTTTTTGGCGACCCTTTTTGCATTTGCTGTGCTCTCCTGGCTGGTGTAGCCAGTGATCACCTTACCTCGTCTGAACTGGCTTTGCTGCGGCATTACCCTGGACTTGGTATTTGGTTTATGTTTTCGGGCGCCTACATCTTCCTCCTTGCCAGCTTTGTCAACCTGCTCTCCATCAAGGACACCATTGGGATTGATCTGATTGACCTCTCTGTGTACCAGGACGGCGACTGCGAACCAGAGACGCAACTTCAGAAGGAAACGGGCTGCTGCCCGACGCGATTGGTATCTCCATCGTCGAGGCATTGCACCCCTTGGGCCTTTGAGGTTGAGGAACATCATACATATCCTTGGAAGCCACCATTCCAAAGACACGAGTTTTCTTTGTCGAGTTGCCGCAGCAATGACGACGATGAATCGTGCTCCATGGAAATGCCGCATTTGTCGGCAATTGAGGAAGAGCAGTGCAATGTACTGTTCCGTATGCCAGCAACCATGGCAAAACGTGATCGACCAGTCCTATGTACACGGCTCGAAGCAGACGGTACAGGCGGACCAAGGCCAGTATCAGCAGTCACCATGGCAGCAGCATCAACAACAAGACTGGCAAGCGCACTGGCAGTCGACATCTTCGAGAGGAAGGACACCTTCTCCGAGGCAAAGACAACGGCCAAAGAGCGTCAAAGGCAACAAGACCCCCAAACAGAACCAGCCGCAGCAGATGCAGGCTCCGCCCATGATGATGCCGGCTGTTCCCATGGGGCAGATTGCACCGATGCCTGTCATGTTCCCCCAGCAGGCAATGCAGTATCCAATGCAAGGGACAATGCCTCCATTGCCCCCACCAGATGCAGCATGGCAACCGCCTGCCAATCCCAATTTGGCGAAAATGCCAGCTCCAGTTCCTGCTGCACTACATCCGATGGCTATGCCTTTTACCCCCACGATGCCAGCACCGCCAATGCCAAAAATGCCGGCGACACCGATGACATCAAGTTCCGACACCGATGCCGAGGTCAGAGGGCTGATGACCATGATGAGGGGAAGACAATCCGAGCTACCAGAGGATATGCAAAAGAAGGTCCAAAAGGTTTTGACCAAATTTGGACAGCAATCATCCACGGATTTGCATGCAGCCGTCACTGCTCTGGACACTGCACGACAGAACTACGACGAGGCTGTCACAGCCCGGAATCAACACCACAACATGTGGAAGAAGTTCCTATCGGACGCTGTCCAGTTGTGGCAGACGTATGCACAGCAATTCATGGAGCAGGAGAAGAAGCTGCAAGAGCAAGTGCGCACTTCCAAGGATGCATTGCTCTCCGCCAAGAAGGACCTCGAGAATTCCAAGCTGGCAAAGATTGGCACTGGCGACGTGCAGAATATCACCTCGGACGAGGAGACGGAGGATCCAGATTCTACGAGCGCGGCCCAAGCTGCCACCAAGATCACGGAAACGATGGAGGGTCTGGCCAGTTCTTTGCAGTCCCTACATCAAGAAGCCGAAGCTATGGTGGCGGAAGAAGCTCACGCTGCCAAGAGGCCAAGAACCACGCCAAAAGCAGAAGACGCTGCAATGGAAGATCCAAAGCATGGGTCGCATTTTGGCAAGGCTGGTTGAGCATGACTATTCAGTATGCCAACCTGAAGCCATGGTTCAGTCTTGACTCCACGATCCCTGGAGAGATTGCCGTTATGAAATGGTCACACAGCATCATCGAGGAGCGCAACTTTCTCAATGAGTGGGCAGCTATTGAAGAAGCGCGTTGCCTGGCCTTTGATATTGGGACCTATAACGGCATTGTGATCGAGGAGTTCAACTCTCGCAAGCGATTGAAGTCACCTACAAGCTCTGTATCACCGGCCAGGGGATTGGGTTTTGCTCCTGATGTCGACGTTCTGATCGGACTTGAGGATGAATTGGTCATGTACAAGACTGTTGTTCCCGAGATCAGTCTTTGCAAAGGACTCATGCCATGGAGGACAGGCCTTCAGCGCGGCGGCAGTTTTTCCCATCAGCCACCGAATGACGTTGATTTTGAGTGGACTCGACAGAATCCTCTACCAATGAAATGCCCTGCGTCATCCACAAGCGACCGCACGGGCCACATTGATCAAGATCGACCCTCAGGAGATATGAGCCTGCCTCATGCCAGTGGAACACAGCGACCAACAGAGACACCTTCGTGGCAACAGGAACTTCTCACACTCCTGGAGCAAGAAGGACAAATCGATTTGGATGAGGATGACTTTGTAGTGTATGCAAGTTCATTCTTCATTGATCATCTACGACTCCAATTCCACAACGAACCTCGCGTCCTACGATTTGATGCCGATTATCAAGATTGGGACAGCACCACACGGTTCATATGGGAAGATCTTGCAGATCCCAATTTGCCGCTGGAGATTGTCATCGTCAAGCCAGATCCTCCAAGATTTCCCTTCCCGGGCACCAGTGCGACAGTAATAGTCCACCAGAACCTCAGACCAGAACGTGCCGCATGCCTCATCACGACGGTACGCATTCAGGATCCTGAGACTATTTTCCAGCACACAGCGCACTCTGTTGAGAGACTTTTGATGCCCGCACGAGCTCTGCAGTTAGCTGGTGTTGAACAACTCTGCCAACAACGAGAAGCACAAGGTTTTGGACCCTGTACACTACACATTGGACATCAAGTCCTGCCGATGGACCAGGACATTGACATCCACCATGGTTTGGGTCTACACATCAGGATTCCCTCGACGCTATCTCAAGAGGAGGCGGAACAAAATTTGGTTCGTCGACTTCAACAGCAACGACGTAACAGGGAAGGAGATCACTGGGATCCGGCGCCTGGAGATGATGAACCCGAGGCTGGGCACCCTCCACGCTCGAGGCCGCGCCATGCGGCACCAGACAATGAGCCGCCAGAGGATGCTATCTCCCTCATGGGCAGACGACCGGTCAGGCAAAATGCTCCTCGTCTTGAGGCATCTTCATCGACATCTTCTTCCAGTAGCACTACATCATCAGTCTCATCGTCGGCAGTGTCGTCTACGGACTGGAGATCGACAGTTATCCACACACTGGATGGACGATCCACTTCGGCCAGGCTTCCATGGAACGACTATGACCAGATCGTGGTACAAGCCGCAATCGCACTTTCTCTGGAGAAGACAGCAGTCCTGCGTGTACAAGCAGTGCTTCAACGCCCAATTGACTATGTCCAGGTCGACTTGCACTGTCTGATCCTACAAAGATCACATGAGTTCCGTCCCTCTCCAACCGAAAGACTCACACTTGTTGACCTTGAAATCCATGTCGACAATGATGTTCAACCTACACCTTTCAGTCGGAAGGCAAGATGGCTACCTTATGTAACCACAAGACAGACACTCTTGCGAGTATTGCGCCTGGAGACTTTATGTGCCCAGCCACAGGCATGCTACCTGTGGCGCAATAACATTCTCATTGAGGAGCATGCGGCCACACCGATGCATATTGCTGATGGTGACTACATAAAAGTCTTTGTGGGCGAGCTGGCTGAGCAGGACACCTGCCTCTCAGACATCGACCTTGAGCAGAATGACACAGATAGCGCAAGGTCAATCTCAGAAGAGGAAGAGACACACAGCCTCTTTCAAAGGAATGCTGTACAAATGCAACGCGCTTGCCAAACAGTCCTCCGACAGTTTGAGCCATGGACCTTACGCACAGCACCAGAGCACATCGTTGCTGGTAGCTTCTCCCGAGCTCTACGTCCTCCACAGACACCTGAACTACGCATTCAGATTCAAAGTGGATTCCATCGTGGTGATGGCCAAAGACTGCTCAACACCTTCGAACAGGAATCCTTTGTTGAGTGCACTGAGGAGGGACCAGTGGCGTACATCGACACGTGGTATGTACATCATCAACGACAACCACACTGCAGAAGAGCACGACCTTTCCGACTCCAAGGTGATGTCGCCACATGGAAGGATGAGATCTTGGAACTGTGGTCGGACACGATCGATCCTGATCTGGCAACCACCGTACATGTTGTGAGGCCTACACCGCCATGTGCGATGACAGAATGTGTGATGGCACATCTGATCTTGGAGCAGTCAGAAAGGCCACAGTTCACGGTCGGGCTCATCACAGTCTATGTATCGGATGGACGCAGAGACAGCACTGAACATGCCGCATACTCACTGCCAGATATGATGACTGCACAAATGGTGTTGCGTTTTGCGGACATGCAACTGACCTGCCAAACAAGGCTATGCTCAGTATCCATTGGCGGCATCCCCTTTGCTCACCATGATTGGGAAGAAGTTCCGCGTGCTACTGGTCTTACCATTAGCATTCGACCTGCCTTCCAATTTACTGAAGAGTCTGACCACATGGACCTGATGCAAAGATCTCGTACAAGATGGAGACGATCACCTATGCCACAGGATGGTGTCGATCTCTCTTCAGCGCCGGCCAGATGTGAACAGCGTCCCTTTGTATTCAACCCTGCTGCGCCAGTCTTTGACCCAGGAGCTCCAAACCCTCAGACAATGTCTGAAGACATACAGGAACTACACCAGCACTGGCTCAGGACGGCCTTTAGTTGGGATAATGAAATTGCATCTACAGGAGTGAAGACGTGGTTTGTCGATCACCACAATCAATTCTATTGGATGTGTCAACTTCCAAGATCCACTCGCCTCTACGAAGATTTTTCCCAGTGGGAAGCTCAACTTAGGCACATTTGGCGAGATCTTGTGGATCCCACGGCAGAGTTGACGTTTCAAGTGGTGACGCCCACGCCTGTCAACACGGATGCAGAGACAGCCGCACATGTCATTCTGATTCAACGGCCACATGCTGTTTTTGCCACCATCTTGACGACTGTCATTGATCGAAGCCAGCCACCAGGGAGCGTCATCATGCAACTTGCCATTACGGTACATGAACATTTGTATCTTGAACATTTGCTGATTGCGCTTGGACTTGCTGGACGTTGTCTCCATCCGGGAGCCCCGATGCAATGTCAGACATGGTATGATCGTATGCAACTACGTCAAGGAGCGCCATTCCCGGCACGCAACGGACAGAGCATACTGATCTTCATGGACCGCCGAACTACATATCAACACACACAGGCCGCGACCTCGTTGCTACAGACAAGGGCCACTCTCAACCGTCGTGAGCGCCAAACACATGGGCAGGTGGCTCACACCCATGGGCCACGACAGGACGATTCCGTTGAAGACATCCCCTTGCCAAGGAGTGATGAGGCCGAGACCGTGGAAGACACAGAGATCATCTTTATTCACTGGCCACCGCAATATCAGCGATCAGTTCCACTACCAGCCTTCATTGAGGCGCCACGCTGTGGGACTGACCAACAAATTCTGCAAGAGTTGCGATGTTGGGGATATGAAGGACAGGTCATCAGATGTGGACAACATGATGCGGTCTACTTCTGTCCGAAGGATGCATCTCCAGAGATCGTACACATCTATTGCAATCAAGAGGTCAAGGAAAAAGATGGCATCCATGTAGTGTCAGGAGCACCAGCACAAGATGACTTGGTGCATATGAAGTTCCTCTATGCCAAAGGATTTCACAAAGCAGTGATTGTCCAACGAGACACTGTCCTGCCTTCTGTGACTATCCTCTACTTCAGGAATGTCGAACCGCAACATGAGGACAATGCTCGACCAAAAAGAGAACCAACACCATGGCCACAGCCACAACCTCTTCAGTACAACATTACCAAGCCCTACATCAAAGGCAGTGAATCTGCACGGCAGTCAGACTATGTGCTTGCGTTTGACAGGGAGGAATTGCACGCCTTCTTCAATGCACCACCGATTGCACTGGTCACAGACATTACGCCCTATGATGTTCCTGACTTCATTTGTGAGGCCATTGCAAGGTGTAAGCCTCTAGATCGACATGACCGCCTTGTCATATATACAGATGGATCCTCGCAAAGCAGACGTAGACACTGTTCGCCCATCTGGACCGATCTACATGATGTCAGCGACTCTTGGTGCTTTGCTGTCTTTGCGGAGCAGTACGCAGATGATGGTCCAGGACATAGCCCTCATCTTGAGTTCATTGGCTTGACTTGTCAGCAGATCTTGTACGAACCTGACAGACCTCATCATGCTGGGACAGATCACACCGGTTCCGATGCGGCAGAAACAGAAGCCCTCCTATGGAGCGCACTCTGGCGCCTTGCGCAAAACCATCGTCTGCCGACGGTCTTTGTCTCTGATTCCCAACTTGTGGGAGGACAAGCCATAGGCAAGACAGGCACGAAGATGTTGACAAAGCCCTTCTGCCACCTCCGAGCTGCGTTCCAGGCGCTGGAGGCAATGCTGCCAGGGGAACAGTTGAAAGTGGTTCATACACGCAGCCATGCCGGGGAGCCTTACAACGAGCTGGTCGATCATTTTGCGAAAAGAGAGGCCAAGCAAAGCCTGTATTTGCCTCGGCAATCAGTCAATCTCAGGACCTTTGACCGCATCCTGTCAATCTTATGGATGATTTTGTCCCAGGATGGCGATGTGCCAAAGCAATGTGCAGAGGGGTTGGCAATCACACCGCCACAGCTCCCTTCAGAGCAACCGATGCCATCGGCATCCCTCACTATCATGACAGGAGCTGAACATCACAAGATCCATATTGCGCTCAGCTTTGCTACGGCAAATGTCCGAACCTTTTACAAAGGAGATGAAGGAGTGCCTGGCAAGCTTCACTATGTCAGGGCACAGTTCAAGCATTTGCATCTTCACTTCTTGGGCCTTCAAGAAACCCGCACATCGCGATGCTCCTCTACTGCTGACGGTGTTTACCGGTTAGCTAGCGGGGACCACCAAGGCCAACAAGGAGTTGAACTATGGATCAACATGGAGCAACCCTATGGCTGGCGGAATGGTAAAGCTCTGTACTTCAAAGTGTCACACTTTGTAGTGACATACACTGACCCTCGCTTCATCGTCGTCCATGTGCGCAATGAACAACTCGACTTTTGGATAGCAGTCGTGTATGCACCGCAAAGTGGAATTGCTTTGACCGAACGGACTGAGTGGTGGGCCCGATTCACAGAACAGCTCAAGGCTGAAACAGAAGGCCATGATTTGGTTCTCATGATTGACGCCAATGCAGCCACTGGAGCCACAGATGGGGAGCATGTCTTCATTCAGGATGACAAAGCTACTAGTGGTACTTGCCTCCTGCGGGAACTTTTGGCTACACATCGACTCTGCTTGCCTGCTACCAGTGAATGCCACCAAGGTGAACAAGCGACACGGACGTGCCCCGCCACCGATATTGGGCATCGCATTGACTATGTCGCATTGCCTATTACCTGGCAGTCCTCGTGCACCATATCAAGAACGATACCTGAACTTGATTTTGGACACGTTGGAGATCATACAGCAGTTGGAGTCGAAGTTCAATGGCGACAATTCTCCGCCCCAACACATCGACAGGGACGACGAGGCGTACAATTTGATCGCCAAGCCATTGCGGGTCAATCATTACATTTGTACCTCGCAGACTATGTCCCCCTCGATTGGCAGGCTGATATTGAGAATCAGGTACATCATTGCAATGCACATCTACATCAGGTTCTACGCAAACATTGCCCCAAGCAAGGGCATAGACCAAAGAAGCAGTTTATCACAGAGGAGATCTGGCAACTCCGAACGCTCAAACTCCGAGAAGGAAGACAAGTACGACATCTTCGACGTCTCCAACTTCGAGAAGTTTTGGCGCACACATTTGCAGCCTGGAGGTCGCAGCAGAGAGAGCAACCTTCGAATTGCTTCTACGTGACGCTCCGGTGTGCCCAACTCAAAGCTGGAGTCCAGTTCCAAATCCACAACAGGGAACTTCGGAAAAGCCTCCGCAATGCACGTGGCCATGCTCTCAAGGAAGCACTTGCCAGTCTTCCCTCTGATTGCTCGGCCAGCGCAGTCCTGCAACAACTCAAACCCATCATTGGACCGACCAATCTCCGACACAAAAGAGAGACGCCCTTGCCCATTGTGAAAGATGATGATGGCAACCCTTGTCGCACACATCAAGAACTTGTCGACAGATGGGTCAATTTCTTTGGGGCAATGGAAGGAGGCACCCGGATGGACGCTGATCAGCTTCGAGCGCAGTGGTTATACAATCTGGGCACCTTCATTCCGGACAAGCTTTGCCTACAGCCCGAAGACTTGCCCACCTTGGTCGACCTTGAGCAGGCCTACAGATGTGTTAAGCCTGGCAAAGCAATTGGAGCAGACGATATTCCGCCAGAATTGTGTCATGCCCAACCAGCTCTACTAGCCAGGCTTACCTTTACGCAGATGCTCAAACTCACTGCACATGGGCAGGAGTCATTGTTGCACAAGGGTGGGCAACTTGTCTCTGCCTGGAAGAGGAAGGGGCCGCAAAGCGACTGCAGCTCATACCGTTCCCTTTTGATCAGCTCGCACATCGGCAAGACCATCCACAGAGCTGTTCGCAGCAACCAGTCCACCATCTATGAGAACTTCCTACAGAATAGTCAGGTAGGAGGACGCAAAAGAGTTCCTGTTGGCCTTGGGGTTCATCATGTTCGTGCTTCGCTCCGTCGGGCGAAACAAAGGAAAGCTTCCTCGGCCCTCATCTTCTTAGACCTGCAGGAAGCGTTCTATAGAGTTATCAGGCCACTTGCAGTTGGAGGTGCTCTCACTGACGACCTATTAGCCCAGATTGCTCAGCGTCTCAGACTTGACGAGGACACTCTTCATGGACTGCATGGACTTCTCAGGGAGCCTGCTGCTACTGCATGTGCTGGTTTGCAACCGCACTTACAGACTGCGCTCAGGGCATTGCACACCGACACGCATTTTTGGATGTCGGGACAATGTGATTATGTTCGAACGGCGATTGGCACACGGCCAGGAGATCCATTTGCCGACGTCGTATTTGGCTACATGTTTGCAAGAATCCTCAAAGATGTGGAGGAACAGATGAGGTCCTTCGATCTGCTTGAGACCTATGATGGCCCCAACACGTTAGGACTTTTCTCCACTGAGCCTGCGGACACTGCCTCGCAACAGTATTTGGGCCCTACATGGATGGATGACCTTTGTATCACTCTGTCAGCCTCGACTGCAGAGGACATCGAACGCCAAGCAGGACAAGCCTGTGGCATCTTGCTGGACACGTGCCGTCGGCATGGGGTCTCGCCCAACCTTAGCAAAGGGAAAAGTGAGATCCTTTTTGCCTTCAGAGGGCCTGGTTCCCGGGCGCACCGCCGAAAATACTTTGGGCCCAGCCAGTCTGGTCGAATGACGATCGTCACTGAACAGGGCGTACAAGAAATTTCAGTCGTTGGGCAATATCAACATTTAGGCGGACTGGTTCATCACAGTGGCGAGACTCGCCACGAGATGCGAAGAAGGGCGGCGCAAGGACATGCAGCCTTCTCCCAGCACCGCAGGGCAATCTACCAAAACCATCAATTGAACCAGCGGAAGCGAAGTGAGCTCTTCCAGACGTTAGTGGCGAGCAAGGTCCTCTTTGGGATGGAATCATGGACGCTTATTGACAAGGTCAACAAGCACTATTTCCACAGCGCCTACATGCGACTGTATAGACGCTTGCTGAAGACCCCTCCTGCAGCTTCCTTTTCTGATGAAGAGATTCTCACCCAAATCGGCCTGCCCTCACCAACCACACTTCTGCGTATTTCGCGCTTGAGGTATTTGGCTTTGCTCTACAAATGTGAACATGTGACGCCTTGGGCTGTGTTCCGCACCGACACAGAATGGTTGACCCTCATTCAGGACGACCTCCAATGGCTTTGGCATTTGATTCAATCAACCACGCAGCTCCCAGATCCGGCCACTCACTTTGGTGCATGGGAAAACGTGCTCCGCTACCATCGTACCTACTGGAAGAGACTCCTACAAAGGGCATCCCAGCTGGAACTACTGCACTGCGAAGATCAGGTGCTCTTGCTCAAACTCCATCGTGATGCCTTCAGGATTCTGGAGCACAAGGGCCCCTTTGCACATCGACCACAGATTTTTGTGCGAGCCCCTGATCAAGCAGACGAAGTCTTCGGTTGCATGTATTGCTGCAAAAGATTTCGCAGTCATGGAGGCGAAGGAGCCCACCTATGTAGAGCGCATGGCATTGTTTCGCAGCTGAGGTGGCTTTATGATGGCACGTCATGCCCGGCGTGTCTACGAGAGTATCATACTTTTGCAAAGTTGCAACAGCATCTCAGAGGAGCCGCGACCTGTCGTGCACTACTACAAGGGCAAAGACACTGCAGGGAACCTGCCCCAGGTAAGGGCTCTGCGGCCAACGAGCGCTTACACAACCTCCATGATGGCCTGCTGCCGATCCTACAAGCCCAAGGACCAAGAGATGACCGACGCCAACCTCGAGCCGAGGAGAACTATGACCTCCAGCTCTTCGAGGACTTGGCCACACTATGCTTCGAACATCAAGACCATCCAGACCGTGATCTACAAGCAGCCCTCACAGCAAAGATCCAGGAACGCCCCATTGGTTGGACTGCCACCAGACGCACATTGCAACACTTTGTGGACAGCCTGACTTGCACAGATGCCGATCTGGCCCAGCTGGACTTTGACGAGTGGAAAAGGATGCTTACAATGCTTGGAGATTTTCGTGCGTGGAGCTTCTTACGAGAAGATCATCAACAGGATCCTACTGAACATGACCTTTCTCTTGATCAGTATGAAGACTGGTGCACAGAGCTCCGTGCTTTTGAGACGCCTCGTGCACAAGATTCGCAAGTCCCACGCATTCGATTTCAAGAACGTGTTGTGGTTCATGCTTACTCGGGGAGGCGCCGCCACGGGGATTTCCAGTGGTATATGGAGGCCATCGCCGAGCGCAAGGACATTAAGCACCTCTTTGTTGTATCGCTTGACTTGGTAATCGACCAGGAATGGGGCGACATTGGCCGCCAGGAATCGTATGAATTCTGGACGCATGCCATCTACAGCGGATACGTCATCGGCATGATCGGGGGGCCACCCTGTTGCACGTGGTCTGCCGCCCGGGGCAAAACCGATGCGAGCATGGCACAGCTTGGTCGCACTGGACCACGGCCCATTCGTTCAGCTGCAGAACTATGGGGTTTCTGGTCCTTGTCCATCCGGGAAAAGAGGCAGATCCTGGACGGACACAGGCTCCTGGCGTTTAGTCTGATCTGTATGATGCTCCTTGAGCAGGTGGATGGATCAGGCGTGCTGGAACACCCATCCGAGCCGGCCGACCCGCTGAGCCCAAGCATTTGGAAGTTACCCTTGATGATTCTCTTGCTGCAGCTCCCTGGTTTCGACAAGGTGGTCTTCACACAGGGGCTTCTTGGGGCTGACAGCGCTAAGAGCACTACTTTGCTGACCCTCAACTTGCCGACCCTGCCGAAGCACATCAGGGCTCATGCCATCAGTGCTGAGGTGCCAAAGACCCGCTCGATTGGACTTGATCAGAGTGGGCATTTTCGAACAGCTGTACTCAAAGAGTACCCCCCGGCTCTGTGCAGCGCCATTGCTGCCAGTTTTGCCGACTTTTTAGGCACTGTGCCTGATAGCGGGCACCACATCCCGACACACGTGTTGCACAGAATCCAGGCCATGGTATGCACCGATTTCGGCACTACTATCGGCCCCGATTGTGTCAAGGGATGATGGTGAACCTGTGATTTTCAGGCGTGTCACGAATTTACGAACAGCCGCTGCCGCGACGGATTTCGTCACATCATGCAGTTTGCCAATATTATAGATATAGTATATATATTTATGTATATATACATTATATATATATTATATTATATATATTATATATATATAGATATAGATATATGTATATATATATATTATTATATATTATCTATATATATATATATTATATATAGAGATATAGAGATATATAGATATATCATTCCCAAATGATCCCAGATGCTGAGGAGAATTCTATTATTTTTTCACCACCCCGGTGAATCTGTCCAGAACTGTTGACGGAATCTTGTATGCTGATGCTTCCTTGGCGAGGGATGAGAGTACCAACTGGGAAATTCGATGGGAAATTCGGGGTGCAGACTCAACGAAATGGGGCTGTGCTAAAATGGAAAACAACTGTACTCCACTTGCAGGAGGACCAAATCTGTGCAAGCCAAGGTGATGGAGGCTGATCTCCCTCTCTCTCTCTGCCATCACACAGCGCTTGAAACCTGCTGGGTTATCGTTTTTTTCTGATTCATAAGGCCATCGTGAGATATCGTGAGGTCATCGGTCATTTCTCCCTGCAGCTAGGCCAAGTTGGGGAAGGAGATTAAGGCTGGAGCCATCTCCATGGATCGCGTACTGTTCAAGGCACCTCTCAATCTGCCCTGCAGCACTGGGTGATTCCGCTGGGAATGTCGGCTGGGATATCTTGGGATTGAACTACAAGAAGGACACACGAAGGACACACGTGTTCGGCCGAACACAGGGTTAGTTTTCTGTGGGAGAATGAACAAGGAACAAATTTAATTTACCACCAGCAGTCAGTGCTGAACTTTCATAGCAACAGTTTGCCGTGAGGAGTCTTGGAAAAAATGTGCATCGTCTTGTTACCGAACTCATCATCTCTGACTATGAACACAACTAACATATGGTCGGGGAATCTGGTTTTGATGTGAAATAATCTTCGATTTCTGGACATAAACTCCCGGTTGCTTCTTGTCATCAAAAATATGTGGCATTCCTCCAGAGTGCCATCTCCGGCTATCGTTTCACGTGGCCTGCATGATTCCCTTGCCGTTCAGCCCGGCTTGCCAAATGATGTGGGGCGCATGCATGAAGCCTTGCAAGGTGACATAACTTGGGGGCATCACAACTCAGCAGCTCTAAGCCCAAATTCGATAAAGATGCTCGAAATATATGGTTGAGGGTCACAGAGAATTTGGGGGTTCAAAAGTACAGAGTGCACTCTGGTGTCAAAGTCATGCCTTTGCATCAATATTTCCCTCCCAAAAAAACATCCGGAAAAAAACAACAAACATAATTTTTAAAAACCCTTGCCATTCAAGGTCGACCCTGCCTTCAAAGCGGGAAGTGAAGTTCAAGAAGCAGCCCGCATGAGCCTGGATTCTAGCCATCCACTGGCCCCCAATGTCGGGTCGCACTTTTGACCACCGAAATCCACCACAATGGTCTTGGTATGGAAAACTAAAATCAACAGTATCACCCCAGCTGATCCATCTTCTAGAATTTGTGCCTCAATTCATGGGTTTCGTAAATATACCGTTACTGGCCAGATTAACAAGGATAAACCCCCCTGGAAATGTTTCCATGAAACTCCATTTCATCCAGCTTCGCAAATGGACAGCAACCGTTTCACCATGGTTCCTATAGTGGGTCCCGTTTGTCCCAAGTCTGAAATATTCATCCCATTTCATCCAGCCGTTCCAAGGGTGGTTTTTCAGCATCTAACTACCATTCATTCCCATTCATTCCCATTGAATTCCATTGAATTCCCACTATCTCTCCCTATGTTCCCCATGGAATTCCCCATAACGTCCCCCATGACGTCCCCCGCCTTGACGTAAGGATTCTCCAAAATGAAGGTGCCATGGGTGTCCGGCTGGTCGATCACAAACCTTGGCGCCTGCGGATTTTTGTGATCTGCGGAGATGAACTATAGGATGGTATAGGAATGTAGCATCAAAAATGGTGAGAAAAACCATATACTATAGGAATGATCTTTATGTATTTTTTTGTAATCACCATTTTGAAAAAAGGAATGTACCCGACCTGGTTATGACTAACAGTTTGCCATGGAAGCCATGGCCCTAATCGAAATAGATGGTTTACCGAACTTAAAAATGGTGGATCTTTCCATGGCTATGTTAAATAACCAAAGGGTATATGACATATATGACATTATGAGGATAGTAATGTGGGAAACCCATGGAAACCCAATTTTTTGAGCCCAAGAATACCATTTGGGGATCGTTTACACAACCCATTTGTGGTGATGTTGGGTGTCTGGCCAATCACTTGGAAAAAAATGCAGCCTACTGTTTCTGATGATATTTGATACAGACTGAAGACTGAAGGCACAAGATGCAGCCTAGAAAAAAAACTTGGGGTCTTCCAACGTGACTTGAAAAACCGCCGCTGTTTTCCACCTATTTTCATTGATGGATCAACCGCTGCACCTTGGTTTCGTTCAGGAAGAAGTTCCAGTTCCACCCGAAGTTCGACAACTGCAGCGGGCCATTGGGCATGAAAAACAAACATCCATTGCCTGGTGGCTGAGCCACCCAGGGAAAAATATCACAAGTGGTGCTGTTGGCTCACTATAATCGTACCAAATAAAATAAGAAGAACATGAATAAGATATTGATATTGATATTGCAATGTAGTAGCAATGACGATGATAATGACAATAATAGTAATAATATATCAATACTGACAAATAACAATAACAATAGTAAATAATATATAACAATAGTAGTAATACGAATAGGGATGGATGGAAAACACAAATAAACCATCATCAACCAGCTTGTTGGTTGGTTCTCACACATCCAAACCCTTCGCCAAATGGTGAGCTTTCCCGAAAATGGGCCCGCTCATTGCTGAATGGGCTATACTATACAGACAGCTATGCCATGGCATCGTTCGGAACCACGGCTTGCCAAAGCTTTCCTATTGTCATGACATGTCATGGGTTCAGATTTGCAGCACTGATCCGCTGTTCAAAGATAGATCTGATAGAGAATGAATTGTATCCTGGAAAACCTGCCCCTACATCCGTGAGTTACAATGCAATACTGCCATTGATTTCGCAGTTATACCATGTTATACCCTAGGTTTCTGTCAAAAAAAAACATCCCATCTTCATCGCTGCACCTGATCGGGGTTGAAGCTCACAATGCCGTTGGTCCTCTGCATATCAGCTGAGGTTTGACCTGTCGATCAGGGCATGGTTGGGGAAAATGATGAGAGACCGACCATCCCATTTTTGGGGTTACCAAGGTCGTAGGAAATGTACCAGAGCAATTTTGATGCATGGATTGCGACACAAATACCGGACCCAGGTTGTACCTAAGTTCATCAGACCCAATCGGACTTCAAGATGCAATTTTCGGAGGAGTAGGCTAAAGACGGTAGACCCGGTAGACATGATTTTGCTTGCTGACCATTTAATCATAAGAAATGGAGCGGTCTTCAGGTTGAGAAGTCGTTGCGAACCGGCCCCACGCCTCATGTAATTGTCCAAGACTGCACCACGTTCAAGCTCCCAAGGGATCCAAACACTCCAGCAACTTGGAACTACTTGAAGGATGATCCATTCACTATGGGACTTTCTCCAAAATGCCAAGCGTAACCATCAAATCCACACTTCCTTCATCCGGCCTTGCGTGTGGAAATCTCCAGCATTGGGCTGAACAAAACCTGGAAAATTGAAGAGCCTGCAAGCAATGGCGATTCATCTGCCAAAACGACTTTGTCTTTTACACAGGGTTGGCTGGTAACCGGAATGACCATCCATCTATAAAATGTATTGGTGGTTGGAGGTTTCCGAATCCATGGGGGGTACCCCTAAATCATCCATGTTTTTCCCATGGGATTTTCCATTCTAAATCATCCAGCATCACTTGATCCCCCATTTATGGAACCGTCCAATAGACCATAGGGAGCCTTCGCTGCTGCTGGCGCTGCTCGCGTGGGAGATCAAGGTAAGATCCTGAGCAGTTGATCCGGGAATTTCTCATTGGGAAACCATGGGATTTTACCAGGAAGAATCACAGGATATCACAGGTTTTACCAGGGGAACAACTTGTGGGAAACCATAGTTTCACCAGCAATTCTGGATGGAGATCCCGCAAGTGCCTACCCTTCATGCAAGTCTGAGAGTGAAGAAATTTGGGTGTTTGCAAGATGAGTGTTAGTTTTCAGGAGGGCAGGGACGAGCAAATTCCTGGTCGATCACAGGATGGATCACACAAAAACCAACCTTTGACGCTCGTTGGCCTACAGCTGTTCTCATTGTTAGAATCATCCCCATTAAGCCCAGTAGTATATCCAATAAAACCTTCCACTAAGAGGCCTCGCCAACTTCAAAGCTCAGCTGATGCACCAAACCGATGGACGGATGACCACAATATGGACAAACCAACTTGTGATTATAGTTGGTGATATGTCTCATTATGTTCCCTCCCATGAAACCACCATTTTCATTGGTAGGATCCAACTAACTTGACCATGGCCATCAAACAAATCAACTAAGTTAGCCATTAAATCCCAAGTAGCTTGGCCACTACCCTCTGGTAAACTAACATAGCAATGGAAAATCACCATGTTTAATGGGAAAATCCACTATCAATGGCCATTTTCAATAGCTATGTTAAATTACCAGAGGGTAAACATCCATGAAACCATCGGTTGAAACCGCTACGGAAACCGCTACGGAAACCGGCCCCGGTTTCAGCTTCCCGGCGACCTGAGCCACTGAGCTTCCCGACGCCTCTTTGGCCAGAAGTCATCCTCACGGGCCTCCAAGTCTGCGTTGATCCATAAGAAGTGCCATGATCATCATGTATACCCTCTGGTAAACATACAAAATATATACAATCATAGTTATAATCTTCATTATAAACCAACCAGGAACGCGAACGCGGCTTCTTTTCTCGCTTCACTCCCACCGACCCTCAGCACCTCAACGGGCATGTAGTTGAAGTAGAAGTTCACATGTTTCGCAGTGTATCCCATGTGAGGGACCGCCTGCGAAGGTGGCCATGGCTTACACCTTTGGGGTACCAAAATCATCCAACTTACCAACCTACAACATCCTATATACAACATGGATGAAAATCGGTCATGTCATGTCAAGTATGAAACCTTTCAACTTTGGGGAGAGTCAATGATTTTGAATGTTCTTGAAGATGCTTGAACCCTAGGTTCCTCAGTCACAAGGCACCTCTGTGGCAAGCTGATAGTGGAACATCTTTCCAACGCCACCATCTGAGGTCCTTTTCCTCTGCACCTGCGGTTTGCCGCTTTTGGATCCAATTTCGCTGCTCAGCCAGCATGCAGATTTGCATATGCGATCATATGCGGCCTGTACGATCTTGTGGTACATGGCACTCTCGGGAATGTGCGGGCAGTTGTGCACAAAGTGCGAGCCAACAATAAACTTGCCCGCTTCGAGGTGCCTGCCATCAACATCCAGGTCATCCGATAGGGCCTGAATCGGCCTTAAAATCATGTGGGTTTTTTTGGGATCCAGGGATCCACTATCCGCCACTATCTACCCACTATCTACCCGGAATCAATGTGAGCCTTACCAACCAGCTGTGCTAGGGATGACATGACAAGCACGCCAGGTTCACCCAAGGTGAGTGTGTGGAACAAACAAGTCCAGCCTTAGCCCCGCCGAGCGCAGACAGGTTTGACTGGGCTAACTCTACCATGGAAGCAATGACTTTTCTGACGTTTTTGCACACTGTAGGTAGATGGATGGATGGATAGGAAGATGGGTAGATAGGTAGACAGCCAGACAAACAGGCAGATATACATCTGTTCTAGATGCTTGTAGTATCTATTTGTGTCCGTATGTGAATCAGAAACATCTCGACATAAGCTTAATCTAAACTGTTTGCCAATCCCATCCCCCCTTATTTTTCACACCCCCATTCTATGGTCCCAGACAGGTGGCGTCATCCCTTACTAAAACATGGTTTCGGTGGAAGGATTGTTGGGATCATAAGTGGTACCGTATGTCCTTTATGGGATTACATATTGACCCAAAATGGCGAGATATCCAAATATCGTATCCGCTGTTGTATCATCATGTACCCAAATGGCTAGTCCATCCCAATTTTACAGTATCATTTGAACACAGTACAACATCCAGTTTTGGATGGATATAATTATTATTATTGTAATTACTGAGAATATATGTACAGTAATTATATAACAATACTACCAGTACATTGTAGCAACTATGGATATTCCTGGATAATGAAACTATCCAGTTTTGACCCACCATCAGTGGGTCAACCCTTCTCAGCATCTCACTCGTCTGGAGCACACCTGGTAATCTTGACGCCGTGCTCTGCCTGGAAGCTAAAGCCCAGCAGCTGCCGAAAAAATGGCTGGAAGACCCCAACTTGCTGGTTCTCATCGAGAAAATCCATGCAAAATCCACCATGACATTGAATATATTAAATGAAATGATATGAAATGATATGATCTGGATTGGAATGTATGGTTTGTTGGAACAAAAAATGGTGGTTTCCGAGATCTCCCTGTTCCGGACGTTCCAAAGGACGTTTTCGAACCAGATCTTTGTAGAAATCGCCTCTGTGTCCAGAGACAAGATCCGGTCAGGATTGATGTGCATCCTCCAGTTCAGCTCGATGTCAGACCCATCCTGGATGGTGCTGCTGGTGCTGGATAGCTGGGGTCGCAGAAGCTTGGACATCTTTGGAGCAACCCAAAAGGATCCCAGTTGACTCATCCCAAGAAAAATATGGAGTCCGTTTTTCTGGGGGTACATCCAGTTATCATCCAGTTATCATCCATGTTTTTTCATGGAAATGTTGGGTGATTTTCCATCCAAAAAAAGCATCCAGCGGGGCATCCCCATCAGTCCTCGAGGCGCTTCTTGATGGATCTTGAACACCATCGGTGACCATCCTGCCGAGGCCCAAAAGCCGAAAAAGCCTGGGAAATTGATAGGTTTTCAGGCTATCCATGGCTATCCCCCATCAAAAATTGGAAAATCATGGAAAATCGAAAAAGAAAAAAACCCTCCAAAAACCATGGGAATTTCGTTTGTCAACAATGGTTTCCTGTCGATTTTCCCTTAAAAACCATTGGAAAATCATGGAACCTCTATATTTTCCCAGCCAAACCAATCCATCTGGGTAAATTATAATATTTCACTAACCTGAATTAAGGCCATTTGGGGATGATTCCCCTTACTAACCAGGATTCCAGTGAGGTCGCAGTGAGGTCGTTATAATTTACCCAGATCCATAGACACTTCGCCGTGCAGAGTCGCCGCCTCATCCGCCGCTTCCTCGCAATGCTCATGCAGCCGGTGCGGCTTCAGCTCCTCGAGTCTGGTGGGATGATTTTTGATGATTTTTGGGGCCCAAAAAAATCATGGGAAATGATGGAAAATTATGGAAAATGATGAAATGATGAAATAATTGTGTGAAATTTCAGGGTTGATTCAATGCATCCTCTGCAATTTTCGATGGCTTCCCGGATCTATTTTCAATGGTGTCAGTTCTCAAAGGTGTCAGCCAAAAGTCGAGACCCAAGCCTCCAACTGTTCGAGGCACCTTTGACTTCAGCTCTACTTTTGTACACAAGATTACAATAATAGATTACATGAGTCTCTCAATCTCAACCAAGATCTGCAATATACTTTTCAAACAGTGATGGGTGGTTCCAAACTTCGTTGAAAATCTGAGTCACATGGGATCACTTTAGCATGGGAAAATCACTTCGCATCTCCTCGACATCAGCAAACGGCTCGAAGTTGGCGCTCGCTTGTAGCAGCAGAAAACCTCAGATCCAAGTGGTTTTACGGAACTATGGTCACAGGGGCAATGCGCCGGTCTATCTGCTTATGACATGTTTCATTGCCAAGCAAGCATCCACCAGAATTTCCAGCAAAGGGGCAAACAATGCTTTGCCTAGCTAAAAGTTCATCAAATTCTCAGTGAAACTTGACAAACCACCAGAGCAGTGCCTTGATAGAGGTAAATTGCTTCATTCAATCAAAATGAAACTTCTTGGAAAAGAGAACAAAAATGGTCAGATATATTCAAATGTTTCAAATATTATGAATGTTCTTCAACATCAGCTTTACAACTCAGTTTGAGCTTGGAATCATTCCGGTTGTGATACAGTACACCACACCATAGGCACATACCTGCCACCCAAAAATACGCAAAACCCTGCTGCAGAACCAGGGAAAAAGTCTGGTTTGCTCGTCCTGAGTGACCGGGCTGCACCATGCCAACCGCCCCATTGCGGCCATGCACCCACCTGGCTGCACGCCGAGAAATGGGAACTGGGATAACCATTCGATGAGGATACAACCAATGGGGACATTTTTTTCAATGGGATATAAGATGCTAGAAGGACATAAAGTGGGACTTAACCCACAAAAGTGGGATTATAACATATTATAACTTATAACCATTTGTAACCATGTTACTGGGGATGTAACCTAAAGACAAAATGTCATGGCTTTGGGTTGGACCTTGGCAATGGACAGCCACCCCGCCAGCAGTGAAGGAAACAACAACCCTGGCTGGCTTGACGTCCCTCTTGGCAGCGCTCAAAAGATTTGAACCAAAGAATGCTGCAAGGAATGGCTTGCGACGTGCCCCAGAAATGCTTCAGGCAGCTTTTGGAACTCCCAAACCCCTCCTTGGCGCATTGATTCTAGTGATGCAAAGGATTATCATGGGGGCCAAAGCTGCTATTCCCCTTCCATTTTTTGCAAAGACCCCAGAATACTCACAAATCCTCAACTTTGCCAGGTCTCTATGCGTCCAAGTTTAATGCCCTCTACTTTGACCATCCAAATATGTGTGGCTGCCATCGTCGATCATCCCACTTGGGCTCTGAGGCCAAATTCACCGCTGTCAGGGAAGTGCAGGCTCTGAACCTAAGCCATGACGACTTGTTTGATCTTTTTTGGGAATGTTGGCCAAGCATTTGGACAAAAGAGGGGGATTCCAACTGCAGTGAGTAGCCATGCGATGGGTCTCAGGACTAAGAGCGAGGCATCGCCGAGACAGCCTCACCGAGACAGGCAACGAGAGAAAAAAACGATGACTTGGTCACCACTGATCCAATGCAGATCATCAATGATCTCCCAGACAAGAGTCACCACATCGTATTCCAACAGTTGGGAACATCCAAAATCCAGAAAAAAAAATCGTGGTGTCTCTGGCAGCTGATCTGCCCACCTGTCCGGTGAGCTGTGGGCAATTCATGAGCCATGCCACTTCCAGTTCAGGATGCTCTACCTCATCACTGAGGCAGTGAAAAAAGACTTAAAATCTGTTTTGAACATCTTTAATCCCCAGATTTGGGAGCTTCAAGTCCTCCTTTCCGGGCGTCAACGTTGTTTCTGTGCTAGACATCTTTCAATCTGAGCAGAGGAACGGGTTTCAGCGGGCGCCACCAATCTTTGAGCACCGGACAGTAGGAGCAGTGAGGCTTCTGCACTCCGACAGATCAACGAATCTTAAACCTCAGCAGCTCCACTGTGGACCATGGGATGCCAAAGGAGCGCCACGACCAAGGCGAGGACAGGGATTGTTGGCCGGAGAAAGGATTTCAGTAGCACACTGGTCCTGCCAAAATAAACAAATCGGCTGTAGCTCTGCTTTATGAATCTCCAAAAGTCAGATTGCAATGATTGAGGAATGGTAGAAATCTGGTAGAACATGGTAGAACTGCTACCCAGTGTGATCCAATGATGTTGAGCTGTTGATATATCTGCCCCAAAGGTCCGTTAGCTGCCGACAGTGGGTAACCTCAGCTGAAGCGTTGAAGAAATTAGAATGCGTTGCCCATTTTCAGGTGGCAAAATGATGAAGAAGAACTCCACTTTGCATGCAAGAAAATGGTGCAAAAAAATGTTTCACCAGCTAAGAATCAGGCGGAAAGCAGTTCTAACTGCGGCAAGGCGAAAGAAATATGCGAAATGTGACACTTTGCAATGTACAGGGACCTGAGCTGATCCAACAGGGATGAATTGAAGCATGTTGGGGGTGGCAGTGGCATCATATCTGGAATCTCTGCATCCGCACCGGAGATTCTGACACGCCATCAGGAGTTTTGATAATTGCTCATCCGGCAAGTTCGTGATCTGGCGGATTCCACTCAGTGCTCAGCTGACCTGCTGACCAGTTGCTTGTCTTCGATGATTCCGCCACAGTTCAAAACGAAATGGATATGGATATGGCGGATATGGGTCAAAATTATCAAGTCACCACCCCCAGAAAAAAAAAAAAACATCACTTGTGTGGCTCCATTGCTACCCAAGTTTGACCCGAAAATCACAGTTCTCTGATGTCACCAATCCAAGCCAGCAAGGCTCCCGTCAGGCTGAGACTGGTCAGATTTTGTGAAATGTTGCTGGGGATGCTCTGTATCTTGCTATCAACCTCAGTCGGCTGGTCCAGATCAGAAACCCCTCAAAAAAAAAACACGAGAGAATCATCCGCATTTTGAACCTGAATCAAACTGACTGATGCCAAAAAAAACCTTATACTTGGATAGTATCTATTGACAAAATCACCTAAAAGTCTTGTTTAATTGGTTCCAGTAGTACCCCAAGGGTAGGGTCCCCATCATCACACCTCCGCACCCGCATCGGCTCACACTGGGCAAACCCGGCCACTTGAAGCCTGCGAAGCTTCGGGCTCACGGAGAAGAACGACTTCACGATCTCTTCCGAACAACTGCCATCACCGGCGGATGGCCACACGCAAAACATGAGGACACTGCAAAACCATCCGCAACTGGAAATATTTGGATGGTTTCATCATTTATGGACGTTTTAAACTAAACTGTTTATAAGGCTATGTATGTCGCGCCTATGTGGTAATGTAAAGATGGCAATGCCATGGATAATCCAACATTTTTGACCGGAATATGGGATAAAATGATCATGTTCCAAAAAAGAAAGTTAAGGATGATTTAGTTTCCAGGATATTCGTTCGATGTTTCCTCCAAATATTCCAGGTGTCCAACGTTTCTATCTATGACTGGGGGCAATAAACTGACCCATTCCCAGTTGCCCTCGGGCTGAATTTCCTTTGCACGAAGGCCAATGATTTTCAAATCCCACAACTGGTTTTGCAACAGTTTTGTCTTTATTAAGTTAACTATTGTACCCGAAACATATATTGTACATACATATTATATATATATATCTATCTATCTATCCATCCATCCATCCATCCATCCATCCATCCATCCATCTATCTATCATGTTATATATATACTGTATATATATATGTTCCAAGTTCCAGGTCCCCCCTCCCCCACCCATGGTCATGGTACCCCTCTCCCCCTGTAGCATGGGGGTTGTGACGGCATCATGGTTCCTCCCTCCCGGAAGATACCACATCATTGGGAGGGGGCGAGGCCACCGAACCGGGAACCAGGAGCAGATATATTATGTATATATATATTTACATACATACATACATACATACATACATATATATATATACATATATATATATATATATGAGGTCATACATGGATCATGCCACTTTCATATCCATATCAGACCCGTATCACACCCATAAATCTATGGCCAGAAACAAAAATGGAGCTTCCACAAACAGTTGGTGCCTTCTGAGGCAGAGAACTTGCAGGCTTGGAGTCACCTGGCTGCAACGTGGTCCGACTGGGAGCCCCCCATACAAATGACCCACAAAAGTCGCTATCGGACTTTCAGCTTCAGTTCAAAATCTTGGGAGAATTTTGGGGATGATAGTGGTGATCTTTACTTATCGCCTGATTTCGAAGTCAAGTACGGGTGTAAACATACTGCAGCAGTGAAACAAACTTCTCAAGTGGTCCAGCTTCTATATTTGTCAAATACGAGTACTTGAGGAGCTTAAAAAAGCCAGACTTGGTTCAGGGCTCATTTTTAGCATAAGTGAAGCATAGTGAAACCGTACTGGTTGGGATATCCAGATATCCTCCCGCATGTTTGGTACACTCAGATGTTTCCGTGACACATCTTCACATCCCTGAATGGATTTGATGAAAAGAGGGTAGCCCCAAATTTTGCTGGTTGAAAACGTCATTTTCCCTATAAATTAGCCATAAATTGAAGGTATCCCGGTATCAAATCCGAATGAGACGTAGCCGTGCCAGGTAGCCCACTTAGGAGCGGCGACCCACCTTCCAAGTCAAAGGCCGATTCGGATAGCCCCCTGAAACTTCCTGCCAGGGACCATTGGTTGGATAATGAAGCAGACCCACAGAGCAGAGTGGAGATCATGAGGATGTGTTTTTTTCATTTTTTCTATGTATAATCCTTTGGGTGATGGGCAAAACTTATCAAAACTGAAGTCAACATACCTTATCCGATCTCCACAGGGCTGTGTGTCAAGATCCTTCTACCCTGGCGTCACATCAAAATAATTAGCTGCTAGTTCTGGATGTTCATCTCTCTCATTCATCTGAATGTGTCTAAAAATAGGATACTTCTAAACTTGATGCTTGAAAACCTCATTGTCCCCATTCAAACGGTACTTTTGGTGGAAGCCTATTTCCATTTATCAACTGATTAAGTCCATAGTTTTGCTGGGTAGATCCCCACCTTGGTCAAATCCCATTGAAACAGGGATTTCCATTGTCAAATTCCTATTTTACCACTACCCTCTGGTAAACTTACATAGCTATGAAAAATCACCATTTTGAATGGGAAAATCCACTATAAATGGTCATTTTCAATAGCTATGTTAAATTACCAGAGGGTACCGTTTTTCGTTGGTTAAATCCCATGAAGTCCAACCTGGGGTATCTTTTTAAAGGTCCTTCTCTTCCTCCGGCATCACCGACAATTTTCGCACCTCAGGGACAATGCTTTTCAAGCAGCCGCTGGTGGCATGCGCAGCTGCTATCTGATATATAGATATAAATGGTAGACATAGATCCAGATCACTATATAGTTCTGCATAATCATATAGCACATACATGTTATGAAATGTGTTATAAATATCTATAATACAACATAATATAATATAATAGAATAAAATATAATATAATATAATATATTTTAATATAAAATAAAATAATTTATTTTATTTTAATATAATATGATATGATATGATCTGATATGATATAATATTAATATAATATAATATCATATAATAGAATATAATGTATTTTAATTTAATATAAGATAATGTATTTTAATTTAATATAATATGATTTGATGATATGATCTGATATGATATGATCTGATATGATATAATATTAATATAACATAATATAATTTAATATAATGTAATATATATATATAATATTATATAATATAATAGAATATAATATAATAGAATATAATATAATATAATATAATATTAATATTAATCTAATATAGTATAGTATTAATACAATATAATATAATATAATACAATTTAATATAATATGATACAATATTAATATAATATAATATAATACAATATAATATAATATCAATATAATATAGTATAGTATTAAAATAATACAATATGATATAATATAATATAATATAATATAGTATAGTATGAATATAATACAATACAATATAGTAAAATATAATACAATATAATACAATACAATATAATACAATACAATATAATACAATACAATACAATACAATATAATACAATACAATATAATACAATAGAATGTAATATAATATAATAAAATAATATTATATAATATATAATATAATATCACATAACATAATTTAAAATAATATATATATATATATACATATATACACATGTTTCTTAGAGTTGTATTTGCTAAGTAGCCAACATATCGGATAGTCATAAGAGATCCCAGTGACGCAGAAGCGCCGAAGCAGCTGCTCGACTTCATGTGAACTCACCTGGCTTGGCACTGGGAGAGATGGGAACTGGATACCCTAGGGTAAAACATAGAAAAAGATGTGGAAAACACATGGTGTTTTGGGGAAAATGATCTACTTTCATCTACTTTCATGGTGGGTTAACTCCACTTCGAACTCTTAGTTTACAGGAGGGTGCATTCCACTAACTATGGTACATGATGGAAGATCATATGACAATAATCGAATATGAACATCTATGAATCTATGAATGGGGATGCACTTGGAATTAGCAAGTGAATCGTAACTGGATTCTAAGCCGTTTGAAACCGTTTCGAGAATCTCTGGCACCCAGCTGGGCAGAAACATCCGGATGTCAGGATGTTGATTGGGCCTTGCCAAATGTTAGGATTTGTTTAGATCTATGACCTATGGTGAAACATCATAGATACTAGATAAATCATAGATCTATGATATCATCATATCTTTTTCATCAATAGATAGATAGATAATGTCAGGATCTGTGTTGATAATATGCTGATGATATTGGGCTGTTGGGCCTTGGAATGCAATGTATCACTGCAGATTCAGCTGACAGTCGCCACCTTGAACTCGAAGACAAAGCTGCAGCGAGTATTGGCCGGAAGTTGCAGCTCCTTTTCAATGGATTAGTTTAAGGGAAATTTTACAGGAAACCCCATATTTAATGGTAAAAACCATGGTTTCCTGTAGATTTTCCCTTAAACCAAACCATTGACCTTTGGAAATGACACAAGCAAACATATCCAATGCTGCCATGGTCCGAAGGATTCCTAAGCTACATGGCTCCAGTGTGTTGGAATCATCTTGCCAGTGATGACAAATATGATATAATATGATCGTGACGGGGATGGTGACAGCGATGTTGTTCTGTATATGGGGGTTTCCTAAAATGGGGGATCCCCATTTTATGGTTGGTTTATAATAGAAAATCAAACTAAAATGGATGATTTGGGGGTACCCCTATTTTAGGAAACCACTATATATATATATCTATATATAATATATATATATATATAATATAATGTAAATGGAACTTTATGCTCTGCTCGATCTCTGTCAGCACCCCAAACCTCCAACATCACGCGGAATTTCGCTGCCTTGGTCGGTTCAGAAGTGGTGAGAACTTCTCCTAGTGCCATGGAAAGAGGAGCTTAACTCAATGGATTGACTTGAAGGAAAATCTACAGGAAACCATAGATTTTCCCATGAAATATGCGGGCTTCCTGTAATTTTCCCTTCGAATTTGCCATGGTTTTTCCTGGCAAACAACACCAGGTCCTCCTGGTCCTGTTACCATCGATTTGGATCCTGGATCTCAGGCGCCCCAGCATTCCGAATCATGCACTCGAAGTATTTCAGCCGCGGGTGTCGCTTGATCCTGATGGACAAACGGCATGCTACGGCCCCCTTGGATGTGGCACTCCAACCAATGGCCAGCCTCCGGTGTCATCAAACATGGCTTGCTGGAAAATCCCATAGAATTATATATAGATGTTTTTTCCAGCTAAAAACCTTAATTTATAGGGTTTTATGGATTTTCCCATTGCTATGTTTGATGACACCGGAGGCTAGTTCAAGCCATCCCCACATTGCTGCAGCTCTTCCCCCCGCAAGTCCAGTCGTTGAGCAGAATGATCTCATCTCGATCACGTGCGTTTCCACCTCGCACTGGGGTGGGAAGATGCCTCTGCAAAGTGGAGTTCTAAAAAACCTAGTGGGTCAACCTAGTCAACCCGCAAGAATCTGTGGTTTTCATGCTTCAACCAACAAATGAAGAGGGATTGAAGGGGGTTCAGCCATCAAGAACAACCATGGGGTTAGTTGATCAACCAAAAAAAAACAGAGAATGAAGGGGACTTGATCATCAACGTCCACAGCTGTTCTGCGGTAACGACCCAGTCCGCAATTGTCGTCGTAGTTGAAGGTCAAGCACCTCAGTCGGCGATCAACTGGAATCTTCCCAAGGGATCCACGTGTGGCTTGTGGCGGATCAAAGGCTGACTGGAAAGTGGTGGTTGGCCAAATGTGGCTGACATGTTTCATTAGTTTTCCATGTTTTTTGTCCACGGCTTTCCCATGTGTTTTTTTCCATATGGGTATGGATCAATACCTATTAATACCATTTTTAGCGGGATGAACATCCATTTACCAGCTATTTTGATGTTCACCAGGGGTACAAGGTTTTGACACACTGCCATATGTGGCCATGTTTTTCTTTACTTCTCCACGCGTTTCAAGCTTTCCATATTTTGGAAAGGTCACCGCCTTTCCAATTTCAAGTCCAGCCGCTTGGATGGAGCCGAGCGTAACCTGTTCAAAAATGACAATAGCTCAGCATAGCTCAACTTAGATCTGCCTTGCCATGTTTTTTAGCTGGATAACATATCAGTCTTACCCTCTGGTTATTTAACAGTTCGCCATGGAAAATCACAATTTTTAATAGGTAAACCATCTATTTCTATGGGCCATTTTCCATGGCTATGTTAAATAACCAGAGGGTATATAAGTTGTCATCATTGTATCAAATCATTGCAAATGAATATACAGCAGAAGCCTTTGCTTGTTAGTTTACAGTTAAAAGCACAACGATTTTCCCACATTGTTGTTGGTAAACCGCCATATTTGGTGGTTGAGTCCCATTGATTCACTTATTTTAATGGTTGAATTCCCGGTGTTTGTTGAACCGTTAGTCCCTGCCCCGTTTTGTTGGTAAATGTATCGTATCCCGGTCGACCCAGTGGCTTCTCCCAATGACCAAGCAACTCTTCGTCGATCTGGTCCCGGAGTTCTCGACCTTGCACAGGCCATGGCGGCCATGGGGGTTTGACTGCTTGACCCCATGGTCGAATCATCGAAAGCTGAAGCCATGGCCCATCATGGCCCTTTGTAGATGACTTAGCTATTAAAAGATGGTCATGTTCCCTAGCTATGTTGGCTTAGTGGAGGGTAAATTATCCTTTGGCTATGGGTCGAAAGCCTGGTAGGTACGCTGGTGAAAACATCAAAGTAGCTGGGATTTATGGCTGTTGATCCCCCAAATACGGCAATGTAGGTTGTGACATCCCCATCATGTCATTCATAAATCATTGAAATCTATTCTGGTTGGTGGCATACCTACCCCTCTGAAAAATATGAGTTCGTCAGTTGGGATGATGACATTCCCAATATATGGAAAAATAAAAATAAAATGTTCCAAACCACCAACAAGTATTGAAATCTGGTGAATCTAACATCACCAAGGAATAAGGTTCTTTCACTAGCCCGGTAAAATATGCTTATCTGGACAACTGAAAAAATGAATGTCACCGGCCTGAAGATTTGAGGATGATTCCCACTATGTACTAGCCATCGTTATATTCTAGATCATCCAAATGTATCATCAATACTATATAAATATGAATGACCTAGTATTTAATATCATAGGGACTTATAATGATTTCTATATATATATACACACACACATTTTGACGAAATACATTGGATGAAAATAATGTGGCAAATCCAATCATGGTCTCAATCACCTGTTTTGCCAAAAATGGGTTGTTAAACCGTCAACTGAAAGTTTATCACTGGGTTTACACTTTACACCTTACATTTCGGCAATTTCGTTTTTTTTAGTTGCCCTCCTTGCAACTCCAACGGACAAAACTGGTGCGTGGAAGACGATTTTTTTTTCCATTGAAAATCACAAAATCAGAATTCCATGTTGGTTTTCCTACTGTGGATGGAAGAAATCCTGCATCAGTTGATAGATGGTTTATCCCACTATTTATAGGGTTTCAACATGTTTCAACCATCCAAGGTGGTGCAGGATTTCTTCCATCAACAGTAGTACAAACATGTACAAAATGTTGTGACGTGACAGTTGTGACACGTGTATCTGCCTGCTTGGTCTCTCCGTGCCCTGAGGTCCCAGCAGGTCGAACGGACAATGCTCAACTGGATGTTCACCTGAGCCATTTTTGTCCCCACCGAAGGCGGTGGGAGATACCTGTTACACCCTATTTTTATAGACCAATGATGACCAATGTGTCACGAAAAAAATCAGATTCTTGGTTCCTGGCCTGGCTAGCGGCTTTTTTTTATGTCTTGGGTCGAGTCTTTCAACTACGAAAAAATGACGCACAGCGACTCTGGTCGTTTCCAGACCTCATCCCATGTTTTATCGGTACCCAATGTTTTGACCCAGAAACTATTCTCTGAAACCCAGCTACCTGATGCCAGATCAGGTGGGAAGCCCACCTCATTCGCACCACTGTAGCATAGCAAGTCACCAACCAGGTTGAAGAGAATCTGCGACCTCTTCAAGATTCTTCAAGGTGTGCAAGGCAGCCAAGGCAAGGAAAAAAAATCACAGAAATGTGAAAAAAGGATGTATACTGGTTGGGGCTTTGGGAACATTTAATTTTATTTTCCATTCAGTTGGGAATGTCATCATCCCAACTGACTATGTGTTCTAATATGGTCGACTGAGTCGACTGAGTCTACCTGACAACCTAACAACCGCCGTTTCTGAATGCTACCCTCTGGTAATGACTAACATAGCTATGGAAAGATCCACCATTTTGAATGGGAAAATCCACTATCAATGGCCATGTTCAATAGCTATGTTAGTTTACCAGAGGGTATCTCAAGTTTCTGTTGGTCTTGGTAGATCATATCCCCGCCCATCTGATATTGGTCATGCTATCCTCATGCTCATGCTCAATTCTGGAACATATTTAAAAAAAACATAGAACAAAATGCTATCCAAGGCAGATTTTAGGATATTTAAGGAAGGCCATAAGGTCACTTTAAACTAGCCAGATATCTCCAGATCACCAGCCCGTTTTTTCCACCAGGGATGCACCTGATGGGTGACGTCAAATCCAGAAAGGACCAAGGCCTTTCTGGTGCGATGCAGCATGTGACCATCGCATGATATGGTGGGATTTTGGGATCTTTGGGTCATGAATTTGGGGATTTTGGAACTTGAAAAAGAGTGGAATGTGGTACTATGTGGTACTTGTACTCTGAATGTAACCACATAGAAAACCAGGATATGGCCAAGAGAAATGAATAGAAATGAGTGAAATCAATGATGGGATACTGTGGACACTGTGGACATGTGGACCCAAAACTGTGAGGGAAACGAATGCATCAAGGAGTCAACCTGATTCTTGGACAATCCCATGAGTGCCAGTGGTGGCTAACCAACGTCGCGACATCTTCAGTGGTTTGAAACGTTCAAGCGGAAGCTTCGAAGCGCTTCGCCCTAGATCTGCCATCCCAAGACTTGGGTTTGTCTGAAAATAGTGTACCCCTACACCCAATGGTTAATGATCATTATCCCTACTAAATGGCTATAATTGGGGGTATACCCCATTTTCAAACATACCCACTTCAAGTTTCCCTCTTTCTCAAGACAGTCCAAGATATTCTAACCCCATTCCATGGTTTGGTTCGAAAAAAGCAGGGATCGGGACGAGCTGGTAGAGCCCACAGCACCGGGCCTCAGGGCTTGAGCTGAAATGGTGGATGAGCCCGCCATGGTGTGGCCATTTTTCATGGGGACTATGATGATTCGCCACTGGACTTGGGGACCAGATTCCTTGGAGAATGATGAAACATGTCTCCAAGACTCTCCAGGTGGTTTCTTGGGTCCTCATCTCTTGAACAAGTGGATACAGCAAAGAAACTTGTGTTCCAAAAGATCCAAAAGTCGTGACCTAAAGTTCAGCATCATTTTGCTGATCTTCTTGTGTGCTCCCGAGTTCGAGAAAGCCACCTTGGAAGCTTTACACATCTTCCTTCAGGTCGTTGGTTGCTGGGATCACTGAAGGGATGGCAATCCAAGGGCCAAGCTGAAGTAAAGGTTCAGGTGGCGGCCATGGGGGACATGCCTAATGGAGATCAAGGGAAATGGACGTTGCGGGGACGAAATGTGGAGTTGGGGAGAAGATTTGGGGATTGACGTTCCAACCTCTCAAGATCAGATCAGATATGATCCATGGATTGATTTCAGGGATCTACAGAAAGCCATGGTTTTTGGCTTGGGGTTTTTGAGGGGCTCCTGTAAATTGCCCTCCAGTTTTCTGTGAGGTCCGGTTGGAGAGATCGCCCATCTCCTGGACCGTTTAGCCAAGAAGAACATGCCAGGGAGACACTCGGCCGAGAGCAAGGTATCATTCCTTTGCAATTGAAAACCAGGCAGACATGGCAAGCGTCCTCTGACTGGGCTGTTGAAAACGATCGTAATGATGTAATGAGAAACCAAAAATCAGAATATACCTTTCGAAAGGTAGGACATAGCATTTATAGTAGGACAACAGCCTTCGTGTTGGTGTTTGTGAGATGTTGTGGGAATCTGGCTGCGGCAAGTAGGACGAAATTACAGGTTTGAGCCAATGCTGAAGTCACACGGCGTCAGATGCAAACCTCTGCGCATCGTCTAAACCCTGGAACCCCCTTGTGAACATCCTACTGCTCGCACGATCCTGGGGGTGAAACCAATGGATGTCAATGAATAGAATTGATTGTTTGGGAATGTTCACAGACCCATTTAAGGTGGTGTTTTTCATGGTGTTTGGTTTCGACCTATCCCAGGGTGCGAATTCAGTCCTCTTGGGAATCCGCCCCTTTTCAGAGTCGGTCCCAAAGATCCCACTCACTGCAATGTCGAAGGCCCTGAGAGGTGGGGCCAGGCGACCAGGGGGTGGTCATACAACCTGTTTCTTCCTTCTGCATCCAAACAGATCTACCCCTGATGACCCAAAAGAATGTGGAAACAGCATAATGCAACAAACAACAATCAAGATGCATGCCACAAACATGTTTCAAAGTCCGTGTTCCGTGCTCCTATTTGACAACATGGAAATGTGTGGCCCTCTTTTTGTTGGATGTTTCTTCAGCCAACTTCTCCTTCCACCGATTGAGGCAGAGACCACACTGACGGCTGTCTTCTCGTAAATTCTCACCCAGCTGTGTGGGACTGCATTCCACCTGGATCAAAAACGGATCAGCGGCAGGTCTGAGTGCCACATAGTGCTTCACTGGGAAATCCCTCCAGATCTATTGAGATATTCCAATTTCAAAGTTCACAGCAACTGCCACTGTGTGGATCAAAAACTCTGAGACCCCATCTTGATCGTTCCATCTTTCAGGGGATGCTCCAGCCCCGGGATGGCAACAAAAATATGCCAAATCCCAAGGTGTCGTGGTTTGATGCTGAACATATTCATTGTTGCGGTCAGCTAGATATCTATTTTTTCTGTATGTATATATATATATATAAGCTGTACTATATGATTAATTATATATATATGCTGCATCATCATATATGCTGCATCATCATATATACATTCTCTAATGTCATATGTATCATATACTATTATATATATATGCACAATACATATGCAATTGATTGCAATTGTTTGTAATTGTATAATTTGTGTAATCATGTATAATATATGTATATATGTTGATGATGATGATGATGATGATGATGATGATGATGATGATGATGGGTGAAGGTGATGATGATGATGATGATGATGATGATGATGATGATGATGGTGAAGGTGATGGTGATGGTGATGATGATGATGATGATGATGATGATGATAATGATGATGATGATGATGATGATGATGATGATGATGATGATGAGGCTGATGGTGATGGTGATGGTGATGGTGATGGTGGTGGTGATGATGGTGGTGATGCTGATGCTGATGCTGATGCTGATGCTGATGCAGTGTGTATTATATAATATATTATATACATACATGTTATCTGTGTGTATCCCTGTTATCACCTGATGCTTAACCTATTGGGTCACCTTCTCGCCAGAGGCCGCAAGGCTTGTTCACCGTCACGGCCCAGGCTACAATGCCTGGCAGATGGCGCAGGCGTTGGCGGGAAACGGCTGGGAAAACAGCAGGTCAGATGGGAAAATGTGGGAAAACCTCTGGGAAACCTCTGGGAAAATATGGCAATGTGGAAAAGCTATCGGAAAACCAACAGGTTCGGAAAATGATCTATTATCAAATGGTGGGGTTCCAGAATGGTGTAAACGCTTACAGGAGGGTCCCATAGCTTTTCTCCCAATGTTTGAAGGGATGAAAATCTATAAATCCGAGCTATGGGGTGAACAAAAGGCTACTGGGCGGGTTTTGGTCCATATCCCGATGAATAAATTGCTGGTCCTGGAGTCCTTTTTGTGGTCGTTCAAAAATCACTTATCACTGTTGAGATCCGGGCCCTCATCCATCCTCATCCCAAACCCAACCCCCCGAGGTCGTTGTGCCTCAATGAGAGGTTCATGCAGGACAGCGTTGTTGGAAGATGCGAGGTCAAGGCTCTCGCCTCGTGGCCCCCGGAACGTTTGGACCGTTTGGACCCCCTTGGAATTACCAGGATCACCAACAGGGAGAAGCTATGAATCTGAGGACTTGTGCCACCAGGGGATATCAGCTGGAAACATGTCAATATCATGGTCAAAGGATGCATCAACCATCGGATTCCCGGCTGCCAATGCAGACAGTGACATAGTGGATTCGGGCCCAGATTGAAAAGACGCAAGTGCCCAGTTGAAGGTGTTTTTTATCTGGTGATCTGCCTGCAACGATAGCTACATCAATGGAGACAATGGCCAAGCTGAGAAGGCTTGAACAAAGGCAACCCCGTGGCTCCAAACAATCTGTCCTTGAAGTACTGGAATGAAGATGAAAAGGAATCCGTTCCTACTGGAATCCAAATTACTACTGGAAGAACTACCTGGATTAGTACTAAATTAGTACTGAATATTACAGTAACCCGCCAAGACTTCACACAAAGTCTACTCAGCATTCTGCCACTGAAAACTCAGCGGCTGAGCCGTGCGAAACGGCGAAACGGCGCCACTCATGGTGGATCCAACAAAATGAATGGGTAATGCTATTGGTTACTGTGCCCATCATGGGTACAGCCAACAGGAATTGAGGATGTTGATCAACTTATGGGGTATCCCGAGTTTGATACCCACATGTTTTTTCTGGTATCAAAACAAAAAATCGTTCGCAAGCGTTTGACAAACTCATAGATCGAAGCTTGGCTCAAAGTTCAAATCAGAGATTTCGCTTCTCATTTTGGTCATCACCAGGTAGGCTGGTGGACAGCAATTTCCGCACGACCTTCCGCAGGTGATTTTCGATCAGGGGCTTCTCCTGTAGCAAACTCAGCAGCAGCTGTTCCTCCTTCGATGGCAGCTGCCGGGTGCGATCGCACTGCAGGGCTCGGGCCACGAGGCGCCGCAGAGCGGCTTTGCAGTGGGACAGGCGTCGGGCTCCAAAGGCAAAACTCCAGGGATCGCTGCTGCTGGTCAGAGGGATGGGGAGGGCCTTGAGGAGCTCCTTTACCGCATCTTTCCTGAGCCAGTCCTCTCACCCTCAGAGATTAATTTTATCCATCTTGAGGGGGATGGTCCCACTTGGAACAGATTTATCACTGAGGGATCATCATCAAACATACCCTTTTTAGATCTTTTTAGGACACGTCGAATGAAAATCAAAATATCTTTGAAAGCACCGGCCAGTGTCTCCATATCTGCCAGGGGCCCAGCCAACAACTCAAAGATCTGCATTGCCAGTTGCTTCTGTAAGCACTTCACCAGCTGCCTGGCAGCTTCGGTCCTGGGGATCAGCACGCTGATGCTGTGCTGCCCACTGCTGGGATCGCAGCCGTGGCTCACGAAGACGATCTGGGCACCCTGCCGCAGCCAGAGCTTCATGAGCCAAGAGGTGGCACCGAAATGGGCCGCCACAGCATCCACCTCTTGGGATTTCAGGTGCACCAGGCTCTGTTCCAATAGGCGTTCCCCAAGGCCATAGCCCCGCAATGCTGGGTGCAGGCGCCAACGCATCATGCGACAGTAGCGAAGTTGGGAGGCCTCTAAGGAGCCAGCATCACGAGATAAAGTCTGGGCAGTGAGATTTTGAGGCACTTGACATCTTCCCAACCAGAGTCCGTGCGCTTTCTCAACATCTTCCACTGGCTCTTCAATGCCGGAGATGGTAATTCCAACATGTTTATTCTCATGTTTCAAGCTTAACCAAATGATGCCTTTAGCATCCAGAAAGGTCTCAAGATCAGAAGGCTTGGTCTTGTAGTGGCCAATTCGCAGCAGGCCATACAACTCTTTCAGTTCTTCATCTGTGAATCTCTGACGGTCCACCTTTTCCACTTGCGCATGTTGTGCCACACGATCTCTTTCCCCCATCTCCAATGTCACGGGTGCTGCGTCTAGCAGCAGTGCTGAGCGTGAGAGGGCCTCACGTGCAGACATACAGTAGGAATGGGCGACTAACCATCGCCTGTGTAATGTGTTCAGCAAACCTGCAAGCAGAAGCTTCAACCCCCATCTACAAAGAAGATATCTGATGTATGAATTTCTTCCAAACCTTGCCACTTGGGTGTTCATCCGAGTTTGTGAATGGTGAATCTGCATGGCTATCACTTAGAATTGCCAGGAGGCTCAGCATGCTCAGCCAGGTATGGGGACCCGTCACCAATGACGAAATCCTCTCTGAGATCACGGTTGCTTCAGGATGGAGCCCGTCAAATGTAGAGGCCAATTAATCATGAAACTTCATGAAACGTCAAAACAAAATCACCAGTCCATCTCCCAATATTTCACTCGTAATCATTCCAAATAAATAAAATGAACAATAAATCATGAACAATAATTCATCATGAATAATCATCATTAATCATCATGAACTTACCAAAAAAATAACCAGTTCACCAGTTCACCAAGTTCCACTCCCCATTTCACCCGTCGTAGCCGTCGCCTCCAGGGGACATCCCTCGGTCCATCGCCAGGCCGAGCTCAGCTGTTGCATCTGCAGCCCGGGTCGCGCCTGGCGCAGCCGCGGCACGGCGCGGACCAGGAAGCCGTTGCCGCTGCCTTCGTAGCCTCCAGGGGAAGGGATCCACCAGATCGGCCAGGCGTTTTTTTTGGGCGAAATGACCATGAAATCATAGAGAAAATGATGGGGAAAATGGGAAAATGATGGGAAACCCATGATAAACCATCATTTTTGGGTGATTTTCCGATTTTCCCAACATTTTTAAGACAAACCTGTCAGAAATTTGTGGATGTTCCATTCGAGGGTGATGGGATGTTATTGCTTTGCTGAGGGTTATGGTATGTTTATTCATCCTATTTAGTCTTATGTCATTTTCTGGGTGTTTTTTCCTTCCCTGTGGCAGAGCTGAGATGAACTACAGGGTCAGGAGTTGAGGGATAAATTATTAGAAAATATGATGAAATTAATCGTCCAATCTTCGAAGTTCGGTTTTGGAGAGTCCAGTTTGGTTTTCAGGGCACCAACGAACCTCAAACATCACCGAATAGTACAGTACGATGGAAAATGCAGGTGGGATACCTGAAAACAGTCAATCTGGAGTGTCCCCTTTTCCTGCGAAGTAAACCCTTCTATCGATCAACCAACCAATAGGAAAAACACAACCGTTCACATTCGTGACAACCGAGACTTGTAAGCCCACGGTTGCTTGGGAACCCCCCAAAAGTGGATACACCACCAGTATACACTTGAAATGGCAAATGGCACAGTACCGGTGGCAAGCATCCTAGACAATTGTCTGGGAAACGTACGGAAACATTAATCCCAAATAACTGGAACTAAATAATACATAATGATACTAAATCTATACCATTCTATACCCATGACCACTATCCAAGGAACCATCTTGTGAAGCCACTCAACCATGGTTTCAAGAGGATGTTTATATATATATACAGTATACATATATATATACATATTACTATGTGAATGGTGGGAAATATGTGGAATAATCATGATTAATCATTATAGAAGATTCTAAAATATTATAATTGATCATGGTGTTCCATTATTTTCCCTATGGATTTATCCAGTAAATATGACAAATGGGGGGGTTCCATAAATGTGGGTACCCCTAAGTCATCCATTTGTAATGGGAGTTTCCATCATAAACCATCCAGCTATTGGGATATCCCCATTTGATAATAAACATGGAAGAATAATGATAAAAATTGTTTTCATTTTAGTTCCATTATGCTCCATTATCGCGCACCTGCTTCTTCTTTCTTCTCACTCTTACTCTTCTCTGATCTTCTCTCGTCGGCTCTTCTCGTCTCTGACTCTTCCCACCTCTGCTTTTCCATCTGTCCATATCGGAAGTTTGACTTCTAAACTTCCTTCGATCATTATTTTTTACCCACGAGTTCAACAGATGGTTTTTCCCTATTTTCTAAACCATGGAACAGTTTTTCATTCCGAGTTCAACAGATTGAGTTCCCCCAATATCCAAGGAACCATCCAAGGTTGTAGCCAACAGAACTCGACCAGCAGCTTCCAGCAGCTCAGAGGTGAAGTTCACGGGAAAGCCAGCCGCTTCGTCAATGATGAGAAAGGACTCCTGAATGACTTCAGTGGGATTATGTTGGTTAAAAGTTCAAGTAAGTCTACAGTAATATGATGTATATACATATATATATATATATGATGTTTCTTGATTTATGAGCTCGCTTGAGGATTGTTTTTGACGCAAGTGTGGATCCTTATCTTTGCTGACGGTGATCCTTATCAAGGCCGCAACGAGGGTTTTCAGATCAACTCCAAGGGATGGTTCCCCCCCCCCCGCAGCAGATGTCCTTCAGTAGATGTCGTCGTGTCAGCAGCCGCTTGGGCTCTATGAACTCCATCCGTTTCAGCTGCCCGGCACCCAGAAAGGTCTCAGCAGCCCAAAAGACTTGAGAAGTTGCATCCTGCCACGGATGCTCGGTCCACCCTACTAATTGGTATTAATTGGCTTGGAATCTTGGGATTGGAATAGTCTAATAGTCTATCAGAGTTTATGAGTTTTGGGGTGGTCAGTATTGGTTCAAGATTTGTTGAATTGCTATGGGTCCAGAAGAGGCACAATCAATCAATGATGGGGTGCGGTCAACAACGGATGATGCTGTGGATCCAGTTCTTTCTGGCAACGCTACAACTTGAGATGTGGTAGCTACAGCGAATATGTCCGGTATTTTTTGACATAGGACAATGTCCCATTTATGGATGATTTACATTGATTTACCCATATATATTTTTTTCTTGGTACCTATCAAAATGGTGATTTTCCATAGCAAACTCTGAAATTACCAGAGGAGGATACAGTAAACTCCCCACAGCCCAGGTCCTTTGAGGGTGAGGTCACGATGATTCGACAGCCTTTTTGCAAAAGAACTGCTGCAGCCATTCCAAGCAGGGCAGACTTGCCTCGCCCCCGTCGTCCAAAAATCAACAAAGGCCGGGATGACTTGATTTTCAGAATAGTTTGAAGCAAGGCTGCTTGCTCCTGATTTGGCATCATCGAATTCCTGTCAATGTCAGCTTGAAACGAATTCACAGCATCCATAAGCCCTTGCAATTGAGGTTCACCATCCTCCTCCCTACACACAGTGACCAGTTCTGCAGTCCGCGGGTCGTTGCAAAGGCTGTCCAAGAGCTTGCACCACCTGGCACCCAACCGTTCCTTCCTCCAAGTATCCAATGGTGGCGTGTGAAACAGCAACACCCCGCCGCCCTTCAAGGCACCAGACACAGCTCCAAAAGTATCCAGGAATCGCCGGCGATGTGCCGTCAGCACCACCAGATCCAGCTCCTGTCCCATCCACGCCTTGCAAGGTTCCTTTTATGTCAAATTTATTCAGATTTCCTCGACGATAAACATCACCGTTTATCAGGGCGTCCCAAACGGCCCAACCCCCCATGTCATTCTTTCACCACCATCTCAAGCAAGGTTTAAGACTAATCTTACCATCTAACCCCAAAAAATTGGACTTTAATCACTATAGTGTCATCTTCCATCCCCCATAAAAACCCTACAAAGCCATCCCCTGCCTTCACTGGAGGATCCCGCAGGTCTGCCCGCAACAGCCGCGCTCGGCCGCGCGTCTGCCACGCGGCCAAGGCGGCGGACGTGACGCGCTCGGCCCAGGGAGCTTCGCCCGCCAGGAGCACCAAACGACGCTGGACCAACATGGCCATGAGCTGATCAGCTGCTGGGAGGTGATCCCGATCCCATTTCTTTACAAAAAAAAGGGGTTCTGTGGGGGAAAAAAAACACAGAAAAATTGGAAAGCCCGAAGTAAGCATCGCTTTTTCACGCTTGAATTAGACCATGACAATGTCTTTTGCTAGGCCTACCCCGGTATCTCATATACGGTATGTATACCCATGCCACAATTGCAATCCTTCCAAGCAGTTTGCAGTATTTCAGTCCAAACCTCAACCTCATCAACATCCCTCAAGACATCAGCAAAAAATGAGAGGTACACCAATTCATGGCCAGTTGAATGGGGAAAATGATGATGAACCAGCAGATTTGGGAACTGAGTTCAACACGCCGCTGGCACCAATTGGAGAGCTTGAAAATGCCAGTTTGAGCCGCCTCAGGGTGTTTTTGTGACAATCCCACCAAGGTTTAAATTTGAACGTCGTTAAAACTATGACTAAAAGTTTAGAGTCATCAAAGGCATTGGATTTATCTTGTCTTATTGCTGATCTTCCCCCTGCGGCTCCAGGCCGTAGATTCTTTGGAAGGGCAGCGGTCAGCACCCGAACACCCACAGCGGAGAAGCGCCAGTCTCGCAGACAAAGAAAGAGGCACTCCAGACCTTCAACGCAGCAGATGTTCGGTGATTGTAATTACTCATCTTTTTTGGGGGGATTATCATAATATCATATAATATCATTAGGGAAATCCTCTTAACCAGATCAACCAGACTAATGAAACAACAATGCAAGGGCTAAGGTAAAACCCCCGGGGATCGGAGATAATCCCCAGAATAAGGCCTCATGGTTGGGGGGCCACCTTAAGCACCTTAGATTTCCATAGATCTCCATCATCTACCTGTTAAATCTCCCCGGTTTTTGCCAGGGGCCACGCCTTCTGGAAGGTTGGACGCCAGCGCTTCTGCGCCATCATCACCAACATCACGGCAGCAAATGTCCAGACCTCACCACAGTGAGGACATCCATCAATCATCAAACCCTGCAATCTGTTGTTGACTCCAAAAATCTAGCAGGATTAGCAGCTACTTGTGGTACCAAATAGATGTTCATACCCCCATTCATACTCAGCAAATGGAAAAATCATTAAACTTGAAACACTGTTGGATTTGACCCACCCCATTACCTTTGCGCTTAGTAAGTTGCGGTGATCCTTTGGCCGGAGCATCTAAAAGAACCGGAGCGCCCCCTTATTTCAGATGGTTTCGGATCGAAAGAATCGCGTGAAACAAACACGGCAATTCGCGTCAAAGGCAAGGACAATTTGGTCCACCCTGGTTATGGGAATTGGATAGATGACAAATGACACTTGTATGATCAATGGTACATGTTCACTGGTGAACAAATGCACATGAGGTAGCACCTTCTACTCAAGTCTTGTGTCAGGTTTTTCGTGACGCTTTTGGGTGTTCGCAAGGCGATTTTCACCTTACCGTCACCTTGCCAGTGTCTTGCAGATTTCAAAGACTCATTGGATCTCATTGGCTAGGACTGCTGCGGATCTGTTTCATGCGCAGCCGCATGGGCACACAACACGTTCCCGGCGGCACGAAGCCACAGCGCTTGGAGCTTTCGCTCTGGCGGTGCTCACGGTGGCCTCAGATCTCAGCTAAAAATGAGGAAGATTGCGAGACATCACTTGACATCACCGGCCACGGCTGCTTTCCTTCAATATATATATAATATATATATATATAATATATAATATATATATAATATATATATATAATATATATAATATATATATATAAGATTATAAAAGTCTCTAAGTCTATAAATCTTGTTTCCGAAACCATCCAATTTACAACCCAACGCCGAATCCTGCACTTGCAAATGTAAAACTCGGAAATGACAGCATTGACAGCTACAAAGTCCATCGACAAATAGGAACCTTTTTCAAATCGAGGGCTGGGGACTCCGAATATCTTTGAGTTTTTCTGCTGAGGATGATGAGGATGATGAAGCTTTTCCAGAACCACCAAGTTGTTTCATTCTCCTGCCCTGTTGAGTTTCACTGACTTCTATTTGCAGTTTACAAAATCTGGGACGATACCAAACTTACCAAACTCTAAATTTTCAGGCAGCACGCGCTCTAACTCCATCCTTTGATATCTTTTCATTTCAGTCCCTTCGGCAACAGAACAAAAAAACACTTCCGTCAGATCCAGGCGCCTGCAAGGGCAGAGATGTGGCTGCTGGAACCGCTGCTGGAACCGCTGCTGGAACCGTCGCTGGAACCTGAAGGCTCAAGAGTCCCGTGACCCGCCTAGATCTGCAGTTGCTACAGAACCCAGCAGTAAAAAAAACAGCACCATTTGAAGAGGAACGACAATTGGAAGAGCAAACAATCCCTCGAAATTGCCATGTTGGAGAATATGAGATGAATATGGTATGATGAAAGATAATGGAAGATAGGGGATGATAGGGGTCTTGGTGGTTTTCCCAACATGTTGCTTTTTGCCCAACATTTTCAACGAGTTAAATCCTAGGAGAAGTCCTTCTGCCAAGCTGCCCGTGGCAGGCGTCGGCCCCGGAAGCCATCCACTTTGGGATCGGGTCCGGTAAAGGGTGCCACCCACTTTCGGTAGCTCTCCTGGGCTGGGGCTTTCATTGGTTTCTGACCAGGAATTCAATAGAATTATACATCTACGGTTGCGCTGGTGGTTAATGAATGTGGGTTTCATTTTGTGCTCTTTGGAATTGATATCACAGTGATTCACAGTGGCTATGATTGATACCATTGGGTTTACACTCGATACCGTGGGAGTTGCACATAGTTGAATCTGATATGAAGGGCTAAGATATGATAAGATGATGGATATGGAGTTTGGACAGGATGAGGAACGGTTACATGATGGATATCATGGGTGGCACTTCCTTATGGAGCCGCGCATCCCAACTCCTATCAGCCATAGCCATCTACGGCCCTGTGCCACATGATGCCAAGCCTCCAAATTAGGCCACAGGCTGAAGCTTCCCAAGCCGCGGACGGCATTTCCGCTCCAGATCCACAAAGCTCTCGCGATGGAGCCAGCATAAGCCATACGTTTGCGCATCTTAGCTGAGTGATGTTCCACTTCAACGCAGATTTCGATAAGAATAAAAGTGGCGCCACAACTTCAGCCCAGAACTATGCAGCACCACATGAGATTGCGTGGAAATTGGTTGGTGATCTTGACAGGATCATCCAAAATCCTGGGAAAACTTTGAATGGACTAGCCAGGCACCCCAGTATGAAAATCATTTAAGGGATCATCCAAGAATATCAAAAATCATAGGACACATAAAAATCATTGACTGATAAAGACACCCTTAACAGGTAAAATGGGGTCCCTGGGGCGACGATCATGACAGGAACTACCAAGATACGTAGGAGGGGTCCCACTCGGCCATCGGCAAAGGTGTGTCCCAAACCTCTGCCACCAGGCGCCGAGTTTGCAAAACCACCGGCATGGAGTTGAGGCTTTCAACTGAAAACTCATGCATTTTGTGCGATGTTACAGGCATGCGGCAAACTGTCTCCATTCGTTTTGCAACATGTTTGCACATGTTGTGGACATCTTGGAACCACTTCACTACATTTTTTGGCTGAGAAACTCTGCTGCTCACTAGCGAAAAGATCACGTCTTTCCCCAACTCGTGCATGATGCTTTCGTTCAGGCCGTCCTAGGCAAGGCACTGCGCAGGGCCAACAATGCAGGAAACTGGAGAAGAAACATCTCTAAGTCTCAACTAGTTATGATGCAATCCTTTTCGGTTCTGTGGGATGTGTTTCGAATCAAAGACTTTTTATACAGAGCAAACCCATGAATCACCAAAAATAAAATAGATAAAATCTATAGATAAAAGTCAGTCTAGCCATTCAATGAAATCCTGTTGATTTACCTGTCGGCTCCGGGGCCCTGTGGCCCTGTCCTGATAATCCAAGAGCACCAGAAGGCGCACGTGGGACCGCGGGAAGCGCGCTTTCAAGGCCTGGATGAGATTGGGAATGGCCCGCAGCTCATCGGTGCAGTTCACCTTGGCGTCACTCGTTGGTAGCTGGAACAAATGGTGCAAAGTGGACCATGGAACTCAGATCAGGCCCTGATCTCATGTCACATTTCACCTACAAATGGGAATGTGTTGGTTTCACTGGCATGATCATCTAATGTTACCTATTTCTGGGATGAATGAGCCGCTGCCAGGATTGTTTAGGAAGGGTGCTGAAGCAAGATTTTGCTATAGTGCAAGGCCAAGCAACAGAACGGATGAAAACAATGTTTTCCTTGTGGTGGACACAATGGCAAAGCAACACGCATGTCAAGGCCCAACAACACTGCCTGCCCGTCAACAGACTTTGTGAACAGACTTTTCCCCAAGCGTCTCTTTCAAAAGATAGCCACTGGCGTTCTCCAAGGCATCATCAACGAGGAGGCGCACCCAAACATACCCAAACATACCCAAAGACACATCTGAGAACACGAACCATCAGCACTGCCAAACCCTGTGAAAACCCGGGTGAAATTGTCCAAATCCCTTATAGGACATGGCCATGGTGGTGGGTCACTGTCATGGTTTGTGGCGACTTAACGACATTCACAGTGTGAACATCCACTGGGGCATTCCGCAAAGTGCGCTGGTGCCAAGCTTCATCAGACATGCTGAGGAAGCGCTCCTTCCTCCGCTCCATTGTCTGTTGCACCTGGCGCAGTGAAACTGACAACAGCGACGGAGGATGGAAACTGTTTCAATGGATTGGACGGAAAATCTACAGAACACCATGTTTTCCCAATATATATATATATATATGTATATATGTATACATGTATATAATATATATATATATATATATTATCTGTATATATATATATATTATCTATATATATATTATCTATATATATATATTATCTATATATATATATTATCATCTATATATATATATATTATCTATATATATATATATTATCATCTATATATATATATTAGGGCGTGCATCGGCCTCTTTAACTGTGAGGACAGAGATAGGCCTTGGGACTATTTATAAATTTGTTGGGGCTATTTATAAAATAGAAATCTCTATCCTGACAGAAAAGAGGCAGATCCAGGAAGGGGGTTGCCACACCTGCGGGACTGTGCAAAGAGCAGCGGAACAACCCGCACATGGAACGATGTTTTTTCCAAGCTCTCTGCCGTGGAGTATTTGCACCCTTATTTCCCACAGACAGCTCTTGCTGATGGGGCAGCCAAAAGTATAAACTACTTCGGTGGCAATCCCGAACTGAAGAGTTTTGCACTAGTATTTAAACCACAGTTGCACACTGATCTCACTGCTTGGTTTTGAGTTCTCACACAAATAGTAAATATATTTTTATATATGTTATGAATATGTGTATGTTTGAATATGTCATCTCATATTGTATAATTTTGATCATTAGTAAGATAACTGTGTTTTGTGAAACAAACAAATATAAGATATATCACTCAAAGATCAAAAAAAAACATTGTATTTTCTTTGAAAAAATCCATTGTTTAAAAACGGCTTCAAGCGGTTTCAAGCGGTTTCTACCCAGCATCAATTCTAGTTGTTTTGAAATAGTTCCAAGCGGTTTGGAGCGGTTTCAAGCTATTTACAAAAGCTTGTTTATAAATAGCGTGGGACGGTTCGGAGCGGTTCAAAACTATTTATACTGTCAAGACTATTCAGGACTAATTGGGACTAATTGGGACTAATTAGGGTTTGGTGGTATGAGTAGCTTGGAACGGCTTGGAGCGGTTCAAAGCTATTTGTAAATGGTTTTTATAAATAGTTCGGAACGGTTCGGAGCGGTTTGGGGCTATTTTTAACACGACCTAATACGCAGAAGGTATAAACGGCTCGGAACGGTTCCAAGCGGTTTCTAGTAAGAGCATATCATACGACATGCTTAACCTCTTTTCCGAACTATGATGTTCTTCATTTTTCAATTTTCAAACAAGAAAACAAGAAGTAGATCATGAAACCAAGATATAGAAACAAACAGCAAACATATTATTTCAACTTACAGACAAAGCATCCGGCAAAAAGAAAAAGGTAGCAGTACCAGACAGACAGACAGACAAACAGACAGACCGATAGACCGACATATCCGAATCCAAAAGCCCAACCTGAGATCTGCTTCAAAGGAGGTGCTTTCATCAGTCCATAATGGATATCTAATACGTTGCGCTCTCGCTTGTTCAACACACCTTTGCCTTGCCCGGAAGACGTGCAGTGTACCCCTGCCCACGCTGTATGTTCTGAAAAATACATAAAAATACGCCAATTTCCTCCTTTGACTTTGCGGACACGCGGCCATCCTGCAGGACATGCCGGATTGGCCGGGTCCAGTGGGGGAATAGTCCGTTGCCAAAAAAAGAAACCGGACCCGTTCAGGCTCTCTTTCCGGCCAAAACGCCAAAAAGTGCGAATTAAAGAGGAAAAAATCTTTGGGACTATTTATAAATCCGAAAAAGAATCCTCCGGACTATTTCTAAATCCGAAAAAAAATCCTTCGGACTATTTATAGATCCGAAAAAAAAAGCCTTGCCGAGCTATTTATACATTCCTGGGCGCCAGTGAGTTCGGGTAGGCCTAGGAAATCTTCCGCGAAACCCGAAACCCGGTTGGATTTGGTGGATTTGTTGGGATGGCCGCCTGCTGGCGGTGGCCAAAATATGTCTCAGGAAGGCTCTGCGAAACCGGCCCGAAAACGCTCGTGTGTAATGAAACGCATATGCCTCAGGTACACAAAAAGGCTAGTCTTAGAGTGATAGTTATGTTCCATCATCTAAAGACAGTGGGTTGTGGGCTGGTCCCAGTCACCGTTCTACCACTTCAAAATGCTGAGGCCCTGTATGTGGGATTGGGACTACACCAAATACCGTTTGAAATTTTGCGGCCGCAGCGCTCATTGAAAACCGTAGGGCCTATGAAAGAAACATATTTCATAGCGCGTAGTGTAGACATGGAAGCACACACCAATGCAGCGATAGCGCAAGCCGCAACGTTTTGCAACTTGAGCCAAATAAGTGAAATCAACAACAGGATGGGAGTAAATCACACATACATGTACAAGCTCTATATAAATCCGAAAATTCCTCTTTATTTCATTTTATTCTACAATTCATTGTAGAGCATGTTGAGCATGGCCGCTTGCGATGTGTGACTGCTGTGTGTGGAAGAGGTTGGAAGTGCAGCATGGTATGGTGGAAGCGCGCATCGAGAAAATGTAGAAAAGCGCAAAGTGCATTTCCTGCTCTTGCTTCAAATGAAACCTGAATGTGTGATATGGCTGGGATTCACCATGTGGTTGGTGAGAAGCTGTGGTTCGCAACGCGGATTGCACAGATTGATTTGGTAATGGTTGCCTTCATGTCTTGAAAAAAGTCACATGTTCGGGCTCTCAAGCTGTTTCACCGCCTTGAAACCTGCAATGTGCTTTTGCGTTCTGCACGATGCCGTGTGCAACAATGGACACGTTAGGGCGCTATGTCTCATTTAGCGTGTGCGGCATGTCAACACGATGTGTTTAAAATGCTCAAACAAAATTGGATGTTGTCAATGTTTTCCGTGCAGTGCTATATTTTGTGATGCGCGCAACGCTTTCATCTTAGCCCTAAAGACCTGCTCAGAAATTGCAATTCTGTCAAATATATTCGGGATCGGTTGAAAATTACCTAACCCAAAAAGTGTAGAATGATAGTTTGATATTTGCACAAACCCAGGTGTTCCAGAAGCCCTTGTCCTTGGAAAAGGGGCAGTGAAGCAGATTGGCCCTAGTTGACATGGTTCATATCATATATTTCATATCATATTAGTTAATCTAGTCTTAAATGATTTATAAATAGTCTTGAATGATTTATAAATAGTCCTGGACAGCTAGGTATGCTTGACAGAGGGTCCCAAACAAAGAGGCCCATGCACTCCCTAATATATATACATATATATATATATATATTAATATTATATTATCTATATATATATACATTCATGGGAATATAGCATGTTTCAAAATATCGTTTTTCCTCTGTTCATTGAGGCTGGTTTGGGGTTGCTGGGTCCCCAATGCCAGCTAGGACAGTGCTGCCGTCATTAAGTAACCATCCATGAATCCTGCCCTTAATATCTACAATAACGGGCTGTGCAACTCGTTCACATCCAACAACAAAACATTTAAAGATCCTTCCACTCAACTTTCATGAAAATCAAAGAGTGTTACGACCCGCAGTCGCCAACCTGTTTGAGCCTAACATCAGTTGGCTCATCGCAACATTTCTGGCCTCCTTGTCTGCGATGTTGTGATGCCAGTAACTGCCCCCCCAAGCCATGGGAAAGACGTGGCTCCCGCATTGTTGAATGAAAGGGGGCTCCATGGTGAGGAAATCCTGCCAGGAGTGATCAAACATGCGGCTGAAGTTGTCTGATCAAACAACTGTAAACACTTTTTGACACATGATCTATCTATCTCTGCTAGAAGTGCAACAGAGTTGTCTTGAAAGTGAATCCCTCATCCGGCCTTAAAGTTGCTGGCCAGCAATTGGGTCACCTCCAATGAAATACGCGAAGACATGGGGAAATATGGGAAATCATGAAAGATATGGACGACTCAACCCAAATGGCACCTGGACCTTTGGGGACAAATGGCAATCAAAAAAGGTTGCAAACACCGTCAAATTCAAATTGCACTTGGTCGGGGTTGACATGCACCCTCAAAATTTCTATAGTAAAATATACGATTTATGATTTATGGATGGATTTCCCAGTTGTAAACCTCTAATTTATCGATTGTTTTTCCATTTAAACAATCTCCTACCTTCCGCTAATGTGTCTGGAACATCTCGCATCAAAATGGTCTACTCAGGGAGAATCATCGAACTAAATGGGGGATGTTCGTCACATTTCCGGAAGGTACTGCAGGGTCATATGGCTTTGTCCGGAAATGGAGTGTACTCAAAGATTGCAGATTGCACATTTAATGGGGAAATTATAGGAAATTGATGATGTGTTGTGGCTCGGTTTTCACATGTGTTTGGGTCACTCATCTGTGCAAGGGGCTGAGTGTGTGATGTGTGTGTAATTTGAATCTGTATGTCGGAAACAACCATATTTTATACATGGTAAAACCCATAGTAAAACCATGGTTTCCTGTAAATTTTCCCAACAAAACCAATCCATTGATCTGTTCAATGGTTGATCAATTCCAACAATGGCTCAGCTAGTTTGAAGCCCAAACCATATTTTCCCAACAAAACCATGGTAAAACAATGGTAAAACCATGTAAATTGTCCCACCAAAACCAATGGTTTCCGCAGGAGCCAAGGGACGCCCTCACAGCGGCTGCGCATCCAATCGAAGGGCCCCGCAGCGCCGCGGAGGCCCAAGATCTGCAGGGCTTGGGCGACCCCGCCTCGGTGTTTGCCAAAAAAACCCGCCGAAAACGTGGGAGTTGGGCCATTTTGATGTGGAAATATGGGGAAAAGAATCAAAAATGGATGAAACATGTTGAAAACTTGGATGATTTCAGAGTAAATGGTTGGAAACTATGGTTTGTTGATCGTGTTGACCCAGTGCATGGAGCAGATGCAATGGCCTTTAATGATCTTTAATGCAGTTACGAAGAATGTCCGAATTCAGGGATCATCCAAGCGTACCTGTAAATCAATTTAGAACAGACAAGATTTGAATGGGGAAAAGACATGAAACATTGAATGGAATGGGGCAGCCAATTTGGCCAAACCCGCGAATCGTAAATTGCGAGTGCGTGGGTGAGTTTCCGGAGATATAAGTAGGATAACCCCAGCTAAGGGGCCTCACTTTTATGCAATGATGACCACCACTTGTCAAGTTGATATAAGAAAATAGGATGATGTTTACAATTAAGTATCTTGCTTGGGGGTTAAACCTGTCCCCAAAACATGTGTCAAATAGCACGCCTGGAAGATGAAAGAGCAAAACAGATGGGCCAGAAACTTTACAGGTCCAATCAGGTTCTCGCACATGAATAATGAACATTTGTTAGTGTGTCAAAACCTTGTACCCCTGGTGAACATCAAAATAGCTGGTAAATGGATGTTCATCCCCCTAAAAATGGTATGTATAGGTATTGATCCATAGCCATTTTGGAAGCCCTTCATCAGCGTCAAGACGCAGTAGCTTCCCAGGCTGACGAATTTCGTCTTGCCCAGGAGCTGCCGCATGTTGGGACTCTCCAAGCCCAGCCAGGTCCTGGTGGCGTCAGTGATGCGGGGCCAAGGATGCCCAAGCATCCACAAGTTACCACAGTCCTCCGCTCGTACTGTTTCATTGGATGAAACAGTGGGTCACCCCGCACCGTCTCTTCGATGTCAGCCATCATGGCCTGCAGTTCTAGAGGTGACACCAATCGGACACCAATCGCAGCAAAATCGTGGAGATCGAAGCCATACCATGCATAGTACGGCATACCAATACTGTAAACTGAAAAAACATGACAAAAATGTACTCTAATATGTAGATGTTTCAAATAATTTTGACCCAATATGGTTTTTGGGATACACTTATAAAATGACCTGAATGATCCATTAAAATGTGGTGAATGTGGGTCATCAAAATGTTCAAGCTCCAACCTGGGATGTGCAGCTCCGAGTCGCTGGACGAGTGACAGACTTTGACAAAGACGGCCGGTTGCTGTGAGCACAAAGAGCTGCGCTGTTAGCAGCTGGAAGGAGAGGACTTCAGTGAAACACTGCCAAGCATCTGCGGGGAAAATATGCTTGATCCATACTACAGTATCTGATTCCCGACATATTGGGGATCTGGGAACCAGAGGTTTCACTTGATATCTGCTCCGGGTTGCTTCAAGCAATGGGACGACCACAGCAAGACTGAGAGCCTAGCAATTCATAAGCACCAAGGCTGAATTGGCTATCAATCAAGCCATATCAAACCCTGGACTTCCCTAAAGCTCCAGCATGTATTGGGTCATCAAAGCGCGCTCAGAGACCTGAACCTTTGATATCCGATATGATACTTGGCCCCTGGCGCAAGTCTGTTAAAGACTGCGGAAGGGAATCTGCAAAAGTCCTCGAGTGACCGCTTTGCCGTTGAAACCCAGAAACAAATTATTCATGTTCCTGTTCCTCTGCACAGAAAAACAGAGGGTGAACAAACATGATTGTTTCAAACGCGTTTGAATCCTGAAGATAAAGTTGGAGCAAGTAAAAAAGATTCCTCCAAATTTCACACTTCTGATTCTTGTCAGTCCTTTTTGCTTTGGGTGATGGAATTGGCAAGCAGAGTCTCAAGCCGTTGGCTGGTGCGTAAAAACTGGGTTGTACAAGTCAGTGAAATATCTTCACCCAACCACTAGAGGTATGATATCAATGATATCCTACAAACCCTGAAATTGATGCTTAAATTCCTGAAAATGGATCTAAATGGCACATTTACCAACTCCTGCAATTTCAACATGATCCTTAGAAGCCCAAACCCTTCCAGTATTTCTGGTCCCTTCCTCAGTTCGGCCAAGCTCATGTTGAAATCGGTGAGACGAAGCTGTAAAACCGCAAGGTGGCATGGAAACGCCGCTGCCAAAGCCTGCCACCGTTGGAGGCTTTCCGTTTTCACCATCAACTGGGATGGTGTTCGGCGGCCGGCCTCTGAAAGCCTCGCCTCCGAGCCGCGAGCCTGAAACATCATATTTTCAGGGAACAGGAAGAAATGGGGCAAATTTAAGGATCTGACCCGCAGAAATTGTGGTGTAATGGGGATATGACGGAACAACACCTGTCATTGTCCATAAAATTGGGGAATAAAGATCAATTTAAACCGTTACCACCTAATTTGGGGTGAACAGAAGGGGCTCGCACGGTTTTGACCCATAGCCAAATTGAATGGAAAACCCATCAAGCAGGGTGTCTGGTGTCCCCTAAACCACCAAAAGGAACTGGCTTCCCGACTTACCCCCTACACCTTCAATTTGGATTTAGATTTGTTAAAGGAGATATGTATCATATATATAATGATATATACAGTATATATATATATATGTACGGCCACATGAGTTTATACTTTTGATATGTATACATACATACATGTAGTCTCAATGATTAATTTTACGGTTTTTCCTCCAGTTGACACGGCAAGGCCCGAGCTTCGGACTAAGGTCATTTGCAGATCCAGCGCCAGGTGCCGCAAATTCGGTGGCAGCGCCTCGGTCAGTCAACAACGCCATGGGGAGCCACTGGTGAATGGCCAACTGGGACCTGGTGAATGGATCCATGGTTAGTACCCTAGGGTAATATATATATATATATGTATATATATATGTGTATATATATGTATATATATATATAGATGTGGAATGAACCCTCACCATTTGTAGATCATGTTCGGAGGACACCATGGGTTTTGTCCACATCTATGTAAACGTTTACCCCCGGGTCAGTGGTAACAAGTTCCGGCATCATCCAAGAAATAGCAAATTCCATGTCCCAAACTCCAACATGGGAACAATGATATAGTATCTATTCCGAACATTCCCCTGATTGTGGTATAGAGAACCTCTCTAATCTGAAGCTCATATCATAGATCAGATTGCTTATTAAAAGTATAATGAACCCATGATCTATGATATGAGCAATCATGATCTATAGAAAAAGCATGAACCCATGATCTATTAATAAGCGTATTATAGAACAATCATGAACCCATGATCCTAACATGATCCAGTTCTATTCCCATCATCCCTGATGATTTCCAACAGTCTACCTGACAAAGCGTGGAGGCTCCATGAGCCGAAGACCTCGGCTGGGTCAAGCTGGGTCAAGTGACCTATGGATAGGGACTAACCATGGGGAAATTAAGTATGGATGAATGACCTATGGATAGAGAATACCATAGAATACCTATGGATAGGGAATTAGGGAATAATTAGGGAATAACTTTTTTTCGATGATGGTTTGATGCTTCCTCGTCTTTTTTGGGGGGCTGCAATTAATGAAAAATTGTGGCTTGGCACAAGGAGGAAACCCCAGTCTTCGTTTCACCTGGAGTTTCTCACAGACCTTGGGGACACGTTCCATTACCAGCCTCTGGTGGTAACGCGCTCCTACACCAGTTGGTCACTCGCATCCCAATCATCCAGTGCAAATGTCACAAATGTTGGAGGCTTCCCACTCCTAAACGTAGTTCTGAACGAGTCAAGTATAACAATCGAATTTAATCAAACAATATGGTAGTCAGTGAATCTTTGGGACATTCATCCCCCTAATGAGATGCTTCTAATAAAAAGTTCACCATAATATGGTATAATATGGTAGAATACTATAGAGTTCTAGCAACACGAACACCATTGAAGATGTGGCAACCTGAAAGGATCCACGGGACCTTCTGGCGGCTGCCCCTGAGACACCAACTCCAGCATCAAATGCAGTTTTTCCAGGCCTAGCGCTGGCCCGCTCTGCACAATCCCTGGAGGTTACACCCTGATGACACCCTATATATATATATATATCTTATGATATATATATATATATATCTTATGACATCTTATATATATAACATCTTATTACATCTTATAACTTCTTAGAACATCTTATAACATCTTATAAAGACATTCTATAGTCTAGTCTATATGCATAAAAATGAGACGTCCTGGCTCTAGCCAGTTCTTCATCATCTGGGATCGTCACTTGCTGGAAGAGCGGAGGCCAGCTCCTGCAGCCAGCATCGTCTCATGGGATTCAACTCCGGCGAAAAAAACCGGCCTTCCCAAAAAGTCGTGTTAGTAAAGTAGGAGCCCTAAACCCTCCTTTTTTCATAAATGGGTGGTATAAAAACTAGAAACCATCAAAATATGGCTGGGCTATTATTGCTATGCTCTACTATAATCAGCTCCATCCAGGTCCTCACTGGGGGTTGGGACTAAAGAGTCACTTGGCTTACCCTCTGAAAATCGTGGGCTTGTAAATCCGCTATTCTTGAACCTATCATTTTCCACTATGAATTGGCGAAATCTCTACTTTTTATGCTTGAATCATGTTGGATCCCCAGTTTTGGTTGATTAAATCCCCCTGAAAATCCCCATAAAACAATGACATTTTTCGACCCCAAAACGTTCCCAGGCACAGCAACCGTGGCCCGGAAAATTCGGCTCGTCCTCGGTGCCACTTGCTTCCACACCCGATCCGAGCCAGGCCTTGACATCAATGGCTGGAAGGCAAAGGATGATGTGGTAAACCCAGTCTTAAACTCGTACCCTCTGGTTATTTAACATAGCCATGGAAAATGGCCCATTTATAGATGGTTTACCTATCAAAAATGGTGATTTTCCATGGCTATGTTAAATAACCAGATGGTAAACCATCCCTTGGAAACCATAAACCATGGATAAACCAAAATTAAACCATCCCCAATATGAACCCCAATCACATATCTTGTGTCAGATTAAACCATGCCCTATTTACCATGGTTTACCCCTATGTCTGGGATGATTTATAATAGCCTCATCAAATAACTATGGGAAAGAAGGGGAACCTGGGACACTGGGAAACACATGCAGACAACGATGGTTGCGTCCAGCAACTAAGAACCAGCTGCTCCCAGTTCCTCCAATTTACATGAAAATGCAAACTAGGTTTTTCATGAGCTATTCCCTCTAGATTCCTCAAATTGTGGATTTCCCATTGGGATTTAAAAAAAAAAAGAAATTAAACAGATCCGGGATTGCAAACATTTATAACTCCAATCTATATCTGGAAAGTTCCTGGCAGAGGTTCCGCACGAAGGAGCGCCCGTGGAAAAGGAGGCGAAGTTCCCGCAAGCTGCGACGATGGTTGAAATCCGTGCCAGGAGTAAGAAATCAATGGCTGAATTGAAATGGGGATGTCATTACATGTGGTAAAATGTTAGTTAACAATAGTTAATATATGTTAATATACATCTGGTGATTGACTTATACACATTTAGTACATATAGCCAATAGTGGTTCTGGAATGTTCTGGATATGATGACCATGTACAATCAAATGTGGTAACACAACATCATTGGGATTCCAAAATATTCACGCTGGTTGGCTGAGGGCGAACGTCCCACAGTTGGATTCGATACTACTCCTTTATAAACCAGTTAGTATTGGGGCCCCATGTTTCACCATCTGAACGTTTCCTCTGACCAAAACCATTCAAAACCCATACCCGAAGAAAAAAAGAGCCCCCCATCTGAAATCATAGTGGGTTTGTCCGAAACAGTGGTAATTACCAAAAAAAATCCACGGTATACCCCATTTTCAATCGCACCCACATCTGCGACTCGCTGCTTCCCTCAGCAAAATCAGAACTGCCTCGAAGGCAAACTTTTGGCCACGGCTTGCGCATCGCTGGAGCTGAAATGGTTCAGATCCTGCCCAACAGGACCGGTGCCATGCGGGAGATGATCACTGGGTTTGTTTCAGGGAAAATCAAAGGAAACCTATGGCCTATGGCCTATGGCTTTGTAGCATCCAAAACAATCTGCGTTGGTCACGTGTCACTTCTCTTTTCTTAAGCTCTAGCGAAGATCCTGCATGGCTCCATTGGGTAATTACCCCCAAAAATGCCATCGCTACTGCAAAATGACCCAGTACATCTGGTGGAATTTCTGCCCAAATTTGGGTTCACCCCATGCCATGACTTGAGGCCCCAGCTAGGCCAAGTCGCGTGAGACGTTTGGGGATAGCACTCACCAGATCCGCCAGCACGCTATCACCTGCCAGAAGGCACCTTCAGCGATGAAAAATCGGATGCAAAAATGGGCATGAAACTAGGTGCTTATTATGGCATGTTACATTGGAAATTCCCATTCATCTTGGAAAATCAATGAAAATCATAGCTTTTTGAATGCATTTGATCCATCTCCATATCCTTCGAACAGACTGCGCAAAATCTATATCTCGGGTGTGCCCCATTCGGCGCTGAGGCAGGCACCCCCCGCGCAAATTGGCCTCAAAGGAGTCCAACCAGCACCTTGGGGATCAGCCATGATCGCCCATGGGGATGATCAAGATTCATGGCTGATGATGGCTGATGATTGATGTGGTAAAGCCAAATGGTTGTTTCGTATTGATGGCGATGAAAAACCACAACCATCAATACGAAACTAAGGTAAACGACCAATCGATGGTTGATGGTTGATGATCATCATTTGTGATACTAAGGATTTGACGGTAAGGCTGCGGAGAGCGCGCCAGCTAAGACTGCGGAAGTTGCGGCAGGGTCCGTAACCAACACTCAACAACAGCAACTACACATGAAGGGCCACCAAACCACACCTAGAGCTAGTCATTGATCCTTTTCAGTTTTACCCTTTGTTTATGTGAATATATATATATATGTCCATTCATATATATATATGTGTGTGTGTGCGTGTGTGCGTGTGAGTGTGAGTGTGTCATTGTTTGATTTATTCCGTTGTTGTCTTTCATTCACTTATATGCCCATGCACAGGTTTAGCTTCAACATGGTCGCACCTGAAAACGTACCAGGTGGGTCGACCTTGATCTGCACCCTGTCTGGAAACATATCTGTTCAATGGTTGATCAATTCCAACAATGGCTCAGGTAGTTTGAAGCCCACTCTTGTCGCTTGCCGGGCCTGATACCGCCTCGCTTCTCGTTGCGCGGCTTTCACCAGTAACCTGGCGCGCTTTTTTCTTACCATGGCGAGTCTGGAAGAGTCTGGTCTCGACACTTTGTCCTCCAAAGTTGCCATCTTTTTTGAGGTTTCCTTAGTAACCACTACCTGATGTATTGTATGTATGTATATATATATATATATATGGGTTCACCATTAGTAGCCGTAGTAACCGTTCAAGTTAACATGATTTTAATAGAAAATAACGTTATAACTCAGCAACTTTCAGGGGCCACCCCAGCTTACCACGGCCCCCCCAAGGGGGCACCCTTGGGAGTCGTGGTGGAGTAATGTGCACAAAGACTTCCTGCCAGGTGAAAAACCAGAACAACACAGCCAGATTTCTCTGAAAATCATGGGAAAACACGGGCAAACCAGGAAAAACAGAAAAAAAAACTGGGTGATCAATCATGGTTGCCTGATAAAAAAGGTCCTTTTTGATGTATCTCCCATTTTCAGACAGACCCAAATATGATGCTACGGAAAAAAAACATGAATGGCTGGACTACGTGGCTGGGGCTTCGCAGTGTCAGGAAACACCAGTTGCTTCATTGGTTCTATATGCCATATGCATCCACATTTTCCAACAGATCCTTCACATCTCCCCAAATTACCTCAGAAGTTCATCAAAACTTGTTGAGTCATGTCTTGTCATTGCACCGCTTATGCCAAAATACACCACAAACAAATTGCCATAGTTCAACGAGGAAATAAACAAAATTTGGGAGTACCCCTGGCCACGATTTATCATCATTTGTCCCATTCAAACTTCCATGTTTTTTTCACCAGCAAATATCCTATTTCCACTATATTTCTTCACAAAAAGCCACAGAAAATCTAGCCCTTCAGCTCTGTCCCGACAGCCATCACCAGCTGAGATCCTTCAGTGACTTCAAGTCTTCTCGCATCTCCGCCAGCATTTGCAGCACGGCTTCACCCTCGGATCCCGATGTCAGGCCTCAACTGCCGGGGGGTTCAGGAAAATTTTGGCATTCAAGTGATATATGTATAATATAAGTCATGCACTCTCATGTTTAAATACATGTTTTAGGATGTTATACGAATATCAACCAATGCTCCTTGACTTTATGTGATGTTCATCCAATTTTACCTATGTAATAGAGTCTTCATTTTAGCCAATCTATAGTATTCTATAGCCCTTGCAACCCTCCAGCTAACAGCGCTGGGCAGTTTGCTGGGGATGCTCAGCCGCACCAGAAGATGTGGGGAGATCCTGCCATGATCAACACGTCACCAAAACACTAATACGTTGCGACTAGGTATGCTGAGAGTAGGCCTGCCTTTAATCTTCATTGATTTCCCTGAAATTAGATGTGAAACATTGATCTTTTCATGGAAATGATTTATAGGAAGATTAGCAGAAAATTGGTCAAATGGTGCTGTTGAGAAAATTGGGGGGCACGGCCTGACATGCGTTCAACTTCCCAAGTACTTTTAACCCAAATCTTAATCTAGGATTAGTAAAGGGGAACCAAAATTAGTTGTAATTAACAAGGATAATGGTACGTATATATGTGGTATGCCTCCCCATCAATCCAACCAGGGTCCGCTCATCCCATATTTCAACATGTCTTTTGGGTATGAAACCCAAAAGCGTTCTTCCAACACCCCAAGTTTTTGGGGGGAAATGGTTGAACCATGGTTTAACTGAGAAATTCATGGAAAATCCATGTTAAACGCCATTTTTTGGGGGGTGATGTTGGGGGACTGCCATTTTTTCACCCCAAGTTTCCCCCAAGGTTTCCCTCCTGTCGAGGTGTCTCAGCGCCACAGAGCCCATGGGCAACGAGGCGGAGCCCGTCAGCAGCCGTCCGCGCGTGTCACGGCAGCCTGGGGAAATGATGGCAGCTGATCCCTTGGAATTGAGGTAATTGGCGGTAGACCCGATTTTCAGAGCCAAATTTGGAACTTATATGGCAATGTTGTTTGAATTTATGGCAAGGTTGTTTGGGATTTATGGAGTTTTATTGGGAACAATGGTGGATAAACTATATGATAAACTCATGTAAACCATGGGGCATTGATGCTTTTCAATCTAGGAATTTACTGGTTATTTTTTTTCGGGCAGAGATGCAGTGGGTACTGGCTAAGTGATTGGTTGAACATGGCTTGACTGGGATACAATGCAGCTACAGTAAACGAGAATATGATCAGCAGAACTGGGGATGTAAATTGAAATCCTGATGGCTTAATGGCTGGTCAATCGGGGACTGCAACCCAAACTAAATTACAAACCATCATTCAAAATGTTTGGCCATTGCTCATGTCAAGTTGGACGAAAACCCCTCAATATCCACCAATCCAAAGAGTCAGAATTTTCTCTCCCACAGGATGGTTCCGCTGGCCATTGGGGCACTTACTATTGGATCCCACTTGGGGGCCCACAATCCAGGTTCAGTAGCAAAAATCTCTGGCCAAAATCTACGGTTCCCAGTGACTGAAATTTGAGGCATACTAGCATACCGCAGCATACCTACATTTTTGTTATGGCTTCACACAATGACCGGGATGTGTCCGGAAAGTGATGCACCAAAATTGCAATGTGAGTGGGGAAAACCATGATTAACCAGTGGATCTTGGGACATACCCCATCTGTGCACAGGTCCAAAAGGTGTCTATGGCCACCAGCCTGCAGCAGTTTCACTGCAACACGGCACAGCTGCCGTCACCTGTCGCAGGCAAGGCCCGGATTCACCGCTGAAAAAACACGGCAGGGGGGCGGTGCCATTTGGCAGCAGATGATCGCTTTTTGGGGATAACCTCTGGTAAACATACAAAAAACGATGGAAAATCACCATGTTCAATGGGTAAATCAACTATTTCTATGGCCATTTTCTATGTCGCAAACTGTTCGTTTTAGGTAACCGATCAATAAGGCCTCGATTGATCAGGGTTTATTACTGCAGGGATGACATGTCCAAGCCGTCACGGACAATCAGCCAACGTGGGCTGAGATGATGTTACAGGAACCGACACAGGGATGTCACTGTCATCAGTATGATTGTGAAACCAATTAAAATGTGGATATCATTGATATCATATGTTCTAGGCCAAGAAGAGGTTTCAAGCCAAATTGCCGAATCTGAAAAAGGCCTATCAGCGGCCTCTGGCAGCCTTCAACTTTCCATTCATCTACAGTAATAGTTCGCATCGCAAGTAAAACTCTTTGCAACGAAACAAATGGTGAAAGGCAAATATGGTATATGGTTCATGTTACCAAAGTATGCCATAGTCACCAAAAATATCGCATGTTTGGATATTTTTGGATTTGGGGGTCGCCTCGAGGTGGTCGCAAAAGCCCAAGACACCACTCCAGGCCTTGCGGCAACTGCCATAGGAAACCCCAGTTTTAGCAAACCCCAATTCGTTTAGGATAAGGAAGGGGCATCAAGAAAACTAAGGCCCAAATTTTCCCAAATCAAACGAGATTGCATGTCTCAAAATGCTACAGAAACGCCATGGAAACGCTAAGCGTTTGTTTCCCCTTAAGGAGGTTAACAATTTCTCCCCATCCCGTATCAATTCCTTAAGCAACATCGACGATGCCGAGATCGCGGGTCCCAGGTGGTGTGACATCCATCCCGACAACTTACCAGGTAGGGGTTGATCTTCAAAAATCAATGGGACAAAGTTGTGTGTTTCTTAAAATTCAGATAGCCAAAGATAGCCATATATATCATATATATATATTATATATATGTATATATCTTATCATATACCCATTTTGGTTTCCCCGAAAATGATTCTGAAAAAAACCAACTGGATGCTTCTGGGCCCATTTTGGGACACATCCATTTACCAACCCTAAGCCCAACCCCTGAGTCTTCGGACGTTCTCAGCCCCAAAGAGTTCCATCAAACCCGGGCGAGATCTGCTCAGCGCTCTCCCTAGCAACACTCGTTGTCGGGGGTCATCCTGACGGAAATCGTGGAGCGAAAAAATGGAGCATAAAATTATCGGAACTAATTAGGATATTGCATACATATAGTCAACATACATATATGGGCCACGGTCAATATTTAGTATGTAGCTCCAAGTGATCAATTTTTGAAGAGTGTACTACAAGTATCGTTTTTCAGGTTTGGGGAATATAACAAATGTTATCGTTTTTGAAGAGCGTATTATCGTTTTCCAAGCCCCAGCTCAATTTCCAAAAAAAAAAGATGTCTCGAATACTACTTTCCATTGCGGTAAATTTTGGCTGTAGCTCATATGTATTCAATGTATTCTGTGACTCATATCATATCTGTTTGATGTGTCTCTACATACAGGTTTCGTGCAACTCGTTTACCCCATTCGGAAGTTGAACTGGGAGATATCGCTAGGGCACATCAATAAAAGAGGATGTCACTTCTGCAGCCAAAAAAAAACTTGAGATACATGGAAATTGGATATCTAATAACCCACTCCCATAGGCTGTAAGATGTATTATGTTGTATAGTATGTATATATGCACAACCCCGACTTTCTGCCCCAGCCCATCATGGGGTTTCCTTTCTCAACCAACACGGGGAACGATCAGCACGCAAAATAAGGTCTGTTGAATATCTCAAGCAGCAGCTATGGAGAATATTGCCAACAAAAGTCAGGATACAAGCCATCATCAAAAGAAATGGGGGAGGCACTGTATAACTTTGACCAGTAAAATGGGAATATATAAATATATAATATAACCAACAATTGATATTTAATTGAGACATTGAACCTTGATTGGCGACTCTTTTGGGAATGTCGCAATGGGCAAATGGGCATGGGTCCAAATTGGTTGCCCCCTAAAAAGGATGACTAAAATCTGGGTCTGAAATATTCACTAATACCCACTGAGACCTCTATGATTAGTCTTATGACCACAACATTGGATGGAGAGACGGGATTTTGCTGCGTGGTCATTTCTGACCAGGTCGCTACGCCAACTTGTTGATGGAGCTCAAACTTCAGAACGCCAAAAAATTGATGGTGACTTCCCCCCCTAAGAAATAAGGTCAACGATTCCCACCATCAGGATATGGAATCTCGAAACTACTCCAGACCCTTGATGGAATCCTCCTCGCAGTCCACTTCAAACGTCTCTCCTTTGAAGTGGCCTATCAACGGAGAACAGCATGTTCCAAAGGACAGCGATGTAGGATATCCAAGAACGCACTCAACGTTGGTGTGGCAGTCAGCATATACTGCCCTTGAAATAGGGATTTAATAAAAACCCTAGAAAAGTCATGAGGATATGAGCACTAAGATGCAATAGGCACTTTGCAAGTGTGGAAAGCATTCTTGGTTCAGGTATCAAGCTGGTACCCGAGTCTCAATATCGAATGCCCAGACTGCATTTATCACCATGTTTTGCCTTGCGATGCTGAAAATTGCTCAAATGGGATCTTTCTTTTTGATACTTTTGATACTTTTGGGTTGTTGATATAGTGTTGGCCACTTCAAATCAACTTCCGGCGCAACAAGCACCTCGAAGGATGGCTTTGGGCTGCCAGCTGGCCTGCAGCAAGGAACTGAAAAGTGTCCCGGAAGCAGGGACGCTTGAAAAGAAAAAACTTGACCGCCCTTGCGTCGCAACGAGAATACAACGACTGAGATATGCCTGAAGACTGCACAGCAAATTCCAGCTCGGCCAGCAGCGATTCCAGCAAGAGGGCCTTGGCACAGGACCGGTACCAAGAGAACCATGTCTATCTCCAAAAATTGGAGGTCCTCAAAGCGTCTTTTTTCGTGGTGAAACCAATGGTTTTGTTGGGGCATCCAGTATCCAGATATCTGCCACGTTTTTGCCTTTTTTTTTGCACCATGTGGAAGTTGCCATGGTGCAATCCTGCACCCGAGAATGATTCGTCTCCAGAAGCACCACTGAAACAAATGAATCTGGGTACAACTCAGGTCCCCAATTGATTATAGCACATTACGGTGGCAAATATTCAAGAACCGGATTCAAGAACCAGATATGTCTATGACTGCAAATTGCCACCAAACTCTGTCCTTGTCAACTCCTGATCATCGGATATCATCGGCCCATACCGGAGAACATGGAGAACATGGAGAACTCAGCCAAAGGACTGAGATCCTCCGATCTGTTCGGACGCCTTCGAATGCGGCTGGCACAAATGACTTTCTTCCAAACAGCTCGTCAGCTTCTGGGAGACCTGGCGGTGAGTCGGTTCCAGAATTCGCCAAGTTTCATGGGAAAAACTGGTGGTTTAAGTATCGAAGTTTCGGATTTTACTACAAAAACAAAAGAAAAGTGATGGTTTAAGTATCTTAGAACCGCGATGCCCAAAGGGTAGCGAAAGGACTTCAAAAGAAACAGTGTAGGGAACCACGCACCAAACCGTGCTGCCGGCGTACCGGTGCTTGGCAAAGGCCGCCTTTGGGCCTCAGTTCAAGTGGGGTCATCATTCTAGGGATGGAAATGAAAACTGCCTAACACCAACAACAACTGCATGATATTTGGCGCCGTCCTTTGCGAGAGCTTGGTTCCCCCCGCCGCGCAGTGGATGGAAGCAGCACGGCCTTCACCAACTGAGGTTTCACAAGACTGGAACACACTCCAAAGAAATTGTTCAGCTCTCAGTTTTATGATGATTTGGTTGATGGAATTTCACGTGCCATAATTGTTTCATAGGACCATTTGCTGAAAAACTATTGTTTATTATATATTTTACCAATTATTTGGTTGATGGAAAAAAAAACATCTTGGTCATTGTGATTCACAATCCCAGGAGTCACTCGGGTGAACTGAGGGTGACAGGTACCCCCTCGAATGGTTCAGCCAGTGGGTAACCCATCCAAATGTTATCAGGTTTTATGGTCTCCAGGTTGACATTGTATTGACCAATACAAAGAAATATGAGATAGGTGCTGACCCACAAAAATGAAAACACCATAATCTAACCCACAAAAGCTGGGAATTGATCTACTAAAAGTGAACTTAATCCTCTTAAAACTTTGTTTTGACCAGCAAAAGAAATTGAGTTCATCAAACAAGTTCCAATCGAATATGAATCAAGATTGACCTGACCAATAAAACTACTTATAGCTACTTTTATTTGTTTACGATGGTCTTTTAAAAAAGTCTTATAGATTCCCCAAACAAAGGATTTACCAAAGGGAACCATAAAAAACTTCAAAAAGTCGACACATTAAACCCTCCATTGGATTCTTGGATGTTGAGATTTACTAGGTTGCCCAGGTTTAAACATGAAACGTTTACGTTTAACCAGTGTGTCAACCTCTTCGCCACGGTCAAGTTTCGGCCAGGCCTCGGAAAACGCTCCAGGCCGTTTTCGGCGTCCTTGACCCATCCCCATGTGTCGTCATGTAATGTATACAATGTGAGGCCCCCGTTGGATAGCTAAGTTGGTTTAGATTCGCCCCAGTAACTATAGTTATCTATAGTTATTTGCGTACCATAAACCATAGTTATTGGAGTTATAAAACAACTTAGCTATCGAACGGGGGCCTCGCATTGTGTGTAATACTACGTACTTATAATACTGCATGACCGAAAATGTCTGAAAATGTCATAATATCCATGCACATGTGTATATGTATATGTATATGTATATGTATGTGTATATGTATGTGTATATGTATATATGTGTTTGTATTATATTCTGATGATTGCATCATCTACATAACCGAAATTTATTCAGCAACTCCCAACCCGTCCACCGTCGTGGCTCTCCTCCATGGCTGGTTGCCATCAATGGGACAAATCCAAGATCTGGGTCCAAAATATGGTGGATTTATCACAAATTTCTGCCCAGGTCCATGGGAAATGTCCATGATATAATAATGATAATTCATTAGAAGTTTTACTCTTATAAAAATCTGATGAGCAAGCATTCAAGGATTTCGCACAAACCAGATTCACTCGATTCTAGACTATGATTTCAGACCAAATTCATTGCACATGTTTGTCACAGCGCTTGGAAAGCCAACAGGACCAAGTCGGGAGGCGCAGGAGTTCAACTAGCCACTTTAAATATCTTTCAATGAAAACTCACCGCGTCTTGACGCTTTATAGGATGTTGGTGCGACATGCCATCACGCAAAGCACGTCAGGTTGGAGAGGGTGCTTATGAGGTGGCGCCCGGTCTGATTCTCCAGCGACCCTGTGACATGCTAAAGAGGACCGTTTCGGCAAGCGTCAGATTCTTTTCTGCTTGAGAGCTAGAACTCTTGTGGAACCAGAAGTTTCAAATATTGAAACGTCATTGGCCGGGCCTAATTTTGGTGCCACAGGAAGGCCCCAAGTAGCCCGTAAACAACAGTCTTTCACACGTCTGCGATTGCCTAGGGGCACTCCTGCTCTATACTGTAGCGTGCTCCAGGGATCTAGCTATACAACCTGGTGCCACGGCAGACCTGTCTTGTGGGCTTAAAATCTCCAGCACTTCCTGCTGTGCTGGACTTCGGTGCGCTAATTGGCAAAACTCAAGGCAAAATGCGTAGTTCAAGGCTAAATTTCATCCACAGATGGATTCTATTCGATTTCGCTATCGCTAATGCTTCAAACACTCGAGCAAGCAGTCTTGGACCCGTGCATTGACGGCATCAAAGCCGGCACCGGTGAGCACCACCTCGTTGATCATGTCCTCATCTGCCTTGCTCGTGGCCCTTGCAGTCCGTAGGTCAATGGTTGAAAATGCCTCCTGAAGTCCCTCGCGCGTAGCCGGAAGCATGATGGTGATGGGAAGCTGCTTGTCAACACCTCACCCGTAGTGTCTTCGAGTCTTGAAAAGTGAAGTTTGGCCATGGCTCAAAACTTCCTTTACAAAGCTGCTCTATGTTCAACAAGAAAAAGTCAAAGTAGTTCTTAAGCTTCCGAGTCACATGTGAAGGCTTCGAATAAGCACCAGGCCCTTTTTGTGCAAGTAGTATCCGCATCAACTAAGAAAAGCATCTGCCCCGCTCTCGCCAAACGACTCTCCAAAACTGTTTGTAGTTCATTTGCAGAAGAGAAGAGGGTGCCAGACCTGACTGTCCCACTGTTGCTATAATTTGGGGTGGCAATGGATACTAATGGAACATCTCAATAGAATGTGTCAAAAAGCGTGACCTAAGCCAGACCCTGGTTCACAATCATAGACTGGGCAGCTTGTCACAAAATAGGATCAAATTGGTTTCAAGTTTCAAAGAACATGTGCAGGAGACCGCTATAGTTGATGGGGGAAAGAATGGTTTCCTGAACAATAAATCAATCACAAGTCACAATTAATTAATCCGTGAATTACTGGGTCTCTCAATTATTTCAGAGGGACTCGGGGAGCCGGTATTGGTTGTCGCAGAAGAAGCAAATCCAGAGATACGCCTCGCTGGCATTGATGCGGTCTCCCTCCATCCAAGCTCGCAGAGCGCCAACGAAGTCATTGAGCCTGCAACAATACAAAAAGACAAAGATCAGTCAGGCTCGTGGTTGCACGCATCACAAGGTTTCGAAACGACACCATCTTGAAGCTTCTTTCGTGGCTCCTGAAACATCTACAGAATCTAGAGTATTATATTCATTTCCAAAGCCAACTTCCTTCTAATCCAGAAAGTACCCTGCCTGCAAGCCCAACACCAAGAGACAAAGTGGCTGACCTTTCCCTTGTGATGCTCCTCGACTGCATCAACGATGCTACAATTTGGCTCTCCATCCTCAGAGCAGGTCTTTCCATATCCCAGGCCAGTTTCGCCCATTGCTACGACTGGAGCCATCTCGTAGAAGTTGGGGTTCTCCAAGCCGGTGCTCTGTCGTGCAAGCGCTGGGAAAATCTCCAAGACATACGCAGCACTGATGCCATTCAGCTGATTTGTCACAGGCAACGGCGGCTCGTTGTGCTCGCCTTGCCTGGGCAGCGATGGCGGCACCGGCAACGCCCCACTTGGGAGGGCCGGGGGCGGTTATAAGTACATAGCAAGGTTAGAGCACTTATATAACCTACTTAGTAAGTGCTGTAACCTACCTTATAAGTGGTGCTAAGTTACCTGAAAAAGTGGTGCTAAGCGGGGTGCTGTCTCTAAGTCACTTACGTAAGTAGTTACAGTTTTGGGTTAACTATATATTATGTTCCAATCATCATCTCAAGTAGGGGTGGAAACCAATCCAGTGTCATGTGGAACCACCAACCAGCTCTGACGTGGGGGTTTCCTAAAATAGGGGTATCTCATCTCCCTAGTTATGATCCATTTTATTGTCGGATTTTCCATGAAATAAACCATCCAGTATTGAGGTATGTTTTGGATCACCTATCCATCATCTTGGCCCACCTGACACCTTGATCTCAGAGTCGGACGTTAGCTGAAGATTTTGACCTAAAACGACGTGCGGACACCCAAAGGTTGCAAGAAACGAGCGAAAAACATCAATGGCACTTTGAGTCCCAGCAACTTCCACGACAGTTGGATTAAAAAATGGTTACACATGGCAGAACCTGGTAGATTTGGACCTTTGGATAACAAATTTTGTGGATAACAAATTGGATAACCATGGATCCGTTGGATAAACACATCGATCTCCTGGTCAGTCTCCATTGAGCTCGCCACGTATTCGTCGCACGACTTCGGCGACTTCGGCATAGTCTGGACCTGGATCCACGAGCATCGACCTGGACCCACGAGGGCTCCGTTTCGAGGGCACCACAGGGCCCACAAAGCTGTCCCATAAGTGACCTTATGTAGATATCTGGTTATATATATACACACATACATACATATTATGCAGTATATGTAAATATATATATATATAGGTTTATATGTATCTATATATTATGAATGGCAGACAGAATTTCCTTCTACTCCAAAAGAATATGGCTAAAGTTGGTGGTCCCCAATGTGAAGGTTTTGACGCAACTTTCAACATTCCAAAATGATTACGCGACTTATGGCACTTGGCTAACCACTTAGCCTATGTGGGCTAAGTGAGATAGGCAGCTTAAGCCCTAAGTGGCCTAAGTTCTGTAAAGGATTTACGCTACTTACGTCTTACGTATCTAGGCTAAGTGCACTTACAAAAATTTGTGGAAACACAAAATCCCGTTTCACATTTGGTGGAAACACAAAAATTCTGAATGGGGTTTTGGTGGAAACACAAAATTCCGTTGCAAGTTTTCGTGGAAACACAAAAATCCAAATCGAGTTTTGCGGAAACACAAAAGCGCTCGCGGACTTAGGTAAGTGCTGTAAGCCACTTACGTAAGTGCGCTAAGTGCTGTCCCAGTAAGTCCGCTAAGTGACATACTGTAAGCTCTGTATCCCAATAGTAAGTGCCGTATGTACCTAGTACGTCCCCTATGTGCTTATAACCAGCCTCCAAGCAACCTCCAACCATATTTTCAGAAACCACTCCGGTGGTAAAAAGGGTGGCACTAGCCCCAGGTTCTCAGCCAGGGACGCCCAACCCGGGCCTATGTGGTTGGAGGGCGAGGGCGATTCTTCGGACTTGTGGGTCTCGGGCTGTGTCTCCTTCTCGCAAAGCCAGCTGCACCATCCTCATGAACGAGCGCGGCGAGGGCGATGCTTCCGACTCCTCCGCCTTCTTGCAAAGGTATGTGCAGCATCCGCAACAACAGGATAAGAAAATGATAATGGTAACACTCACGCAAGACCAAATCCACACAGAAGGAACACCGGCACCGAGATTGATATACCCTGGATCTGACGTGTCTGGACTGAGTTGCTTATGCTTCCCGATACAGATCAGCCATCGATCTTCGAACCAATTCAAGCAACCCAATGCTGGGTCCCACGTTTGGCATTTCGGCGGGTCTGATGTCCAACGAATGCTTGAATTTACGAAAATGGAATCGTGGTCGTAAAGATATCTTCGCCCATTGATCTGATCGTAAGAAAGTTCTCGTCCATTGATCTGAAGCGAGCCACCATACGTTCTGAACTGCCTCACTGTGACATACGCTGCTTCTGTGAGAGACATGTTGCACTCATCCCTGCGCGACTCATTTCCACCAAAGTTCTGGACGCAACCATCAACCACGCTACACGGTCCATCCACTATCCAACTGACCGTGGTGCCATTGTGTTTCCGGTAGACGTGACGGGAAGCTGGGTAGGTGTAGTCGCTGTCATAGCAGTTGTTGATATCGGTCCTTGTGCCACACTGGCCGTCACCTTCACATAACTCTCCGGGCTCAGCCCGCTGGCAGTCCCTGAGCCGTTCTGTCGCTGCAGGGCAGTCGGGCACCGAAACCGGAGTCAGCACTAGACCATCGAAGCACGCGGGAGGCGTGTCTAGGCACAGCTTCCAGTAATGCCCACGGTGCAGGCCAGACCAATCATTGGACTCATCTGAAGTCCAGGTGATGCTGGACCATAATACAAATGATTTGCCCCGCAAACCTCTACCACTGTATCTGATGCCATTCACCGTGAGCTGGTCATAGAACTTTTCTGTGTTAAATTCTTTTACACTCAAGGCAGTGAAAGGTGGTAAAGAAGCAACGCAAGTCTCATTCTCACCATACGAGCGTGGATAACCAGGACTGCTCAAGCAACGACCGTGCACCTCACATGGCCCTTGGAAATGCCAAAGCCCATCCACTTGCTCTTCTTCGAGGGAGATTTCTGTGAAGGAATCAGTTGTTGTGGTGGTCGTGAATGGTGTAGAGGCGGTAGCATTGCTTTCGTTTCTGGTGAAGTTCTGCTTCCGATAGACATCACGGGAAGCTGGGTAGGTGTAGCCGCTGTCATAGCAGTTGTTGATATCGGTCCTTGTGCCGCACTGGCCATTGCCTTCGCATAACTCTCCGGGCTCAGCCTCTTCACAGTTGAAAAGCACTTCTGCACCTGCGGGGCATTCCTCGACCGGCACTGGAGTCAGTTCGAAGCCATCAGGGCAAAGAAGAGGTGCCTCCATGCAGATCTGAAAGTGACCATCCAACCCCTCCCACACAAGTTCAGACCACAATACAAACGTCTGGTTCTCGAGAATGTTCCCGCTATAGTCAGCGCCGTTGATGACAAGGCGGCTGGGATAACGCGCATAAAAGTCGGTCACGCGCACGACTGAGAAAGGCGGGAGATTCGCAATGCAAATTCTTCCACCTCTGCAAGGTTATGCCAAGCGTTTCTTCAATCTCTATAGTAGGATGTTAAATATGTTAATAGCTGCTCCAACTGGGTTTATCATGGTTTATCTCTGTTTTTCCCACCAATAGAGAGTTTTCTACACTTCTTACCATGGTGGCTAACCACCAAGTGGGGTGAACATCCAAGAATTGTCGGGAAAACATGGCAGAAGATATGTTTAAGGGCACCTTGTAAGGTTGGATCGATGGAACCTCATCAGTTTGGCCGCTGCTCTAATTCCATTGCCGCAATTTATGGTGTTCAAAAAACATGCTGAACGCTTCTACACTTTCAACCTGGTTCGGGGAATGGTTCAAAAAGCTGTTGAAACCACAGAATTCTTGTCATGGCACAAACATTAAAAACCCGCGATTCCATCGTCACTGAACAGCTCGGCGTTTCTGATACAACACAGTTGCTTCCGAAAGCCAGGCCTTCATTTGCATCATGGGTGAGGCAAGCACCTTCTGCACTACCGCAATTCGCCATGCGCCAGATCGGCCCAGGATACTGAGGCTTCCAAACAACGTATTCGTCCTGCACGCGCTGACCCGGAAACAGTTCCCCATCCCCCTAATGTTTAACACCTGTATTCTATGGTCCCAAATATGAGGATTCATGAGGTTTAAAGGGCCGAAGAGCCTAACTTGATCAACAGGCAACAGGAAGTACAATTGATGCCACCGGTTACAGTGTTTCAGTTGGGACTTACGACTCAATCGCCCTTGGTGCAACATCTCGCAACCTGCCAAACAGTGACTGTTCTCCAACAAACAAACGAACATGGCAAATGACAATCAATCCCCGGTCTTGAAAGGCATTTCTGGTTTGTTTAACTATTACAAATATGGAGGTCAGATGTGAAATAGTCCAAAAAAACGGAGGAGAAACCACTGGAATCCCCCATCCATCGTGTGGTGTTTTTTCCCAAAAGCAAGGGAGGAAGGAAGGAAGGAAGGAAGGAAGGAAGGAAGGGAGGGAGGGAGGGAGGGAGGGAGGGAGGAAGGAAAGGAGGAAGGAAGGAAGGGAGGAAGGAAGGGGATGCAAATAGATTGCAGAGACAGCATGCTGGACAGAGAGGAAACCGTGCAAATAGCTTGAAGCAGCTTGAGGAGAGCTTCGCTGGGAGGGAGCGAGACAGCATGCTGGACGGAGAGGAAACCGTGCAAATAGCTTGCGGAGAGCTGGGAAGGAGCGAGACAGCATGCTGGACGGAGAGGAAACCGTTGAAATAGCTTGGGGATGCTTGGGGAAAGCTTCGCTGGGAGGGAGCGAGACAGCATGCTGGACGGAGAGGAAACCGTGCAAATATCTTGCGGAGAGCTTCGCTGGGAGGGAGCGAGACAGCATGCTGGACGACAGGAAACCGTGCAAATATCTTGCGGAGAGCTTCTCTGGGAGGGAGCAAGACAGCACAAGCTGGACGGATAGGAAACCATGCAAATAGCTTGCGGATAGCTTCGCTGGAAGGGGAACGATGCAGCATGCTGGGCGGACAGGAAACCGTGGAAATAGCTTGCGGGAAGCTTTATAGGAGGATGCGATAAGGCAAGTTGGACGAAGACAAAACCGTGGAAATCGCTTGCGGAGAGCTACGCTAGGAGGGAGCGAGACAGCATGCTGGACGGATAGGAAACCGTGCAAATAGCTTGGGGAAAGCTTCGCTTGGAGGGAGCGAGACAGCATGCTGGACGGAGAGGAAACCGTGAGACCCTTCGCTGGGAGGAAGCGAGACAGCATGCTGGACGGATGGGAAACCAAGGTTTGCGGAAAGCTTCGCTGAGAGGGAGCGAGACAGCATGCTGGACGGAAAGGAAACCGTGGAAATAGCTTGCGGAGAGCTTCGCCGGGAGGGACCGAGACAGCATGCTGGACGGAGAGGAAGCCGTGCAAATATAGCTTGCGGAGAGCTTCGCTGGGAGGGAGCGATACAGCATGCTGGACGGAGAGGAAACCGTGGAAATAGCTTGCGGAGAGCTTCGCCGGGAGGGACCGAGACAGCACGCTGGACGGAGAGGAAACAATGTAAATAGCTTGCAAGAGCTTCGCTGGGAGAAGCGATACAGCATGCTGGACGGAGAGGAAACCGTGGAAACAGCTTGGGAGAGCTTCGCTGGGAGGGAGCGAGACAGCATGCTGGACGAAGACAAAACCGTGGAAATCGCTTGCGGAGAGCTACGCTAGGAGGGAGCGAGACAGCATGCTGGACGGACAGGAAACCGTGCAAATAGCTTTCGGAGAGCTTCGCTGGAAGGGAGCGAGACAGCGTGCTGGACGGAGAGGAAATCGTGGAAATAGCTCGGGGAGAGCTTCGCTGGAAGGGAGCGAGACAACATACTGGACGGATGGGATACCGTGGAAAGAGCTTGCGGAAAGCTTCGCTGGGAGAGAGCGAGACAGCATGCTGGACAGAGAGGAAACCGTGGAAATCGCTTGCGGAGAGCTTCGCTGGGAGGGAGCGAGACAGCATGCTGGAAGGATGGGATACAATGGAAATAGCTTGGGGAAAGCTTCGTTGGGAGGCAGCGAGACAGCATGCTGGACGGAGAGGAAACCGTGGAAATAGTTTGCGGAAAGCTTCGCTGGGAGGGAGCGAGACAGCATGCTGGACGAAGAGGAAACCATGCAAATAGCTTGCGGAGAGCTTCGGTAGGAGGGAGCGAGACAGCATGCTGGACGGAGAGGAAACCGTGCAAATAGAGCTTGCGGAGAGCTTCGCCGGGAGGGACCGAGACAGCATGCTGGACGGAGACGAAACAATGCAAATAGCTTGCGAGAGCTTCGCTGGGAGAAGGGATACAGCATGCTGGACGGAGAGGAAATCGTGGAAATAGCTTGCGGAGAGCTTCGCTGGGAGGGAGCGAGACAGCATGCTGAACGGATAGGAAACCGTGCAAATATCTTGCGGAGAGCTTCGCCGGGAGGCATACGAAAACGTACAATAACTTGCGGAGAGCTGCGCTGGGAGGGAGCGATACCGCATGCTGGAGGGCTTGCGGAGAGCTTCCCCGGGAGGGGGCAAGACAGCATGCTGGACGGAGAGGAAACTGTGCAAATAGCTTGCGAAAGCTTCGCTGGGAGAAGCGATACAGCATGCTGGACGGAGAGGAAACGTGGAAATAGCTTGTGGAGAGCTTCGCTGGAAGGGAGCGAGACAGCATGCTGGACGGATAGGAAACCGTGCAAGTGCAAATAGCATGCGGAAAGCTTCGCTGGCAGGGAGCGAGACAGCATGCTGGACGGAGAGGAAACCGTAGACAACATGCTGGACGGATGGGATACCGTAGAAATAGCTTGCGGAAAGCTTCGCTGAGAGGGAGCGAGACAGCATGCTGGACGGACTGGAAACCGTGGAAATAGCTTGCGGAGAGAGGTTCGCTGGAAGGGAGCGAGACAGCATGCTGGACGGAAAGGAAACCGTGGAAGTAGCTTATAGAGAGAGAGCAACACAGGATGCTGGACGGAGAGGAAACCGTGGAAATAGCTTGCGGAAAGTTTCGCCGGGAAGGAGCGATGCATGGAAATAGCGTGCGGAAAGCTTCGCCGGGAGGGGGCGAGACAGCATGCTGGACAGACAGGAAACCGTGGAAATAGCTTGCGAAAAAGCTTCGCTGGAAGGGAGCGATAGCTTGGGAAGAGCTACGGTGGGAGGAAGCGAGACAGCATGCTGGCCGGAGAGGAAACCGTGCAAATAGCTTTCGGAAAGCTTCGCTGGGAGAAGCGATACAGCATGCTGGACAGAGAGGAAACCGTGGAAATAGCATGCGAAAAGCTTTGCTGGGAGGGAGCGAGACAGCATGCTGGACGGATGGGATACCGTGGAAATAGCTTGCGGAAAGCTTCGCCGGGAGGGAGCGAGACAGCATGGGACGGAGCGACACAGCATGTTGGACGGAGAGGAAACCATGGAAATCGCTTGCGGAGAGCTTCGCTGGGAGGGAGCGAGACAGCATGCTGGACGGAGCGGAAACCGTGGAAATAGCTTGCGGAGAGAGCTTCGCTGGAAGGGACCGAGACAGCATGCTGGACGGAGAGGAAACCGTGGAAATAGCTTGGGGGGAGCTTTGCCGGAAGGGAGCGAGACAGCATGCTGGACAAAGCGGAAACCGTGCAAATAGCTGGCGGAAAGCTTCCGTGGGAGGGAGCGAGACAGCATGCTGGACGGACGGAAACCGTGGAAATAGCTTGGGGAGAGCTTCGCTGGGAGGGAGCGAAACAGCGTGCTGGACGGAGAGGAAACCGTGGAAATACCTTGCGGAAAGCTTCGCTGGGAGGGAGCTATACAGCATGCTGGACGGAGAGGAAAGCCTGGAAATAGCTTTCGGAGAGCTTCACCGGGAGGGAGAGAGACAGCATGGGACAGAGCGATTAGAGCATGTTGGACGGAGAGGAAACTGTGGAAATCGCTTGCGGAGAGCTTCGCTGGGAAGGAGCGAGAGAGGAAACCGTGCGGGGAGCTTCACCGGGAGGGAGCGAGACAGCATGGGTCAGAGCGATTACAGCATGTTGGACGGAGAGGAAACCGTGGAAATAGCTTGGGGAGAGCTTCGCTGGGAGGGAGCGAGACAGCGTGCTGGACGGAGAGGAAACCGTGGAAATAGCTTGCGGAAAGCTTCGCTGGGAGGGAGCTATACAGCATGTTGGACGGAGAGGAAACCGTGGAAATAGCTTGCGGAGAGCTTCACCGGAGGAAGCGAGACAGCATGGGACAGAGCGATTACAGCATGTTCGACGGAGAGGAAGCCGTGGAAATCGCTTGCGGAGAGCTTCGCTGGGAAGGAGCGAGAGAGGAAGCCGTGCAAATAGCTTGCAAGCGGAGAGCTTCACCGGGAGGGAGCGAGACAGCATGGGACAGAGCGATTACAGCATGTTGGACGGACTGGAAACTGTGGAAATAGCTTGCGAAAAAAGCTTCGCTGGAGGGAGCGAGACAGCGTGCTGGACGGAGAGGAAACCGTGGAAATAGCTTGGGGAGAGCTTCGCTGGGAGGGAGCGAGACAGCGTGCTGGACGGAGAGGAAACCGTGGAAATAGCTTGCGGAAAGCTTCGCTGGGAGGGAGCGATACAGCATGCTGGACGGAGAGGAAACCGTTGAAATAGCTTGCGGAGAGTTTCGCTGGGAAGGAGCGAGAGAGGAAACCGTGCAAATAGCTTGCGGAGAGCTGCGCTGGCAGGGAGCGAGACACAGCATTCAAGCCGTGGAAATGGCTTGGGGAGAGCTCACTGCAGAGCTGTTGGTGCAGCTTTTTCAGAGCTGTTGGCGCGGTTTTTTCAGGATAAATGTCATCATCGCGATTGCCTTGAAAAATTGTGGGCGCAAGACTGGTCAAACGGTCCCAAGACCGGTCAAACGGTTTCCAAAGGCTGAAAAATGGGACATGCACGGCAAAACGTTTGTTGCTGCAGCGGGTTTCGTTTTGCATGAAACCATGGAAAATTTCGCGGGAATATGCAGAGCTGTTGGCACGAGTTTTTCGGGACAAATTGCAGCAACGCGATTGTCCTGAAACATTGTGTGCCCAAGATTGGTCAAACGGTGTTCAAATGTTGGGCAATGGGACATGCACGGGCAAAAATTTGTTGATTGGACGGGTTTCAACGAGATATAAGCCGTGGAAATGGCTTGGGGAGATTTCAATGCAGATGTGTTGGCACGGGTTTTTTTCAGGATAAATGTCATCATTGCGATTGTCCTGAAAAATCGTGGGCCCAAGACTGGTCAAATGGTCCCAAGACCGGTCAAACGGTTTCCAAAGGCTGAAAAATGGGACATGCACAGAGAAGCTTTTACACAAAAAAAGCCTTTACACAGAAAGTTTTACACAGAAACTTTGACACGCAGACGCGTTTACACAGAGGAGTCTTGACACAAGGACGCTTTTATACACAGAAGCCTTTACGCACAGAAGCTTTTTTGCACAGAGTAGCTTTTACACACAGAAGTCTTTACACAGAGAAGTCTTGAGACAGAGAAGCCTGTACACACAAACGCTTTTGCAGAGAGAAGCCTTTTGTACAGAGAAGTCTTGACACAGAGGAGCTTTTACGAGAAAGTCCTTACACAAACGAGATTTACACGCAGAAGGTGTTACAGATAGACGTTCTTTCGGCGCACAGAAACTTTAACACAGAGCAGCTTGTACACACAGAAGCTTTTACACAAAAAGGCCTTTACACAGAGAAGTTTTTACACTCAGGAGGTTTTGCACAAGAAAACTTTTACACAGGAAAGCTTTTACACACAGAAACTTTCACACACAGAAGCTTTGTACACCGAGAAGTCTTACACAGAGGAGCTTTTACGCACAGACGCATTTACACAGAGAAGCCTTTACACAGAGGAGCCTTTACGCACAGACGCGTTTACACAGAGAAGTCTTTGCACAGAGGAGCTTTTGCACACAGAATCTTGTACACACAGACGCGTTCACACACAGGAGGTTTTACAAACAGACAACTTTACGGCGCACAGAACTTTTACACAGAGCAGCTTTTACGCAGCGAAGTTTGTACACACAGGGGGCTTTTTTCCACAGAAGCTTTTACATAAGGTTTTTTCCCCACCTGCCAGGTGAGGGTTGTTAGATTTTATGTCAGTTGCCTCCTCCTGCCTCGTCCTCCTCCTCCTCCTCCTCTCCTCCTCTCCTCCTCGTCCTCCTCGTCCTCCTTGTCATCCTTGTCATCCTTGTCGTCCTTGTCGTCCTCGTCGTCCTCGTCGTCCTCGTCGTCCTCGTCCAACTGCGACCCGCGATCCACAGTGTTCTCTGCCGGACCTCAACCACGACCATCCACGCCCAGTGTTCCCTGCCGGACCTCAACCACGACCAGCCACGCCCAGTGTTCCCTGCCGGACCTCAACCACGACCAGCCACGCCCAGTGTTCCCTGCCGGACCTCAACCGCGAATATCCACGCCAAGTGTTCCCTGCCGGACCTCATGTAGGAAGATATGGGACAAAGAATGTGCAGAAGAAAGTTAGAAAGAATGTCGGAAAGAATGTCAGAAGATATACCAGAAGATATGTCAGATAGAATGACAGAAGATATGTCAGATAGAATGCCAGAAGATATGCCAGAAGATTTGCCAGAACATATGCCAGAAGAAATGCCAGATAGAATGCCAAATAATATACCAGAAGATATGCCAGATACAATGCCAGATAGAATGCCAGAAGATTTGCCGGATAGAATGCCAGAAAATATGCCAGAAGATATGCCAGATAGATATGCCAGAAGATATGCCAGAAGATATGCCAGAAGATATGCCAGATATGCCAGAAGATATGTCAGAATGCCAGAAGATATGTCAGATAGAATGCCAGATAGTCAATATGCCAGATAGAATGCCAGAATGTCAGAAGATATGTCAGATAGAATGCCAGAAGATGCCATAAGAAAATGATATGAATGCCACGAAGTAAAGTAGCCAGAAGATATGCCAGATAATACACATGCCAGGCTTTCCGAAGATACAGATAGAATGCCACCAGAAGAAAATGTATAAATGTCCTTTACACACAGAAACCTTTACACACAGAAGCTTTTACACACAAAAACTTTTACACACAGAAGGTTTTACACACAGAAGCTTTTAACACAAAAAAAAACCTTTAAACAAAGGAGCTTTTACACACAGACGGGTTTACACAGAGGAGTCTTTACACACGGAGGCGTTTACACAGGAAAGATTTTACACAGAAGCGTTTACACAGAGTAGTTTTTACACAGAGAAATCTTTACACAAAGAAGTCTTGACACAGAGAAGCTTGCACACACAGAGGCTTTTACACAGAAAGCCTTTTACACAGAGCAGCTTTTTCACAGAGGAGCTTTTACACAGAGGAACTTTTACACAGAGAAGCTTGTACACTCAGAGGCTTTGACACAGAGAAGTCTTTTACACAGAGAAGCTTTTGCACACAGAAGCTTTACACAAACAAAACCTTAACACAGAGGAGCTTTTACAGACAGAAGCTGGTACGCAAAGAAACTTTCACAAACAGAAACTTTTACACACAGAGCGCGTTTAAAGCTTTTACACACAAAAGCTTTTACACCAAAAACTTTTACACAGAGAAATTCTTACCCACAGAAGCTTTTACTTGCAAAAGCTTTTATGCAAAGAAGCTTTTGTACAGAGAAGTCTTTACCCATCTTTCATCATGTCTCATTGTTCATGATCATTCGCCATCTGTCACCTTCATATCTTCGTTTTCATGCTCTTTTGGTCAGCTCCCTCCGTCGTTTAGTTTTCATTTCGTTCTGTCCGTCCACGCTTCGTCCTCGCTCCCTCTGCGGCGAAGCAAACTAAACGAGAACGCAGAAATAGATAGCGACTAGAAAGATGGAATAGAGTTAATTACATTAGCAGAAATAGCGACTAGAAGAATGCAGGCGTAGCTGACACAGCATGCTGTGGTGAATTGTGGCCCCTGATACCATCAGTGCGCACGATGTTTCAGTAAAGATCTTACGTCGATTTCGTGCAGAGCACAGCTGCCCACACCACAAGATTTTCAAGAAAAGGCGTGCTGTGTGCCGTCTTGCTTTTGGGTTCTCTGGCCCACCTTGTTTAACCAACCATCCTCCACATCCTGCTCTCCTAAGCCCGGCAAGTGCGGTTTTGGCCCCAAGGCTGGCACTGAATTCGATGGCGTTGGCAATGTGGGTGGTTTCCGCAGTGGAACAGTTACCACACCTCCTGGCATTCCCCGGGGCCATGGGGGGTGGCTTTCACATCCCAAAATCAGGACTGTTGTGAATGTGGATGATGAAATCATCACCAGTCTGGCGACATTTGGGATGTGAACAACAGGGATCAACGAGGTACCAGGGTTTTTGCCCAGTCTTGCATCAGTATCTCTGGGGTGATTCAAGGGAAAATCGATATCTGTCAATGTGTTTCAGTGTCTCCGCATCAAATGTCGGAGGGTCCTGCAAGGCTGTGAGCTGTCGCTTTTGGCTAAGAAGTTAAGCCCTCCTCATGCCTGAGGTAAACACCCTGAAACGCCATGACATCTGGGTTGCATAGCCCAAAGTTATCCCTCTCCACATGGTCACATGGCAAGCAGTCCTGGCACCGGTACTGCGATGAGCTCCGGGGAATCGAATGATTCTTTGACCCCTTTCACGGGGATGTCATCAAGGAAGGGCGCCAGGTCTGCAACGAGAAGGCCGTGTCCTGAAAAGGCATCCCCATTGAAAAACCGTGCGATTCTTGAGGTCTTCCAAAATCAACTACAGCCCAATGTCCCCCAATTATGTCCATTTAATACGGAAAATGATGATCATCCACCGAAAATTTGGAGAGGTCCCACCAATTTTTAGACAAACCCAGCCGAATAAACGAAAAACATGCTCCGGCCTGGAATGTTGATGACAACGTCTTTAGGGACTCCTGGCGATGATCCACACCATGGCATTTACACATTTTCTTACTGGCAAATCTTCTGGCATTCTATCTGACATATCTTCTGGCATTCTATCTGGCATTCTATCTGGCATATCTTCTGGCATATGTTCTGGCATATCTTCTGGCATATCTTTTGGCATTCTATCTGGCAAATCTTCTGGCATTCTATCTGACATATCTTCTGGCATTCTATCTGACATATCTTCTGGCATGCAAATTTCTGGCATTCTATCTGGCATATCTTCTGGCATATATTCTGGCATATCTTCTGGCATTCTATCTGGCAAATCTTCTGGCATTCTATCTGGCATATCTTCTGGCATTCTATCTGACATATCTTCTGGCATATCTTCTGGCATATCTTCTGGCATATCTTCTGGCATTCTATCTGGCATTCTATCTGGCACTTCTGGCATTCTATCTGGCATATCTTCTGGCATTCTATCTGGCAATCTTCTGGCATTCTATCTGGCAAATCTTGCATTCTTCTGGCATATCTTCTGGCATTCTATCTGACATATCTTCTGGCATTCTATCTGGCATTCTATCTGGCATATCTTCTGGCATATATTCTGACATATCTGCTGGCATATCTGGCATTCTTCTGGCATATCTTCTGGCATAGTTCTGGCATATTTCTGGCATATCTCTGGCATTCTATCTGGCATTCTATCTGACATATCTTCTGGCATTCTATCTGGCATCTTCTGGCATTCTATCTGGCATATCTTCTGGCATTCTATCTGGCATATCTTCTGGCATTCTATCTGACATATCTTCTGGCATTCTATCTGACATATCTTCTGGCATTCTATCTGGCATTCTATCTGGCATATCTTCTGGCATATGTTCTGGCATATCTTCTGGCATATCTTCTGGCATTCTATCTGGCAAATCTTCTGGCATTCTATCTGACATATCTTCTGGCATTCTATCTGGCATATGTTCTGGCATATCTTCTGGATTGTTCTGTCATATCTTCTGGCATTCTATCTGGCAAATCTTCTGGCATTCTCTCTGGCATATCTTCTGGCATTCTATCTGACATATCTTCTGGCATTCTATCTGGCCGTTGAGGTCCGGCAGTGCACACTGGGATCTTGAGCTCGCGGTGGAGGTCCGGCAGTGCCCACTGGGATCTGGCGCTCGCAGTGGAGGTCCGGCTGTGCCCACTGGGATCTGGACTGCGAGGAGGAGATGGGGGAGGAGGATGCGGAGGCGGAGGAGGAGGAGGAGGAGAACAGCTCTTATAAAATCTAACAACCCTCACCTGGCAGGTGGGGAACAAAAAGGCGCCAAGCAAAGACGGCATGTGTTCAATTTTGAGTCGCGCCTTCAGGGGTTCGTTCAGATAAAATCATTGATTGCAGGCACGGGTTGTTGTAAATGTCCTGCGTTTCCAGCATTTTTTTTACCTGACAACACCCTTTCAAAACGCTGCAAGGGCGCAGTCGCAGCCACCTTGCCTTTCGTTCCAACACATTCTATGTTATGCGGATTTTCAAGGGAGAAACTGATGAATTTGCATATCTTACAAATAGATACAAATAGTTCAAATTGCGGTTTTGGGTGTATAAAAATGCATATATGATGTTCAACTTACTTTCTGTGGAAGGGATTCTGTCGGATAGTATCCAGCGCATGGGGAAGCTCAAGTCAAGGTGGACATCCCACGCGCCAACAGCCTACAGTATCCGTTGCATCACATCATGGTGTCAGGATGAAAACCATGAAGACTGTCTTTGCCCTGATAAAAACTTTCACAGTAAGCACTTGAGAAACCTGTTCTTGATAGAGGTTTTCTACTACCTCAACCATCTGCACACGACGTGGAAGACCTGTACCCAATATTGAACTCCAACCTTGAACCAAGAAACACTATACCCTGCTTTATTGCCACATGGGGCACTACACAATTCTCCGGTTTTTCGGGTTGCCATGGCCAGGGGTTGCCTATTTTTGAAGCTTGGGACAGGTCCGCGTCGGACGCATGGTGCTGCGTGTTTCTTGCGAATCACAGGCGGCTTGTTACAAGGGAAACACATAATTCGCATGGCAAACCTAATACATCGTGAGAATATAATTTAACAGTTTAACACGACAGGCGCAATACTTGGTGAGATTTCGAAGGCTGTGGAAGGCTACTGTGCCTGGTGCCTGGCACACGCAATACTTCGAGCACTTTTGATGATGTGGCTTTCACTTTCTGCATTGGCACAGCTAAAAAAAAGTGAGATGCCCTGTGGCTGTGACATGTCATTTTGCATGGCAGATTTGGTGGAGCTGCAGGGGTGATGCCGGGATCTGTCTTCAAAAGGAGGCCTTTCAAAAAAGTATCTGGCAAGAATGTGCCACAAGAGGGTCTTACAAGGTGTCTGACAGTCTGACAATGTTCCACAAGAGCAGCTCGTTCCGTGCATTTGGGTTCCTCAAATGTTTCTGCAATGGAAGAAGTCACTCGTTGCTGTTGGCTCCTTGAGACCCTTGCCCATAGCTGCCATAGCTGCCATAGCTGCCATAGCTGCCATAGCTGCCATAGCTGCCATAGCTGCCATAGCCAGGTACCGAGGGGGGTCCCACGGGGGTCTCGGGTTTCCAGGGTCTCCAGGTCCAGGGTCTCAACTTACCTGGGAACGGCGCCAAGAGCAAGGGACCTGTTATCTAACGAAACCGTTGGGATTGTTCTATCCTGATAGGGTCATGCTTCTAGACGCCCAAACCAAAAATGTCTGGCAAAAATGTGGAGTGGACATCTTCCAGCAGGATGGATTCACAGTGCACGCTTGGAAGTTGAAATTTTGGTTTCGTCTCACAAAAATTTTGGCAGGCCTCAGGAAACAACTTTGAAAAGCACTACGTACCTACATTTGCTTCATTTTCAACTTGAGGCAGCCCCCCCTGGCACCCTGACTTTCCGTCTGAGCCACCTAAGCGGCGGCCAGAGCGCCTGCTCAGCAAGGCTCTCCTCACCTCGACTTGCCAAACTCCAACAGATCGAACCGTTTCGAAAGTGAAAACCGGCGAGAAAGATTGACGCAGGGCACCCAAACCCCAAGCCGCTCAAGCCAATGTGGCATCAAGGTGGCAAGAAAATGTTGCGGTAAACTGTTTGTGCCCGAATCAACTCAACCAAAACAACTTGATGATGTTGTGGTTTGTTGTGGCGTGTTCCGGTCTGTTCTGATTTGTTCTGGTTTGTGCGTGTATCAGACACCTGAACAACATCATTTCTTCGACATGTGCATCTGCTGTGTCGTGAGTCGGCTAGGAAAAGGTTATGTGTTTTGTACATCTGTCAGGAACTGGGTTCGGTAATTCAGCATGATACCGGAACACGTGTTGTTTGCAAATACTACCCAGTACATAGTTCTCGTCCATGTTCTGCTCTACTGGAACTTTCCAAAGAGATTGAGATTCTCCGACCCTCCCAGCAATGTGGTGAACCAAATTTAAAAATACCGTATGACCTATCATATGTATCCATATGTGGCAATCATCTTCTCCCCAGATATCAGTTGGCCCACCTTCGGCTCACGTCCATCGAGAGCATCTTCCTATGAACACGTTGCGTGGGCACCAAAAGTTTGGGGGGGCAATGGAAGAATTTGCAGAGGTACAGTATAAATCATCTGAAAATAGGGAAATGTTCCGTTGCCATATGTGCTTTTCATCCAAGAAGAAATTTATGTTTTTGCAACCATCAACTCCAGATACTCCAGTCCAAGGTTTTTCTGCGATCCCTGGATCTGATATTTGAAAAGAAAAGCATCCAACTGCGGTACGAGATACCCAACACCGAGGTAAACCCCAACGTTCGTAAGTTTTCGGACAACCACCATATTAAATGTTTAACATGGTGAAATAAGGCACAGAATTTGTCTTTCTTGGGCTTACCACGTTGCCAAGCTCGGCAACCACGTTTGATGAGAACCCTGAAGGGGCTCACACCGGAAATCGTATCACACTTTCTGGTTCGACCTATAGACATCGGAACATACAAGTCCAGTAGGTCTGATGGAAGCGTTCGACGATTTAGACATTTACTCGTATACATGTACAAATGTACATCATTTACCATCATTTACCACCATGTTCCACCTTTGTGAGAATGAAACGACAGTTTCATGTCCTTCTTAAAATGTTTGAAGAAATTGCGGTTCTTCCCCCAGGGACCGGAATTGCCTGTGTTCAAGTGGTGCAATCCTATTCACAAGGCCTAGGAATCTGATGTTCTGAGAAGTCGACCTGAGCCCAGACCAACACCACCAGCAGAACGCAGAGGCGCAGACTTAAAGCCATGGCAAGCGCGGCGAAATGTTTACCCTACGGCTTCAGGTTGAAACTCGAAGAATCTCTATGAATTACGGAATGAAATATCCCAAGAGTGGGCTCAACACTTCGGGGGTGACACCTCCATAGCAGCTGGTACAATGGGACAATTCATGTTTGAAATCTTGATGAATCTTGCTTATGTGATCGCCACTATTTCCGAAAATTGACATGGCACAGCGAAGGGATTTGGAAGCGAACAAATTTGATGACTCGCTAGACTGTGATTTCAGACCAAAATCAATTTTGTTTATCTATTGCCTGGATTGATTTGCCACTATACATCTTCAAACTGAAAGCATTGGACGAAAGCGGCCATTGGCGCAGTAGTTGAGAAGACAGCTTCAAAAAAAATCACACTCCATCTGTTGAAGCTCTCCACGATGTTGGTGTGGCATAACATGCCACGACAAGAAGCAAATCGGGTTTTTTAAAGAAGGCTTTATGAGCTGGCACCCAGTCTCAAAGATTCTCCAACTTCCGAGCCTACACACCAAAGAGTCTCTATTCTGCTTGGCAACTTCACCTCTTGTGGGACTTTCGGATTGAAACGACTCTTTTTGACTCTTTGACAAGCATGTTAAGGTCAGGCCTTGCTGGTGCAGCATAACACGAATTAGTGAAAATTGTGACCATCAGCCCCGGTAGCCTGGCAGCCACGTGACGTGTTCACGCATTTCCGTGCAGTCACGTGCTGCTTCGACTAATTAAAAGGGCTTCACAAGACTGGAACACACTCCAAAGAAATTGTTCAGCTCTCAGTTGTATGATGGTTTGGTTGATGGAATTTCACGTGCCATAATTGTTTCATAGGACCATTTGATGAAAAACTATTATTTACCAGTAGTACCGCACAAGGCGGTGGCGGAAGTTTCAAAATAGGAAACCTATAGGAGACGTTGGTTGTTGTGAATCACGGATGGCAGTGCGAATCCACTGATTGACCGAAAGGTGGTTGGAGTTGTGTTTGCCGGAGTGGTTGCAATGGTTGCAGTGGTCACCTCACCCACAACTGCTGGATGTAGTGTGATGTACTGCAACTGTAGTTGTAGTTGTAGCGTAGTGGAGTTGTAGTTGTGGTTTAATGTAATTAGTGTAGTGTAGTTGCAGTCATATAGTTGTAGTTGTTGTGTAGTTGTAGTTGTTGTGTAGTTGTAGTTGTAGTTGTAGTACTTGTAGTTGTAGTTGTAGTAGTTGTAGTTGTAGTTGTTGTGGTTGTTGTTGTTGCTGTTCGTCGAATTTGGGGTAGTTAAGTTAGTTAAGTTAGTTAAGTTAGTCAAGTTAGTTAAGTTAATCAGTGTCTACTTTTTCGAGATCTTAACGTCAAAAAAGGCTCAAAACCCTCATTTTTACACTTTTGACTTCGAAATGTGCTTCGCGCCACAACGGCGTGCACTTTTTTGACATCCGAACTTCCAAAAGTGGCGCGAGCATGGTGTGTTTTGTACATTTTGACTTCGAAATGTGCTTCGCGCCACAACGGCGTGCACTTTTTTGACATCTCAACTTCCAAAAGTGGTCCGAGACCGCCAGTTTTTAACACTTTTGACTTCGAAATGTGCTTCGCGCCACAACGGCGTGCATGTTTTCGACATCGCAACTTCCAAAAGTGGTCCGGCGCTGAGGTGTTTTGTACATTTTGACTTGGAAATGTGCTTCGCCCACAACGGCGTGCAATTTTTCATCGCTCCTGTGGCCAGCTGGCTCCGCACCCGCCGCTTTAGCGAGCCTACTTTTCGACCCTCCGGAGCCACAAATCATTGGAAAAACACAGTGTTTCGCGACTTTCCTACCTTTTCGTGCATCTGTATCTTCTGTCTTCTTACTCTTTCTCTTCTAATCTTCCTCTTCTCTCTGCCTCTGCCCTGCTCTGCTTTTCATCTCTCCATATTGTCGGAAGTTTGACTTCTAAACTTCCTTCGATCATATATTTTACCAATTGTTTGGTTGATGAAAAAAACATATTGGTCATTGTGATTCACAATCCCAGGAGTCACTCAGGTGAACTGAGGGCGACAGGTACCCCCTCGAATGGTTCAGCCAGCGGGTAACCCACCCAAATGTTATCAGGTTTTATGGTCTCCAGGTTGACATTGTATTGACCAATACAAAGAAATATGGGATAGGTGCTGACCCACAAAAATAAAAACACCATAATCTAACCCACAAAAGCTGGGAATTAATCTACTAAAAGTGAACTTAATCCACTTAAAACTTAAAACATTGTTTTGACCAGCAAAGGAAATTGAGTTCATCAAACAAGTTCCAATCGAAGATGAATCAAAATTGATCTGACCAATAAAACTACTTATAGCTACTTTTATTTGTTTAAGATGGTCTTTTAAAAAAGTCTTATAGATTCCCCAAACAAAGGATTTACCAAAGGGAACCATAAAAAACCTTAAAAAGTCGACACATTAAACCCTCCATTGGATTCTTGGATGTTGAGATTTTCTAGGTTGCCCAGGTTTAAACATGAAACGTTTACGTTTAACCGGTGTGTCAACCTCTTCGCCACGGTCAAGTTTCGGCCAGGCCTCGGAAAACGCTCCAGGCCGCTTTAGGCGTCCTTGACCCATCCCCATGTGTCGTCATGTAATGTATACAATGTGAGGCCCCCGTTGGATAGCTAAGTTGGTTTAGATTCGCCCCAGTAACTATAGTTATCTATAGTTATCTAGGCGTACCATAAACCATAGTTATTGGAGTCATGTTCACCAACTTAGCTATCGAACGGGTGCCTCACATTGTATGTAATACTACGTATTTATAATACTGCATGACCGAAAATGTCTGAAAATGTCATGATATCCATGCACATGTGTATATGTATATGTATATACGTGTTTGTATTATATTCTGATGATTGCATCATCTACATAACCGTTATTTATTCAGCAACTCCCAACCCATCCACCGTCGTGGCTCTCCTCCATGTCTGGTTGCCATCAATGGGACAAATCCAAGATCTGGGTCCAAAAATATGGTGGATTTATCACAAATTTCTGCCCAGGTCCATGGGAAAATGTCCATGATACAATAATGATACATCATTAGAAGTTTCACTTCTATAAAATTCCGATGAGCAAGCATTCAAGGATTTCGCACAAAATAGATTCACTCGATTCTAGACTATGATTTCAGACCAAATTCATTGCACATGTTTGTCACAGCGCTTGAAAGCCAACAGGACCAAGTTGGGAGGCGCAGGAGTTCAACTAGCCACTTTAAATATCTTTCAATGAAAACTCACTGCGTCTTGACGCTTTACAGGATGTTGGTGCGACATGCCATCACGCAAAGCACGTCAGGTTGGAGAGGGTGCTTATGAGGTGGCGCCCGGTCTGATTCTCCAGCGACCCTGTGACATGCTAAAGAGGACCGTTTCGGCAAGCGTCAGATTCTTTTCTGCTTGAGAGCTAGAACTCTTGTGGAACCAGAAGTTTCAAATATTGAAACGTCATTGGCCGGGCCTAATTTTGGTGCCACAGGAAGGCCCCAAGTAGCCCGTAAACAACAGTCTTTCACACGTCTGCGATTGCCTAGGGGCACTCCTGCTCTATACTGTAGCGTGCTCCAGGGATCTAGCTATACAACCTGGTGCCACGGCAGACCTGTCTTGTGGGCTTAAAATCTCCAGCACCTCCAGCTGTGCTGGACTTCGGTGCGCTAATTGGCAAAACTCAAGGCAAAATGCAAAGTTCAAGGCTAAATTTCATGCACAGATGGATTCTATTCGATTTTGCTATCGCTAATGCTTCAAACACTCGAGCAAGCAGTCTTGGACCCTTTCATTGGCAGCATCAAAGCCGGCACCGGTGAGCACCACCTCGTTGATCATGTCCTCATCTGCCTTGCTGGTGGCCCTCGCAGTCCGTAGGTCAATGGTTGAAAATGCCTCCTGAAGTCCCTCACGCGTAGCCGGAAGCATGATGGTGATGGGAAGCTGCTTGTCAACACCTCACCCGCAGTGTCTTCGAGTCTTGGAAAGTGAAGTTTGGCCGCTCAAAACCTCCTTTACAAAGCTGCTCTATGTTCAACAAGAAAAAGTCAAAGTAGTTTTTTAAGCTTCCGAGTCACATGTGAAGACTTCGAATAAGCACCAGGCCCTTTTTGTGCAAGTAGTATCCGCATCAACTAAGAAAAGCATCTGTCCCGCTCTCGCCAAACGACTCTCCAAAACTGTTTGTAGTTCATTTGCAGAAGAGAAGAGGGTGCCAGACCTGACTGTCCCACTGCTATAATTTGGGGTGGCCGATACTAATGGAACATCTCAATAGAATGTGTCAAAAAGCGTGACCTAAGCCAGCCCCTGGTTCTCAATCATGGGCAGCTTGTCCCAAAACAGGATCGAATTGGTTTCAAGTTTCAAAGAACATGTGCAGGAGACCGCTATAGTTGATGGGGGAAAGGATGGTTTCCTGAACAATAAATCAATCACAATTAATCCGTGAATTACTGGGTCTCTCAATTATTCCGGAGGGACTTGGGAAGCCGGTATTGGTTGTCGCAGAAGAAGCAAATCCAGAGATACGCCTCCCTGACACTGATGCGGTCTCCCTCCATCCAAGCTCGCAGGGCGCCAACGAAGTCATTGAGCCTGCAACAATGCAAAAAGACAAAGATCAGTCAGGCTCGTGGTTGCACGCATCACAAGGTTTCGAAACGACACCATCTTGAAGCTTCTTACGCGTGGCTCCTGAAACATCTACAGAATCTACAGTATTATATTCATGTCCAAACTCAGTCAAAGAGAATCGAGTTTCCATGTAACTTCCTTTGCATCCAGAAAGTAGCCTGCCTGCAAGCCCAACACCAAGAGACAAAGTGGCTGACCTTTCCCTTGTGGTGCTCCTCGACTGCATCAACGATGCTACAATTTGGCCCCCCATCCTCAGAGCAGGTCTTTCCATATCCCAGGCCAGTTTCGCCCATTGCTACGACTGGAGCCATCTCGTAGAAGTTGGGGTTCTCCAAGCCAGTGCTCTGTCGTGCAAGCGCTGGGAAAATATCCAAGACATACGCAGCACTGATGCCATTCAGCTGATTTGTCACAGGCAACGGCGGCGCGTTGTGCTCGCCTTGCCTGGGCAGCGATGGCGGCACCGGCAACACCCCATCCTCCGGTCGTCTGGAGGGCGAGGGCGATGCTTCGGACTCCTCTGTCTCCTTCTTGCAAAACTTGTACCATTGGCAACAAACGGCGCAGAAAACGGTAAGACCCACGCAATACCAAAACCACGCAGTAGCATCACCGGCACGGGGATTGATATACCCTGGATCTGACGCGTCTTCACTCAGTTGCTTATGCTTCCCGATACAGATCAGCCATGTTTCTTCGTACTCTTCTGAGCTTGATTCTGATGTCCAACGAATGCTTGAATTTACGAAAATGGAATCGCGGTCGTAAGAAAGTTCTCGTCCATTGATCTGAAGCGAGCCTCTGCGCTGCCTCACTGTGACATATGCCGCTTCTGTGAGGGACATGTTGCACTCCTGGCTGCGCGACCCATTTCCATGAAAGCTCTGGACGCAACCATCAACCACGCTACACGGTCCATCCACTATCCAACTGACCGTGGTGCCATTGTGTTTCCGGTAGACGTCACGGGAAGCTGGGTAGGTGTAGTTGCTGTCATAGCAGTTGTTGATATCGGTCCTTGTGCCACACTGGCCGTCACCTTCACATAACTCTCCGGGCTCAGCACGCTGGCAGTCCCTGAGCCGTTCTGTCGCTGCAGGGCAGTCGGGCACCGAAACCGGAGTCAGCACTAGACCATCGGAGCACACGGGAGGCGTGTCTAGGCACAGCTTCCAGTATTCCGCATACCTATCATTGGACTCATCTGAAGTCCAGGTGATGCTGGACCATAATACAAATGACTCGCCCCGCAAACCTCTACCACTGTATCTGATGGCATTCACCGTGAGCTGGTCATAGAACTTTTCTGTGCCAAATTCTTTGACAGTCAAGGCAGTGAAAGGTGGTAAAGAAGCAACGCAAGTCTCATTCTCACCATAAAAGCCTGGATAACCAGGACTGCTCAAGCAAGGACCGCTCACCACACATGGCCCTTGGAAATGCCAAAGCCCATCCACTTGCTCTTCTTCGAGGGAGATTTCAGTGAAGGAGCAAGTTGTTGTGGTGGTCGTGAATGGTGTAGAGGCGGTAGCATTGCTTTCGTTTCTGGTGAAGTTCTGCTTCCGATAGACATCACGGGAAGCTGGGTAGGTGTAGCCGCTGTCATAGCAGTTGTTGATATCGGTCCTTGTGCCGCACTGGCCATTGCCTTCGCATAACTCTCCGGGCTCAGCCTCTTCACAGTTGGAAAGCACTTCTGCACCTGCGGGGCATTCCTCGACCGGCACTGGAGTCAGTTCGAAGCCATCTGGGCAAAGAGGAGGTGCCTCCATGCAGATCTGAAAGTGACCATCCAACCCGTCCCATGCAATGTGAGACCACAATACAAACGTCTGGTTCTCGAGAATGTTCCCGCTATACTCAGCGCCGTTGATGACAAGACGGCTGGGATAACGCGCATAGAAGTCAGTCAAGCGCACGACTGAGAAAGGTGGGAGTTTCGCAATGCAAATGGATCCACCTCTGCAAGGTTATGCCAAGCGTTTCTTCAATCTCTATAGTAGGATGTTAAATATGTTAATAACTGCTCCAACTGGGTCTATCTCTGTTTTCCCACAAATAGAGAGTTTTCTACACTTCTTACCATGGTGGCTAACCACCAAGTGGGGTGAACATCCAAGAATTGTCGGGAAAACATGGCAGAAGATATGTTTAAGGGCACCTTGTAAGGTTGGATCGATGGAATCTCATCAGTTTGGCCGCTGCTCTAATTCCATTGCCGCAATTTATGGTGTTCAAAAAACATGCTGAACGCTTCTACGCTTTCAACCTGGTTCGGGGAATGGTTCAAAAAGCTGTTGAAACCACAGAATTCTTGTCATGGCACAAACATTAAAAACCCGCGATTCCATCGTCACTGAACAGCTCGGCGTTTCTGATACAACACAGCTGTTTCCGAAAACCACGCCTTTATATATATTTGCATCATGGGTGAGGCAAGCACCTTCTGCACTACTGCAATACGCCATGCGCCAGATCGGCCCAGGATACTGAGGCTTCCAAACAACGTATTCGTCCTGCACGCGCTGACCCGGAAACAGGTCCCCATCCCCCTAATGTTTAACACCCGTATTCTATGGTCCCATATATGAGGATTCATGAGGTTTAAAAGGCCGAAGAGCCTAACTTGATCAACAGGCAACAGGAAGTACAATTGATGCCACCGGTTACAGTGTTTCAGTTGGGACTTGCGACTCAATCGCCCTTGGTGCAACATCTTGCAACCTGCCAAACAGTGACTGTTCTCCAACAAACAAACATGGCAAATGACAATCCCCGGTCTTGAAAGGCATTTCTGGTTTGTTTGACTATTACAAATATGGAGGTCAGATGCGAAATATTCCAAAAAAGCGGAGGAAAGGAAACCGTGGAAATAGCTTGGGGAGAGCTTCGCTGGGAGGGAGCGAGAAAGCATGCTGGACGGAGAGGCTATACCGTGCAAATAGCTTTCGGAAAGCTTCGGTGGGAGGGAGCGAGACAGCATGCTGGACGGATAGGAAACGGTGCAAATAGCTTGGGGGGAGCTTCGCCGGGAGGGAGCGAGACAGCATGCTGGACGGAGCGGAAACCGTGCAAATAACTTGCGGAGAGCTGGGAGGGAGCGAGACAGCATGCTGGACGGAGAGGAAACCGTGGAAATAGCTTCGGGGGAGCTTCGCTGGGAGGGAGCGAGACAGCATGCTGGACGGATAGGAAACGGTGCAAATAGCTTGCGGAGAGCTTCGCTGGAAGGAAGCGATGCAGATGCTGGGGGGACAGGAAACCGTGGAAATGGCTTGCGAGGAGCTTCGCTAGGAGGGAGCGATAGAGCAGGTTGGACGGAGACGAAACCGTGGAAATCGCTTGCGCAGAGCTACGCTGGGAGGGAGCGAGACAGCATGCTGGACAGATATGAAACCGTGGAAATAGCTTTCGGAGAGCTTCGCTGGGAGGGGGCCAGACAGCATGCTGGACGGAGAGGAAACCGTGCAAATAGTTTGCGGAAAGCTTCGCTGGGAAGGAGCGAGACAGCATGCTGGACGGAGAGGAAACCGTGCAAATAGCTTCCGGAAAGCTTCGCCGAGAAGGAGCGAGATAGCATGCTGGACGGAAAGGAAAAAGTGCAAATAGCTTGCGGAGAGCTGGGAGGGAGCGAGACAGCATGCTGGACGGACAGGAAACCGTGGAAATAGCTTGCGGAGAGCTTCGCTGGGAGGGACCGAGACAGCATGCTGGACAGAGAGGAAACCGTGCAAAGAGCTTTCGAGAGCTTTGCTGGGAGAAGCGATACAGCATGCTGGACGGAGAGGAAACCGTGGAAATAGCTTGGGGAGAGCTTCGCTGGGAGGGAGCGAAACAGCATGATGGACGGATACGCTGGCAGGGAGCGGACGGGAAACCGTGGAAATAGGTTGTGGAAAGCTTCGCCGGGAGGGAGCGAGACAGCATGCTGGACGGAGAGGGTAACCGTGGAAATAGCTTGCCGAAAGCTTCGCTGGGAGAAGCCATACAGCATGCTGGACGGAGAGGAAACCGTGGAAATAGAGCTTCGCTGGGAGGGAGCGAGACAGCATGCTGGACGGAGAGGAAACCGTGCAAATAGCTTGGGTGGAGCTTCGCCGGGAGGGAGCGAGACAGCATGCTGGACGGAGCGGAAACCGTGCAAATAGCTTGCGGAGAGCTGGGAGGGAGCGAGACAGCATGCTGGACAGATATGAAACCGTGGAAATAGCTTTCGGAGAGCTTCGCTGGGAGGGGGCCAGACAGCATGCTGGACGGAGAGGAAACCGTGGAAATAGAGCTTCGCTGGGAGGGAGCGAGACAGCATGCTGGACGGAGAGGAAACCGTGCAAATAGCTTGGGTGGAGCTTCGCCGGGAGGGAGCGAGACAGCATGCTGGACGGAGCGGAAACCGTGCAAATAGCTTGCGGAGAGCTGGGAGGGAGCGAGACAGCATGCTGGACGGAGAGGAAACCGTGGAAATAGCTTGGGGAGAGCTTCGCTGGGAGGGAGCGAGACAGCATGGGACGGAGCGACACAGCATGTTGGACGGAGAGGAAACCGTGCAAATAGCTTGCGGAGAGCTGGGAGGGAGCAAGACAGCATGCTGGACGGAGAGGAAAACGTGGAAATAGCTTGGGAGGGAGCGAGACAGCGTGCTGGACGGACTGGAAACCGTGGAAATAGCTGGCGGAGAGCTTCCCTCACCGGGAGGGAGCGAGACAGCATGGGACAGAGCGATTACAGCATGTTGGACGGAGAGGAAACCGTGCAAATAGCTTGCGGAGAGCTGGGAGGGAGCGAGACAGCATGCTGGACGGAGAAGAAACCGTGGAAATAGCTTGGGGAGAGCTTCGCTGGGAGGGAGCGAGACAGCGCGCTGGACGGACTGGAAACCCTGGAAATAGATCGCGGAGAGCTTCACCGGGAGGGAGCGAGACAGCATGGGACAGGGCGATTACAGCATGTTGGACGGAGAGGAAACCGTGGAAATAGCTTGCGGAGAGCTGCGCTAGCAGGGAGCGAGACACAGCATTCAAGCCGTGGAAATGGCTTGGGGAGAGCTCACTGCAGAGCTGTTGGTGCAGCTTTTTCAGAGCTGTTGGCACGGTTTTTGCAGGACAAATGTCATCATTGCGATTGCCCTGGAAAAATTGTGGACGCAAGACTGGTCAAACGGTCCCAAGACCGGTCAAACGGTTTCCAAAGGCTGAAAAATGGGACATGCACGGCAAAACGTTTGTTGCTGCAGCGGGTTTCGTTTTGCATGAAACCGTGGAAAAAGTCGCGGGAATATGCAGAGCCGTTGGCACGAGTTTTTCGGGACAAATTGCAGCCACGCGATTGTCCTGAAACATTGTGTGCCAAGATTGGTCAAACGGTGTTCAAATGTTGGGCAATGGGACATGCACGGGCAAAAATTTGTTGATTGGACGGGTTTCAACGAGACATAAGCCGTGGAAATGGCTTGGGGAGATTTCAATGCAGAGCTGTTGGCACGGGTTTTTTCAGGACAAATGTCATCATTGCGATTGTCCTGGAAAAATCGTGGACCCAAGACTGGTCAAATGGTCCCAAGACCAGTCAAACGGTTGCCAAAGGCTGAAAAATGGGACATGCACAGAGAAGCTTTTACACAAAAAAAACCTTTACACAGAAACTTTGACACACAGACGCGTTTACACAGAGGAGTCTTGACACAAGGACGCGTTTACACACAGAAGCCTTTACGCACAGAAGCTTTTTGCACAGAGTAGCTTCTACACACAGAAGTCTTTACACAGAGAAGTCTTGAGACAGAGAAGCCTGTACACACAAAGGCTTTTATAGAGAGAAGCCTTTTGTACAGAGAAGTCTTGACGCAGAGGAGCTTTTACGAGAGAAGTCCTTACACAAACGAGATTTACACACAGAAGGTGTTACAGATAGACGTTCTTTCGGCGCACAGAAACTTTAACACAGAGCAGCTTGTACACACAGAAGCTTTTACACAAAAAGGCCTTTACACAGAGAAGTTTTTACACACAGGAGCTTTTGCACAAGAAAACTTTTACACAGGAAAGTTTTTACACACAGAAACTTTCACACACAGAAGCTTTGTACACCGAGAAGTCTTACACAGAGGACCTTTTGCGCACAAACGCATTTACACAGAGAAGCCTCTACACAGAGGAGCCTTTACGCACAGACGCGTTTACACAGAGAAGTCTTTGCACACAGGAGCTTTTGCATACAGAATCTTGTGCACACAGACGCGTTCAACAAACAGACAACTTTACGGCGCACAGAACTTTTACACAGAGCAGCTTTTACGCAGCGAAGTTTGTACTCACAGGGTTTTTTTTACACAGAAGCTTTTACATAAGGTTTTTTTATACACAGAAGCTTTTACACACAGAAACCTTTCCACACAGAACCTTTTACACACAGAAACTTTTACACACAGAAGGTTTTACACACAGAAGCTTTTAACACAAAAAAACCTTTAAACAAAGGAGCTTTTACACACAGACGGGTTTACACAGAGGAGTCTTTACACACGGAGGCGTTTACACAGGAAAGATTTTACACAGAAGCGTTTACACAGAGTAGATTTTACACAGAGAAATCTTTACACAAAGAAGTCTTGACACAGAGAAGCTTGCACACACGGAGGCTTTTACACAGAAGCCTTTTACACAGAGCAGCTTTTTCACAGAGGAGCTTTACACAGAGGAACTTTTACACAGAGAAGCTTGTACACTCAGAGGCTTTGACACAGAGAAGTCTTTTACACAGAGAAGCTTTTGCACACAGAAGCTTTACACAAACAAAACCTTAACACAGAGGAGCTTTTACAGACAGAAGCTGGTACGCAAAGAAACTTTCACAAACAGAAACTTTTACACACAGAGCGCGTTTAAAGCTTTTACACACAAAAGCTTTTACACCAAAAACCTTTACACAGAGAAATTCTTATCCACAGAAGCTTTTACTTGCAAAAGTTTTTATGCAAAGAAGCTTTTGTACAGAGAAGTCTTTACCCATCTATCCATCTTTCATCATGTCTCATTTTTCATGGTCATTCGCCATCTGTCACCTTCATATCTTCGTTTTGATGCTCTTTTGGTCAGCTCCCTCCGTCGTTTAGTTTTCATTTCGTTCTGTCCGTCCACGCTTCGTCCTGCTCCCTCTGCGGCGAAGCAAACTAAACGAGAACGCAGAAATAGATAGCGACTAGAAAGATGGGATAGAGTTAATTACATTAGCAGAAATAGCGACTAGAAGAATGTAGGCGTAGCTGACACAGCATGCTGGGTGAATTGTGGCCCCTGATACCATCAGTGCACACCATGTTTCAGTAAAGATCTTACGTCGATTTCGTGTAGAGCACAGCTGCCCACACCACAAGATGTTCAAGAAAAGGCGTGCTGTGTGCCGTCTTGCTTTTGGGTTCTCTGGCCCACCTTGTTTAACCAACCGTCCTCCACATCCTGCTCTCCCAAGCCCGGCAAGTGCGGTTTTGGCCGCAAGGCTGGCACTGAATTCGATGGCGTTGGCAACTTGGGTGGTTTCCGCAGTGGAACAGTTACCACACCTCCTGGCATTCCCCGGGGCCATGGGGCCTGGCTTTTACATCCCAAAATCAGGACTGTTATGAACGTGGATGATGAAATCATCACCAGTCTGGCGACATTTGGGATGTGAACAACAGGGATCAACGAGGTACCAGGGTTTTGGCCCAGTCTTGCATCAGTATCTCTGGGGTGATTCAAGGGAAAATCGATATCTGTCAATGTGTTTCAGTGTCTCCCCATTAAATGTCGGAGGGTCCTGCGAGGCTGTGAGTTGTCGCTTTTGGCTACGGCTAAGAAGTTAAGCCCTCCTCATGCCTGAGGTAAACACCCTGAAACGCCATGACATCTGGGTTGCGTAGCCCAAAGTTATACGATCCATCCCCACTTGGTCACATGGCAAGCAGTCCTGGCACCGGTACTGCGATGAGCTCCGGGGAATCGAATGATTCTGTGACCCCTTTCACGGGGATGTCATCAAGGAAGGGCGCCAGGTCTGCAACGAGAAGGCCGTGTCCTGAAAAGGCATCCCCATTGAAAAACCATGCGATTCTTGAGGTCTTCAAAAATCAACTCCAGCCCAATCCCAATGTCCCCCAATTATGTCCATTGAATACGGAAAATGATGATCATCCACCGAAAATTTGGAGAGGTCCCATCAATTTTTAGACAAACGCAGCCGAATAAACGAAAAAATGGCTCCTGGAATGTTGATGACAACGTCTTTAGGGACTCCTGGCGATCAAAAGAGATGATCACCCAACTGCCCTGGCGCTGTGTATGGTCACCATGCCAAATCAAACTGGACAGAAGATGAAGTTTAGAAAAAAAACGCCAAGCAAAACGGCATGTGTTCAATTTTGAGTCGCGCCTTCAGGGGTTCGTTCAGATAAAATCATTGATTGCAGGCACGGGTTGTTGTAAATGTCCTGCGTTTCCAACATTTTTTTACCTGACAACACCCTTTCAAAACGCTGCAAGAGCGCAGTCGCTCCACAGGCGCCGCCACCTTGTCTTTCGTTCCAACACATTCTATGTTATGCGGATGTTCAAGGACGAAACTGATGAATTTGTCAAAGGAAGTTGGGAAGCAATACTTCCGTGTTACGGACAAATAGAATTCTGAGACTTGAAATGATGAAGGGCGGTAGATCGTATAACAATACATAACATAACAATACACAACACAAGAATAAGAAGCGGTGGAATTGACCTTGATGAAGGGTGCTGACAATGACGGGGTGGTGACGAAGGGAAGTGGTGACGAAGGGAAGTGGTGACGAAGGGAAGTGGTGACGATGGGAAGTGGTGACGAAGGGAAGTGGTGAGGAAGGGAAGTGGTGACGATGGGAAGTGGTGAGGAAGGGAAGTGGTGATGACGGGAAGTGGTGAGGAAGGGAAGTGGTGACGATGGGAAATGGTGAGGAAGGGAAGTGGTGACGGAGGGAAGTGATGATGAAGGCGAGTGGTGAGGAAGGCAGGTGGGGACGATGGGAGGTGGTGAGGAAGGGAAGTGGTGAGGAAGGGAAGTGGTGAGGAAGGGACGTGGACGATGGGATGTGGTGACGATGGGAAGTGGTGAGGAAGGGAAGTGGTGACGAAGCGAGGTGGTGACGATGGGAAGTGGTGAGGAAGGGAAGCGGTGACGAAGGCAAGTGGTGAGTTGGGGAGGAAGCCGGAGCACGAAACCTTGTCTTTTTCCGTGTAAAGTGGCTGCAGCCGGCGATGAAAGGTACCTCGTCTGTGCGGCAGGTGCGGCTGCGGTCGGTTTGCCTTTTTTTTTGCCGCATTGTAACGGTGGCTTCAAGCTGCTTTGGGTGTGCTTGTGTGTACGTAGTTATAGGGTGTTTTGGAATCTGTGCTTGCAGATCGCATTGGAATGGCTGCATGATGTTGCAAGGGCTCTGTTTTGGGGAGGAAGCCGGAGCACGAAACCTTGTCTTTTTCCGTGTAAAGTGGCTGCAGCCGGTGATGAAAGGTACCTCGTCTGTGCAGCGGGTGCGGCTGCGGTCGGTTTGCCTTTTTTTTCTTGCCGCAGTGTAATGGTGGCTTGAAGCTGCTTTGGGTGTGCTTGTGTGTGCGTAGTTATAGGGTGTTTCGGAATCTCCGGTTGCAGATCGCATTGGAATGGCTGCATGACTGGTGTCATTTGGTGTTCTGGTGTTGCTCTGTGCGTAGATAGGTGCAAGTTTGCGAGTTGATGCTGCGAACCGCATTGTAATGGCTGCATGATGTTGCATGGGCTATGTTTTGGGGAGGAAGCCGGAGCACGAAACCTTGTGTTTTTCTAAAGTGGCTGCAGCCGGCGATGAAAGGTACCTCGTCTGTGCGGCGGGTTGCGGCTGCGGTTTTTTTTTGCCGCATTGTAACGGTGGCTTCAAGCTGCTTTGGGTGTGCTTGTGTGTGCGTAGTTATAGGGTGTTTTGGAATCTCCGGTTGCAGATCGCATTGGAATGGCTGCATGACTGTTGTCATCTGGTGTTGTTGTGTGTGTAGATATGTGCAGGTTTGCGACGTGATGCTGCGAAATGCATGGTAATGGCTGCGTCAAGGTTGCATGGTGCCGCGGCTGCATGCGTAATACTATTGCCTTTTGCAGCTGAAGATTGTAAATCGTATTGGAGTGGCTGTTTGTAAAAGCGTCTCAGTTTAAAAGTTCCTGTGTGTGTAAACGGTTGCCATGTGTAAAAGCACTGTGTGTAAGTGTCCTGTGTGTAAACGCTTGCTGTGTGTGAAAGCTTGCTGTGTGTAAAAGCTTGTTGTGTGTAAAAGCTTGTTGTGTGTAAAAGCTTCTCTGTTTAAAAAGCTTGCTGTGTGTGTAAACGCTTGCCATGTGTAAAAGCGCTGTGTGTAAGTGTTCTGTGTGTAAACGCGTGCCATGTGTAAAAGCACTGTGTGTAAGTGTTCTGTGTGTAAACGCTTGCTGTGTGTGAAAGCTTGCTGTGTGTAAACGATTTTGTGTGTAAATGCTTGCTGTGTGGAAAAGCTTCTCTGTGTGTAAAAGCGTCTTTGTGCAAAAGTTTCTGTGTGTAAACGCTTGCCATGTGTAAAAGCACTGTGTGTAAGTGTTCTGTGTGTAAACGCCTGTTGTGTGTGAAAGCTTGCCGTGTGTAAAAGCTTCTCTGTGTAAAAGCTTCTCTGTGTAAAAGCTTGTTGTGTGTAAAAGCTTCTGTGTGTAAAAGCTTCTCTGTTTAAAAAGTTTGCTGTGTGTAAAAGCTTCTCTGCGAAAGAACTTGCTGTGTGTAAAAGCTTTCTTTGTGCAAGCTTCCTTAAGAAGTAGTGGGAAATACTTTGTGCAAGCTTTGTAGTACAAAGTAGTACTGGGAAGTACTTTTTGCAAGCTTTGTAGTACAAAGTAGTACTGGGAAGTACTTTTTGCAAGCTTTGTAGTGCACAGTAGTACTGGGAAGTAGTTTGTGCAATCTTTGTAGTACAAAGTAGTACTGGAACGTGTTTTGTGCAAGCTGTGTAGTACAAATTAGTACTGGGAAGTGGTTTTTGCAAGCTTTTGTAGTAGACATCAGTACTGGGAAGTAATTGACATGAAAATAGTCAAGAAGAAATTAGCTGACATATGGGAAGACATGGAATGAGATGAGAAGAGCTCAGATGAGATGAGTTGAGATGAAGTGCAAGTGTGAAGTGTGGAGTGTGGGGTGTGAAGAGTGCAACGTGAAGTGTGAGGAAAGTGTTTGCATTGCACCGTGGACAGCAACACTGCAACAGCTTCGCACAAAGCACGCACGCACTGGCCTGGCTGGCGCACGGCGCATGCAAGTTCCTTAGTAGTAGTCTTAGTAGTAGTAGTAGTAGTAGTAGTAGTAGTAGTAGTAGTAGTGGTAGTGGTAGTAGTAGTAGTAGTAGAATGTGAAAAAGGTAGTGAGAAGTGAGAAGTGTGAAGTGTGGACTGTGAAGTTTCAAGTGTGAAGTGTGAAGTGTGGATTGTGAAGCGTGAAGTGTGGAGTGTGAAGTGGGAAGAGTGCAGTGGGAAGTGTGAAGTGTGGAGTGTGAAGTGCGAAGTGGAGCTTCAAATGTGACATGTGAAAGAGGACACCACTTTCGCAGAGTGCACGCACGCACTGGCTTGGCTGGCGCACGGCGCATGCAAGTTCTATAGATGAGAAAGGTCTTATATATATATATCCCTAAAGGCAACTTCCGCCCCGCCTCGTGCGGGTACTACTGGGATATCTTACAAACAGATACAAATAGTTCAAATGCACATATGATGTTCAACTTACTTTCTGAAGGGATTCTGTCGGATAGTATCCAGCGCATGGGGAAGCTCAAGTTGGACATCCCACACGTCAACAGCCTACAGTATTTGTTGCATCACATCATGGTGTCAGGATGAAAACCATGAAGACTGTCTTTGCCCTGATAAAAACTTTCACAGTAAGCACTTGAGAAACCTGTTCTTGATAGAGGTTTTCTACTACCTCAACTCTCTGCACACGGCGTGGAAGACCTGTACCCAATATTGAACTCCAAACCTTGAATCAAGAAACACTATACCCTGTTTTTTGGCCACATGGGGCACTACAAAAATCTCCGATTTTTCGGGTTGCCATGGGTTGCCTATTTTTGAAAGCTATTCCCCGCCTATCAATCGGTTTCGCACCATTCACAAAACTTGGGACAGGTCCGTGTCGGACGCATGGTGTTGCATGTTTCTTGCGAATCGCAGGCGGCTTGTTACACAGGAAACACACAATTGTCATGGCAAACGTAATACATCATGAGAATATCATTTAACAGTTTAACATGACAGGCGCAATATTTGGTGAGGTTTCGAAGGCTGTGGAAGGCTACTTTGCCTGGTGCCTGGCACACGCAATACTTCGAGCACTTTTGATGATGTGGCTTTTACTTTCTGCATTGGCACAGCTTAAAAAAAAGAGTGAGATGCCCTGTGGCTGTGACATGTCATTTTGCATGGCATATTTGGTGGAGCTGCAGGGGTGATGCCGGGATCTGTCTTCAAAAGGACGCCTTTCAAAAAGTATCTGGCAAGAATGTGCCACAAGAGGGTCTTACAAGGTGTCTGACAATGTTCCACAAGAGCAGCTCGTTCCGTGCATTTGGGTTCCTAAAATGTTTCTGCAATGGAAGAAGTCACTCGTTGCTGTTGGCTCCTTGAGACCCTTGCCAGCTGCCATAGTGAGGTATAGGGGGGTCTACGCTGACGTGCGGGATGTCATCTCCGTGCTTTCCGAGTTTGCCAGCCAACTTGCCAAGCCACCCCCAACCTGGGAACGGCACCAAGAGCAAGGGGCCTGTTATCTAACGAAACCGTTGGGATTGTTCTATCCTGTTAGGGTCATGCTTCTAGACGCCCAAACCAAAAATGTCTGGCAAAAATGTGGAGTGGACATCATCCAGCAGGATGGATTCACGGTGCACGCTTGGAAGTTGAAATGTTGGTTTCGTCTCACAAAAATTTTGGCAGGCCTCCGGAAACAACTTTGAAAAGCACTACGTACCTACATTTGCTTCATTTTCAACTTGAGGCAGCCCCCCCTGGCACCCTGACTTTCCGTCTGAGCCACCTAAGCGGCGGCCAGAATGGCTGCTCAGCAAGGCTCTCCTCACCTCGACTTGTCAATCAAACTCCAACAGATCGAACCGTTTCGAAGTGAAAACCGGCGAAAAAGATTGACGCAGGGCACCCAAACCCCAAGCCGCTCAAGCCAATGTGGCATCAAGGTGGCAAGAAAATGTTGCGGTAAACTGTTTGTGCCCGAATCAACTCAACCAAAACAACTTGATGATGTTGTGGTTTGTTGTGGCGTGTTCCGGTCTGTTCTGATTTGTTCTGGTTTGCGCGTGTGGGTTAGACACCTGAACAACATCATTTCTTCGACATGTGCATCTGCTGTGTCGTAAGTCTGCTAGGAAAAGGTTGTGTTTTGTACATCTGTCAGGAACTGGGTTCGGTAATTCAGCTTGATACCGATACGCGTGTTGTTTGCAAATACTACCCAGTACATAGTTCTCGTCCATGTTATGCTCTACTGGAACTTTCCAAAGAGATTGAGATTCTCCGACCCTCCCAGCAATGTGGCAAACCCAATTTTAAAAAGGGTGTGAAATAGTTTTAGGAATTTTTTTTTGAGCAGGTTTGGGATTTTTTTTTGGATTTCTTGGCTGGTACCATTTGCCTAGTGTTTGCAACGGTTTGGAACTTGAATTTGTCATTTTGCATGGTATTTGCCACATTTGGGCATGTTCACCTTCCATTTTGCATGGGATTTACTACATGTGGGCATGTTCACCTTCCATTTTGTATGGTATTTGCCACATTTTGGCATGTTCACCTTCCATTTTGCATGGGATTTACTACATGTGGGCATGTTCACCTTCCATTTTGTATGGTATTTGCAACATTTTGGCATGTTCACCTTCCATTTTGCATGGGATGTTCTACATGTGAGCATGTTCACCCAAATATTTACAGATGCAGAAGCTTGGGATTAGATAAAAAGCGGGTGGGGGGGATTGAGGGAGGGCGCTAGCTATCTATCCAGCTAGCTAGCTATCTAGCTATCTAGCTAGCTATCTATCTAGCAAGCTAGCTATCTATCTAGCAAGCTATCTATCTATCTAGCTATCTATCTACCTATCTAGCTAGCTATCTTGCTAGCTATCTATCTACCTATGCTATCTAGCTATCTCTATCTAGCTCTAGCTATCTATCTATCTAGCCTATCTATCTCTCTATCTAGCTATCGCTATCTAGCTATCTATCTATCTATCTAGCTATCTAGCTATCTAGCTTTCTATCTATCTAGCTATCTCTCTATCTAGCCATCCAGCTGTCTATCCAGTTATCTAGCTATCGAGCTATCTATCTAGCTAACTATCTACCTATCTATTTAGCTATCTATCTATCTATCTATCTATCTATCTATCTAGCAAGCTAGCTATCTAGCTACCTCTTTGTCTATCTAGCTAGCTATCTATCTATCTAGCTATCTATCTAGCCATCTATCTATCTAGCTATCTATCTAGCCATCTATCTATCGAGGTATCTAGCTATCTATCTCTCTAGCTATCTATCTATCTAGCTGGCTATCTATCTATCTAGCTATCTATCTACCTATCTACCTATCTACCTATCTACCTATCTACCTATCTACCTATCTACCTACCTACCTACCTACCTATCTATCTATCTATCTATCTATTTATCTATCTATCTATCTATCTATCTATCTATCTAATCTATCTATCTATCTATCTATCTATTCTATCTATCTATCTATCTATCTATCACATCTAATCCTGTCAGCTTTCCAGAGAAGGTTAGTTCGCAAAAACAACTAATGTAACTTGGGTTTAAGTTTAAATTTAAAAAAAAAAACGGGAGGTGGGCAGAATGCAAGCACCTCTTCTCACATGTTACGTTGCTAGTTTTCAAGAGAAGGTTGGTCATGTGATACTCAGGGATGTAAATACTGTGCAAAATGCATCTTACATGAAAATCAAGTATTTAAAGCAGGCAAAGCAAAAAAAAAAACAGAGAAGCAAAAAAGCAGAGAAGCAAAGAAACAGGAAACGCACAAAAGCAAAACAGCAGAAAGGCAAAGAAGCAGGAAAAGCAGAAAAGCAGAGAAGCAGGAAAAGCAGGAAAAGCAGAGAAGCAAAGAAACAGGAAAAACAGAAAAGCAAAAAAGCAGAAAAGCAGAGAAGCAGGAGCAAGCAGAAAAGCAAAAAAGCAGAAAAGGCGAGAAGCAGGAGAAGCAGAAAAGCAAAAAAGCAGAAAAGCAGAGAAGCAGGAAAAGCAGGAAAAGCAGGAAAGCAGAGAAGCAGGAAAAGCAGGAAAAGCAGAGAAGCAGGAATCCAAAAATAATTCCTAAACCTGATCAAAACAAAAATCAAAAAATTATGAGCCCTCCTTTTAAAAACCCTATCACCTATCATAATCTTCTCCCCAGATATCAGTTGGCCCACCTTCGGCTCACGTCCATCGAGAGCATCTTCCTATGAACACGTTGCGTGGGCACCAAAAGTTTGGGGCAAAATTGGAAAATCAACTTTAAGCAGACCAACAAAAAAACTGGGGGGCAATGGAAGAATTTGCAGAGGTACAGTATAAATCATCTGAAAATAGTGAAATGTTCCGTTGCCATATGTGCTTTTCATCCAAGAAGAAATTTATGTTTTTGCAACCATCAACTCCAGATACTCCAGTCCAAGGTTTTTCTGCGATGTCTCCCTGGATCTGATATTTGAAAAGAAAAGCATCCAACTGCGGTACGAGATACCCAACACCGAGGTAAACCCCAACGTTCGTAAGTTTTCGGACAACCACCATATTAAATGTTTAACATGGTGAAATAAGGCACAGAATTTGTCTTTCTTGGGCTTACCACGTTGCCAAGCTCGGCAACCAATGAGAACCCTGAAGGGGCTCCCACCGGAAATCGTATCACACTTTCTGGTTCGACCTATAAACATCGGAACATACAAGTCCAGTAGGTCTGATGGAAGCGTTCGACGATTTAGACATTTACTCGTATACATGTACATCATTTCCCACCATGTTCCACCTTTGTGAGAATGAAGCGACAGTTTCATGTCCTTCTGAAAATGTTTGAAGAAATTGCGGTTCTTCCCACAGGGACCGGAATTGCCTGTGTTCAAGTAGTGCAATCCTATTCACAAGGCCTAGGAATCTGATGTTCTGAGAAATCGACCTGAGCCCAGACCAACACCACCAGCAGAACGCAGAGGCGCAGACTTAAAGCCATGGCAAGCGCGGCGACATGTTTACCCTACAGCTTCAGGTTGAAACTCGAAGAATCTCTATGATTTGCGGAATGAAATATCCCAAAAGTGGGCTCAACACTTCGGGGGTGACACCTCCATAGCAGCTGGTACAATGGGACAATTTATGTTTGGAATCTTGATGAATCTTGCTTATGTGATTGCCACTATTTCCGAAAATTGACATGGCACAGCGAAGGGATTTGGAAGCGAACAAATTTGATGACTCGCTAGACCGTGATTTCAGACCAAAATCAATGTTGTTTATCTATTGCCTGGATTGATTTGTCACTATACAGCTTCAAACTGAAAGCATTGGACGAAAGCGGCCATTGGCGCAGTAGTTGAGAAGACAGCTTCAAAAAAAATCACACCCCATCTGTTGAAGCTCTCCACGATGTTGGTGTGGCATAACATGCCACGACAAAAAGCCGGGTTTTCTAAAGAAGGCTTTATGAGCTGGCACCCTTTGACTCAAAGATTCTCCAACTTCCGAGCCTACACACCAAAGAGTCTCTATTCTGCTTGGAAACTTCACCTCTTGTGGGACTTTCGGATTGAAACGACTCTTTTTGACTCTTTGACAAGCATGTTAAGGTCAGGCCTTGCTGGTGCAGCATAACACGAATTAGTGAAAATTGTGACACTCAGCCCCAGTAGCCTGGCAGCCACGTGACGTGTTCACGCATTTCCGTGCAGTCATGTGCTGCTTCGAGTAATTAAAAGTTGGAAAATTGGATCGACAGTTCACCTGTCCACCAGCAAGGCCCCCCGAGTATCCCGTGAAGCAACGGTACTGCTGCACACGATACACCTTTGTAAACAACACTGTCGTGAACAATTGCTGTGGGAACTTTTACATTGAGAAAATGATCTTTGTTCTTCTCAGGGGGACTCCTGCTCTATCCTGATAAGCCTTCTGACGCGGTACCAGAGATCAAGCTATAAAACACGCTCGCTCTGGTGCGGCGGACCCATCTTGTGGGGTACGTGGCACCTCTGGCCACGGCTCAAGGCTGAATTCCATGCATGGATTTCACGAATGGTTGGTAGTTTCACCTCGTCCCCAACTATGAGTCACTTGGCTTCCTCATTCCTTTCAGGCAGGATGCAAAACAAGAGGCATCCGAAACCAGCCAGACCATAGCTAGTGAGCTAGTGGTTCAAACCCTTGAGCAAGCAGCCTTGGACACGTTCATTGGCAGCATCAAAGCCGGCACCGGTGAGCACCACCTCGCTGATCATGTCCTCATCTGCCTTGCTGGTGGCCCTCGCAGTCCTTAAATCAATGGTTGAAAATGCCTCTTGAAGTCCCTCGCGGGTAGCCGGAAGCATGATGGTGATGGGAAGCTGCTTGTCAACACCTCACCCGCAGTGTCTTCGAGTCTTGGAAAGTGAAGTTTGGCCATGGCTCAAAACTTCCTTTACAAAGCTGCTCTATGTAAAAAAAAATTCAAAGTAGTTTTTAAGCTTCCGAGTCACATGTGAAGACTTCGAATAAGCACCAGGCCCTTTTTGTGCAAGTAGTATCCGCATCAACTAAGAAAAGCATCTGCCTCGCTCTTGCCAAACGACTCTCCAAAACTGTTTGTAGTTCATTTGCAGAAGAGAAGAGGGTGCCAGACCTGACTGTCCCACTGTTGCTATGATTTGGGGTGGCAATGGATACTATTGGAACATCTCAATAGAATGTGTCAAAAAGATTCAAAAAGCATCAAAAAGCGTGGTTCTCAATCATAGACTGGGCAGCTTGTCCCAAAATAGGATCAAATTGGATTAAAGTCTAAAAGAGCATGTGCAGGAGACCGCTATAGTTGATGGGGGAAAGAATGGTTTCCTGTGAATGAACAATAAATCATAATAAATCAATCACAATCAATCCGTGAATTACTGGGTCTCTCAATTATTCCACAGGGACTTGGGAAGCCGGTATTGGTTGTCGCAGAAGAAGCAAATCCAGAGATACAGGGAATACGCCTCGCTGGCATTGATGCGGTCTCCCTCCATCCAAGCTCGCAGGGCGCCAACGAAGTCATTGAGCCTGCAACAATACAAAAAGACAAAGATCAGTCAGGCTCGTGGTTGCACGCATCACAAGGTTTCGAAACGACACCATCTTGGAGCTTCTTTCATGGCTCCTGAAACATCTACAGAATCTACAGTAGTATATTCATGTCCAAACTCAGTCAAAGAGAATCGAGTTTCCATCTAACTTCCTTTGCATCCAGAAAGTAGCCTGCCTGCACGCCCAACACCAAGAGACAAAGTGGCTGACCTTTCCCTTGTGATGCTCCTCGACTGCATCAACGATGCTACAATTTGGCTCTCCATCCTCAGAGCAGGTCTTTCCATATCCCAGGCCAGTTTCGCCCATTGCTACGACTGGAGCCATCTCGTAGAAGTTGGGGTTCTCCAAGCCGGTGCTCTGTCGTGCAAGCGCTGGGAAAATCTCCAAGACATACGCAGCACTGATGCCAAGTAGCTGCTCAGATTTGGGAACTGCAGCACAAGAAGGACAAAGGCATCTATCCTCAAGGTCACAAAGAAGCGCCAAACTTCTGATCCCATACCCCTTTTTCGATAACTCCCCTTTTTGGGAATTCCGAAGTGAACAAAGGAAAGACTAAAACCAGGGATGCTTGTTGATATTTACTGAGAGAAACGAATCATTCACACAATCCAACTAGCAGCTAGTAACAGTATGTAACAATCAGCTGCACCAGCCAGCTACACAAGAATATATACTGTAACTTTGCCAAGGCTTTTCTACTGAGTTTCCTGGCAGACACGGCACTGCCAAAAGCAGCCACTGATGCATTGTTGCTGACACCGTGCGCAGGTGAACTCCTGGCATTGCTTAGAGAGCTTCATCATGTGACAGTGGCTCTGTGGGCAACTGGGAACTCGCACCCAGGAATGTCTCTTCCCTTGGTATGTCCACCTCAACGTATCCTTGGTCGAGCTTTCCTCCAGCTCATAGATGCTTCCATCTGACCACACTTGCCGTGGCGGTTCGCAGTCAACCTCCAGCCGAAACATCGGATGAGCACGAACATCGCTGCAGACCACTGGCTCCGCATCAGCATGACAAATGAGCCAGGCAGCTCCCAAGTCAAGAGGTGACTCCATCAGCAAGTCTGGCGGCTCGCTGCGCTCGCGTTGCCTGGGCCGCGATGTCGGCACCGGCAACACGCCATCCTCCAGCGTCGCTTCCGACTCCTCCTTCCCAAGCATCCTGCAGTACAAGTATTCACAACAACAGGCGCAGAAAAACAGAACACCCACACAAATCCAGGCTAAAGGATCAGTAGAAGTAGAAAGGCCAGGAAATTCTGGCAGTTGCACTTGGTCACGTGTGCCGATGCAGATCACCCACCTGTCTCCGTCTATGTCGCCAGTTGGGTTCCAGCGGATGGTAGGTTCCACAAAGATGGCATATACCTTCGTCACCATACCTTCGTCACCATACCTTCGTCCATTGATCCAAAGCGAGCCCCAATAGAGAGAACTTTTTAACGTGACAGTCCCAGATTCTGTAAGGGACATGTCACAGCTTTGACCAGGAGATGCATTTCCACCAAAGTTCTGGACGCAACCATCGATCACAGGACACGGTCCATTCACTATCCAACTGACCGCAGTGCCATTGCGCTTCCGATAGATGTCACGGGAAGCTGGGTATGTGTAGCCGCTGTCATAGCAGTTGTTGATATCGGTCCGTGTGCCGCACTGGCCGTTACCTTCGCATAACGCTCCGGGCGCAGCCTCTTCACAGTTGGAAAGCACTTCTGCCCCGGCGGGGCATTCCTCGACCGGCACTGGAGTCAGTTCAAAGCCATCTGGGCAAAGAGGAGGCGTGTCTAGGCACAGCTTCCATCTCCTTCTCCAGTATTCCGCATACCAATCACTGGACTCATCTGAAGTCCAGGTGATGCTGGACCACAATGCAAATGATTTGCCCCGCAAACCTCTACCACTGTATCTGATGCCATTCACCGTGAGCTGGTCATAGAACTTGTCTGTGTTAAATTCTTTTACAGTCAAGGCAGTGAAAGGTGGTAAAGAAGCAACGCAAGTCTCATTCTCACCATACGAGCCTGGATAACCAGGACTGCTCAAGCAACGACCGTGCACCGCACATGGCCCTTGGAAATGCCAAAGCCCATCCACTTGCTCTTCTTCGAGGGAGATTTCAGTGAAGGAACCAGTTGTTGTGGTGGTCGTGAATGGTGTAGAGGCGGTAGCATTGCTTTCGTTTCTGGTGAAGTTCTGCTTCCGATAGATGTCACGGGAAGCTGGGTATGTGTAGCCGCTGTCATAGCAGTTGTTGATATCGGTCCGTGTGCCGCACTGGCCGTTGCCTTCACATAACTCTTCGGGCGCAGCCTCTTCACAGTTGGAAAGCACTTCTGCCCCGGCGGGGCATTCCTCTACTGGCACTGGAGTCAGTTCAAAGCCATCTGGGCAAAGAGGAGGTGCCTCCATGCAGATCTGAAAGTGACCATCCAACCCGTCCCATGCAATGTGAGACCACAATACAAAGGTCGTGTTCTCGAGAATCGTGCTGCTGTATCTGTTGCCGTTGACGATAAGGTGGCTGCGATCCCCCGCAAAAAAATCGGTCACGCGCACGACCGAGAAAGCTGGGATTTCAGAGACGCATGTTCCACCTCGGTCAATTTTTCTTTCAAACTCTACTTGGATGCGTTTATCCATGTCTATCCCATTTTATCCTAACCATATCCCAGAAGTTTTTGCCGTGGTCGCGAATCGGTGGCTAATTCAAATGACATACCAAAGAAACTTGAGAGGGGGAACACGAAAGGTAGGTGAGCAAGAAAGGAACCGAAGAAAAAAGAAAGGAGAGAGGGCAAGGAAAAAAACATGAAGTGTTGTCTGGTAAAAGCGACGCGGCCATTTTCTCACTAAAAACATGACGTGGAGTCTGGTAAAAGCGACGGAAAGGCTTCGGCGGTGTGGTTGGGGTTGGCGGTGGTTGTGGTGTTGGTGGTGTTGGTGGTGCTGGTGGTGTTGGTGTTATTGGTGTTGTTAATGTTGGTGTTGCTGGTGTTGTTGGTGTTGGTGGTGTTGTTGGTATTGTTAGTGTTGCTGGTGTGGTTGGGTTTGTTGGTGGTGTTGGTGTTGTTGGTCGTGTTGTTGGTGTTGGTGTTGTTCGTGTTGGTGTTGTTGTGGTTGTTGTGGTTGTTGTGGTTGTTGTGGTTGCATTGTTTTCCTGTTTGCTGTCTTGTCACTTTGCATGTTGAGTTTGCATTTGCGCGTTGAACTGACCTTGGTGACATTGACATGCGCTTTTGACTGTCCGCTCTAATTTTGAGATGCAGCCCCCTGTGTGGGGGGCAAGTGGCCACTGTTTGAGAGAAGTGAATTTTGATGAAGAAGAAGAAGAAGAAGGTGAAGGAAGTCAAAAGCTATTTGATGCGTTTGATTGCTTTCTGAATTTTTCTTTTTGTTTAAATCCATGTTTGGTCTTCATATTGACATCTCGAAGGGCGGAGAAGGATCAGTGGCCGCAGCACCTAGGGCTTAGGCCGGCGCTCAAGGCGTTTCGTTCTTCGCCGCACACGACGTGGGCTCCGGGTGACAAAACAGCAGATTGCTTGTGCTAAGGGAGTGTTTCCGGCTTGGCCACCCAGTTCGACTGATAACCAAGCAACGGTGCTCCTGGTTCTCCAGGGCGGCTTGCCTCCCAGGAGGTGCATCCGTGATCTGAGGAACGGATTGTTTTCTACTAGCGTCAAGCCAGAAAGTTTGCCATCGACAACCTTTCGCAAGGGCTTCTTCTATGCTTGATGCCAAGACAGTTTGTTCCTCTATCCTGCAGAAACACTGCAACAATGAAGATCCATGTTCCGTGCCTTTACAGACACTTTTGTTAGGACTGTTAGGAATCATGAATGTGATTTGCTGGACAGCTGGTGGGCAATTTCCTGACGCCTTGCGGCTTTCTACTCGGGCGCAGCTTGGAACTCATGTTGGCACGGCTTCAGTTTTTATGGTTGCCGACAGCCTGCTCCTCAGACGCATTGGCAAAAAGGTAGAAGCTGCATTGCATGTTTCCACCTCTGCGCTCCTGGCTTGGATGTTTCCAGCGGACAAAAACTATGGCCGCCAAGCAGAGGGTGCCTTAAGGGCCATGGCGGGACTGATGACTGCGAATGGCTTGGCCCTGCTGAAAAGCAGGGCACGTACACAGCAGGGCCATCAAGTTGGGAGGCTGCTCACGCCAAAACAACGATCTGTCTTCTGGCCCGATTCCTTTCCAGACTATGGGGTGCGGCTTAGGAGGTGGTTGGTACTTTAACATTCCATATTTCTATTTCTTTTGCCCCCTACTATCATTAATCTGTCATGGCATGCGACTAGAAGCTTATGAGCCACTGTCTGCACGGAGGAAAAATATCACTGTTGACAGAAATTCCGTTTCCCACCATTTTTAAAAAGATACTATTTCGATTTCTTTTGCGGGTTCCCCGTTTTAGGAAACGCAGAGAAGTAGCTTACACAATTTTCGTACTCGACTTCCCAGCACGTCGCCAGAAACGCTGCGATGTCAATTTTGTTGCACCATTTTGCAGAGATGTCATGTGCAAATTTTGCGTCATGTACTTCGCTGCAATTTGTAGTTTTTAATTTGAGATCACAGCAGTTCGCCAGAAACGCTGCGATCTCTAAGGCGCTGCTAGCGTATTGGACTTCGCTGCAAGTTGTGTATTTTAAACTTTTGGTCTTGTTTTTTTTTGGTTTTGGTTGTTTGTTCTATTTTTAGGTTTTTGGCTTTGCCCTTTTTCTTTGGCGAGGCGCATACTGCAGCCTGCGCAAGATTTACTGAGCAGGAGCTGGTCAGCATCCTGCTGAACAAGAAGGAGCTAAGAGCATCCTGCAAAGGCGCAATCTTGCTGCCTGCAAAGGCGCAATCTTGCTGCCTGCAAGTCATGGTACGAAGTTGAGAAAAGAGATTCCCAGTGAACACATCAGCTGCCTTTTTTTGACCTGCGCAGTAATGAAATATCTCTTAGTCCAGCATTTCTATACTGATTTCTGCTCGGATGGCAGATAGCAGGCGCTCAGAGCCTACCACCACGCTCCCTTGTGTTCACTACATTCCCTCAGGGTTGCGGTGGCTAACTGCAGGTAGCAGCAACAGTCAGCCAATCAAAGCTAAATGTCAGCTGCACGCCAATCTACAGCTTGCTCAATCCCAACAGCCCACAAGAAAGAATCCAGTGAAGGTCAGGGGATTCGCCTTTTCACTTCCTTCAGTTTTCTCTGCCCACGAAACAAGGTATATACTGTTTCACTTCCAGGCTGAAGTTGCCAGGGCCCTGCTGCGTCTGAGATTGTTCGATGAGGCTATGGTACCTGGCATGTGCGTGGAAGCATTCATCGCCTGCCTGACAGGACTGTGCGAGAGATAGCCAAAGTTTTCCTGCATTCTTGTTCGCAGTGGAAAACCATTTCCTGGCAATGGCATCTCTAATAACCGTTGAGCAGCGGCGATTAATGTCTTCAACCGTCAGGATGTCAGCTGAGGATTTCACGAGCGCATCACCCGCGTGGAACAAAAAAGTCCCAGGCTCTGCACATGTCAGTGACGTGGGCCCATCCACACTTCGAAGAATCATTTCACTTGTTTTTTCTTAAGTCGAGGATTCAGATGCGCAAAAAATTCTGCAACTACCTACCTGAAGGCAAGACCCAAACAACCTCGACTAATGTAACATCAAAAGTAAGAAGGGTTGCAAACATGACCTGTCAACTTGGACACATGAGGAGCCACGAGGCATCCTGCAAAAAAGGAGCTCGAAGCATCCTGCATTGGAATGATAGGAGCATAAAGCATCCTGCAAAGAAGGAGCTCTGAGCATCCTGCCATACACAAAGGAGCTTTGAGCATCCTGCGAATCAAGCAGCCCCCAGCCAAGACTGCTTCTGAACCTACTTGGAAGCTGTTTCTTTATTTTTTTGCCAGCCCTAACAGAGCCGAGCTTGCCACATTATGTAACTCTTGCCCCTGTAAAGCTTTTTTTTCCACTGGAAAGCACTAATTTGCCTTGGGAAAAATGTGCGATCGTATGCAACATGTTCAAGGTCCACAAACAAATGACAATCAAACCAATAATTTTGTTAAACATACAACTTTCTAGCCTACGCAGAAAAATATAAATGAAGGGCAGGAAGCACTTCTAAAAGCCGTTTTTTTGATGAATAAACATGCCCAAAAGCCGTTTTTTGAGTACTCTTGAGCACTGAAGCATGCGAACCTAGCACCACATTCTGCGAACTTCCCTTCGATGGAGCCGATGAGGCCGATGAGGCCGATGGAGCCGATGGAGCCGATGAGGCCGATGAGGCCGGGAGCCGATGGAGCCGATGGAGCCGATGAGGCCGATGGAGCCGATGGAGCCGATCAGGCCGATCAGGCCGATGGAGCCGATGAGGCCGATGGAGCCGATGGAGCCGATGAGGCCGATGAGGCCGATGGAGCCGGTGGAGCCGATCAGGCCGACGGAGCCCATATAGCCGGAGCCGATCAGGCCGATGTGGAGCCGATGAGGCCGATGGAGCTGATGGAGCCGATGAGGCCGATGAGGTCGATGGAGCCGATGAGGCCGACGGAGCCGATGGAGCCGATGAGGCCGATGAGGCCGATGAGGCCGATGCAGCCGATGGAGCCGATGAGGCCGATGAGGCCGATGAGGCCGATGGAGCCGATGAGGGGAGCCGCTGGAGCCGCTGGAGCCGCTGGCGCCGCTGGAGCCGCTGGCTCCGCTGGAGCCGATGAGGCCGATGGAGCCGCTGGAGCCGCTGGAGCCACTGCATTATTGCCAGTATTAAGGGAGTTGCAGGTTACAGCTATAATTTATCGAGACACCTTAACCCATTCCACCCTGCTTACATGCACAAGAAGTGGTGCCGCAAAATCGACGCCAACCGTCAATGGCACGGGGGGAGGGGGGGGGTACTGAAATGACTAATAATCTCCTGAATAATCAGGTAACGGGGCTGGCCGCCCTCTCCTTTACTTCGTAAAGCAAAACTCAAGGTAGCCCCACTGGAGCTACCTTTCGTGACATGCGTTGTCCCGACTGAATTATAGTTTTGGGTCGGAAAGCCATGTTGCGCAGCGTTCATCAACCTATCATCTGTTTGGCCACGCGGCTTGTCTGGTCCATATGTTGCTTGCAGATGCTCGCGGTCTTCAAAGTCTCGTAATGAGCGCTTCTACGCTGTCTGCATGCATATTTCATGGAATATTTCAGAAAAAGATTCTCAGGATTTAAGGCACATGATTTTCTTCAGTGCACATACGAGCACAATGTGTGAGGCTGCAGCAACGAAAATTAACGATTGGATATGGTTGGACATGGTTGGATATGATTGGATATAATTCGGGTGATAATTCGATATGATTTGATCCTCTGTCACTGTCACCTGAAATCATCATGAAGAGATGGGCGTCTCTGAACCTACCACATTGCAATCTGAAATCGCCCAGCCTTCATAAGCTTGGTGTGTGAGGCAAGCGCCGTGTGCACTGCAAAACGAATCCCTGATGTCGTTGCCGGTCTCACCACTCTCCACAGAGGTCCATGTCCGCGAGGTGATGCGCCAGATCGGCGCAGTGCTCCAACCAAAGAACTCCTCCTGGGAAGGCCATGCGACACGGAAAAGTGATGCCCTACGAAATTAGTGATCAACTACTTTTCTATCTTTTTAGAGATTATATATATATATATGAGTAAAAGGAACAAACCAACTTTGGTCGGATTTTTGTTCAAGATTCCAAATCCAAATTGGCCCATGTGCCGTGATAGTCGAGAACTCCAATGATAGATCCTATCTGCTACAGTTGGGCCAATAAGCAAGTCTAACGGTAGGGACCTATCACTGCATGGTGGCCTCTAATTTCCCAAAATCATGGCCCAGAGAAATCTTTCCTGCCCCTTCATTGCTTTGATGGTTTCAACTTTCACCACTAAATAAGTTCTAATTGATAGGGACTTCCCATCTAGAATTTTTGATTTCCAGTCAAGAATGTGATTTTACAAATGAAAATGTGGGTTGCCCCGTTGGATCCAGTTTTTTGTTTGGCTAACGGCTAACCGTCCTCCACATCCTGCTCTCTCAAGCCCGGCGCGCCCAGCTTGGGCCGCAAGGCTGACGTCCGCACCGGGACAGAAAGCACACCTCCTGCCGTTCAGAGTCGCATTGTAAGCTGGGTCAAGTGGTCAATTGGTAGGTTGCTATGGGGCCCCTTATCCCAGCAGCATGGGATTCCCGAATAATGATGTGTGCCAGACCCTGAACTGATGTTTTAAGCGAGGCACATGTGGAATCCCACTCGTAGTCGAGGTTGCGACCAACAGTTGGGGCGGTTGTAAACACACCCCAAAATCTGGGCTGACAACTCAGAAACAATTGGATGATTGTGAAGTCAAGTAAAAAAATCATACGCAAACGATGGGGGTGGCTCAATACCGAATGGCCTGGAAATTCGGTTGATGGAGATCCCTGCAAAAGCCTTTCTGTTCATTTTTTGGATGTTAAGTAGAGCGCGCCCAAATTCTGAACCAATCCCATCTCGCATCATTGCTTGACTGGGCTGGTTTCGAGGAAAAATTCAGGATAGCTACAATGTTCAGCACCCTAGATAAACCTAGTTCTGGGGAAGTCTCGGGGAGTGTGGCTCAAAAATGATGTACACATTAATCCAAAAAAATGGCCCACTTTCGGCGATAAATCATCAGATTTGGCCCCTAGCCATGACATGCGGCTATGGATCAACATTTTGACCAGATGCTACGGGGTCGCACAGGGTCTATGGCTCGGGTGCCACACCAAGTAGCACAACGCAGATCGCTGCACTCAGCAGCCTATTTTGGGCACGGGTTCGAGCCAGGCTCGAGCTGCAGTAGAGACAGGCGCTTATGTTACATGCCACACATGACTCAATGATGCACTATCACATCAGTCCAAAATTCTTCTTGACTCATGTGCCTGGAAAAAGGACTAGGGACTGCAGCTCTCTCATCTGCTGTACTGCTGCGCGTCCCTCGCGTTTGGCTTTCTTCTCACTTTGTATGAAGTTGGGATCGTACTTGAGTTTCCATATGAATGACTTCACGAATTGGAGTAAGCCAAGTCGAGCGGCTTTTGATTTCTGTGTCAAGGCATCGGAGAGATTCCAATCTCCTGATATCCATATCAGCTTGGTGTCAGCCTCGGCCAGCTGTTCCTTCAACTGGTACCCTTGGAGTGCGCTTCGAGCATTTGACAGTCCAAGGAGAGGACCTTCATTTTTGTTCACTGCATCGAAGACACCCTTGCTATCGGTTGCCACCAAGCCCTTGACATACTTCACAAGGTCGCTGGCCTTCTCCAAGAGGTTACCGTCCTTGATCGCGCAACATCCATTGAGTTGGCACCACATCCAGCGAACTCAGAAGGCCGAGTCTTCACCTTCAAGAGTTGCTTGCATCTCACCATCGTTGGCCGAGATAGACGTAGTCGCCAGGTTCTCCATGACACTGGATTGAGGCGTCCAGCTTCTCCAGCAAGTTGTTCGGGGCCACCAAGACAAGTGAGCAATCCACCTGTCGAGCCACCTTGAGGACGATTGTTGTGGGCCTGGTCGGCCATGGTCACTACTGTCCAATCTTGCCAGTGTTGTACATGAGGAAGTTGCCAAAGTCGAAGGTTCATCAGATCCTTCTTCACATCCTTGATGAGGTCGGCAATCTCTTTGGCCACCATGACTGATTTGTCCACAGTCAATTCTGTCAACAGAAGGTTGACACGAGCACAAGCTTGAATTTGTGCCTGGGTACAAGCCCATTGCAAGGCACCCAAACTTGCTCGGCATGCTGCCATTTCTCCAGGAGATAGTTGTGACTTGGGATCTCCTCGAAGACGATCTTCCGGAATTGCAAGGTCAGGCAAATTCTCCATGTAGAAGTCTTGACTCAGCTGCACGTAGCGCTCATTGTTGAACTTCTTGACTTCAAGGTCCACACCTGAATGTCGAAAGTTCTCCTCTTTTCGGGTTCCCCAGGCGTAGGCCTTGTCGATCTCCTTGCGCACAGAGAGCCACTTCTCGGTCTGCAGGGTTTCGCGGATTCTCATTCTCCTCGACCCAGCACCAGAACGCTGCATCGCCAATGAGTCGATGACCACCCAGACGTCGGAATGTCTGATCCACGTCGGTCCAGTCCACGAGGGGCTGTAGCACTGCCATATACGTTACGAAGTAGACGTAGAAGGTCACCATCGCTAGCTCCAAGTGCTTCACGAAGTTCAGGCACTCCAGGTGTCCATAGTTCTTGAGCTTCAACACTGTCGCCACCAGTTTGAAGAAAAGCTGTCTTCATGTCAGCCACGTTGAGCCACAGTGATCAAACTCAGATGTCGCATGAGTTGACTCTGCACAGGGGCGGTTGTGTTGAATGTCGAAAGCTCCAGGTCGGGATGTTGAAATCCCAGAAGTACGATTCTTGCCTTTGCCTTTCGGGTCAGAGAAGCATCATGCGTAGTGTTGGGGTTGTTCTTCCCCACATTGACGTGTGGGGTTTTTGTTTTTAGTTCTGTATCCGCTCCTTCCTCCCGCCCTCCTCCCTCATCACTCACTCACTCATCTCACACACACTCACTCATCACACTCACACACACACACTCACTCGCTCACTCACTCACTCACTCACTTCACTCACTCACTCACTCACCTACCTCACTCACTCACCTACCTCACTCACTCACCTACCTCACTCACTCACCTACCTCACTCACTCACCTACCTCACTCACTCACTCACTCAATCACTCACTCACTCACGCACGCACGCACGCACGCACTCACTCACTCACTCACTCGCTCCCTCGCTCACTCACTCACTCACCTCACCTCACTCACTCACCTACCTCACTCACTCACTCACTCACTCCCTCGCTCGCTCGCTCGCTCGCTCACTCACTCACTCACTCACTCACTCACATTCACT